TTGCCTCTTTACCGCTATACTTTTTCGTTGTTTTGCGAAGCCAAGCAATACCTGTTTCGTTTTCATTCCCTCGGGGACAGATAGCAGGCTGAAATCCTGAAACGAGTATCTCTTCAGTTTTGTTCGACGAGTACTTTCAGAGGCTGATGATTAACGATACGTCGAGAAAGATATAGGCCGATGGCTTGTGCCTGCTGGCAAACGTTCTAAATTTTCAGATTACACAGAGGTAATTCCGTATGGCGCGCAAAAGAATCGCGACTGTAACAGAGTAAGAAATTTACCGCGCTATCGAGAGGAAACTGTGAAACGGTTATGTCGATAGTATCGAATATCGATGAGGCAACGATTCGTTTCTCGAGAAATAAAATGTTCGAAAGAGCGAGGAGAGACCGACGCGACGTAAGATGATTGACAAGAGAAACCGTCTACGTAAATGTTCTTCGAGCAGCAGTCGGCACAACTTTTTACCTCTCGCTTCGAACACTTCTCGACAAAAATTTATCTACATTACTACCTCCATTCTCTTCGCTACAATTTATTTCGATTCAAATTGTATATACCACCCACGCCGTAGCCTTCGATCGAGTTTTAATTTCATAGAGGGACGAAAAGGTACTCGAAAAAAGAGGAAACCGGTGGGTGCTGTAAAACTTATGAAGAACAAGAAAAACCGCGTGGTTGAAAAGGGTTCCTTGAAAAGTTTTTCTAACAAAAAAGGCACGCCACGTTGGCAAGCTGCTTTGAAAAACAAGTGGTTCGGGAATTCTAGAAAATAATAATCAGCAGCTGGCATCGCAGGAATATCAAAACGAGAAAAACGAGAAGAAAGTCGTGTTCCCGTGTACTTTGATATTGTTACGGGTGTCGAGGGTTTCTCGCGTATTCAAAGGATATCTTGCAGAAAGATTTTTAATTCGGTCTCACTGTACTTGCGGAATGGTCGGCAAGATTTGTAGGAGGTCGTTGAGCTCGAGAAGCAATGGAAATGAAAATGAAGCAGACCACGTTATTGTTCTTTCGTTTCTCGAATAATATTCCGTTCACGGCAAGAAAGGAGATCGCGAGACGCGAACGAAACTATCGATCGTTTCAGTACCGTCGCGTTAAAAACCCTCCTCTTTTATGGATCCGTGACCCACGGATCTTAAACTTTGTTCCCTCTATCTCGAATGAAACAGATTTTTGGCCTTCAGTACCATTAGATAATAGGACGTAATTTGGACTTGGAAACTTTTTGTGAAAAAATTTTTTTTTTTTTAAATCACTAGAATTAACGTCACTCTGCTCCAATGTTCTCTCTTCCTACGCTCGATACGTACATATACATTTGGGATACACGCATTACCAGAGCGTTCCGTGAATTCCATCAGGAGCGGTTAAACATTATTGTGTATGTACAATATGCATGGAATGTTCAATACGCAGCTTCTCTCGAATCGAACGTAATGCTTCGACGAGTTTAATTTTACCCAAGGGACCAGAGCGTTTTCATTGTTTTTTATTATTTCCTTTGCGTTTCAAGAAATTGAGAAAATTTCGCGAAAATTGGTGTTTAAACCTAAACACAATTCACTGGTTTGATTTGCGGATAATCTGGAATACGAATTCCACGAAGCTGTTTCGCCTAGCAGTCGGAGGGAGGTGTCTAGATCACGGTTCGTACACGTGAATTATTTCAGCTATTCGAACGGTGCGTGTTCGAGCTGAAGCACGATACAGCCATAATGGCAGAAAGCTTTCGTCGGCCACGCGATAGGAGAAAATGGGAAATTTACGTGTCGATCATTATAGCCCTACTGCAAATACACGAATCACGGCTCGTGATGTCTTCCCAGATACAACGTAGTTTCAACTAAAACTAGTTTACTACTTGGCAGGGAGCGTTGATACATCGGTAGCCCTGCATTGAATATTTATGCGATACGCCAGAAACAGAAGATCCTTCGATATCTGCCCTCTCGTTACGAACATCCTGTTGGATGTTTAGAGATCTGATTCGACCACGATAACGAATCGGTTATATTCATTTTCCATGCATACGCTTGGCAAGAAGCGTAAATCGTAGTAAAAGAAGGATCGATCCGAAAACAGCGCTAAATTGATTTGAATTTATATTTTATGGGATCAGAATGATGGATCGGTGGCTCGACGCGAATGCTGAAAAATTTGTTTACGCTACGTCGAGAACGAAAGGATATTAGAAAAAAGTGTCTACCAAGTAATAACCACAAATTGATCCGTTCATTTTCGAAAAAGTACAACTCGTCCTGCGTGACCAAAATGCCCCAGTCATTTTTTTCGTGTCTTCTCTTCTCTTCTCTTCTCTTAGCTTGCGGTTCTTTCGCCGATGTTACTTCGTTCCCGTCGATCCGATCATTTTTCTTCCTTCTCGCCAACTGTCCGAGCTTCTCCATCTTTCTGCCATTCTTCTTTCATCCTTCTCTTTTTCTTTCGGAGTTCCCCGAGGTTCTGCTCGTTCCCGGGCCTGGTCCGGTTGTGCCCGTTCCTTTTGGTCCCTTTTAGCTGTTTCGGCTAGCCTCGATCCACCTTCGACGATCCCGAAGCTAAGGAAAAAGCCTCTTTGCCGTCTTTCTTCTTTAAATCGAAACTATCGGACCTGCTTTTCTCTGCTGCGCGATAACCGGCTTCTTTAGCGAGAAAGAGAAGAAAATCGTGCTGTAAGTGGGTATCGTTTCTACCACGATCCTCTTATCGTGATTCACGATTGTGTTCCCGTGAAAATAATTGCAGTGATCAGAGTTGTTATCTGACGGTAGTTGCTACTTGCTCGTTCAAGCACCGACATAATCAATGCCTCGTTAAAGAAAAAATCTTGGAAAGATGGAGAAAATAAAAACGGAAGCAAGACGCTGAGCGCGTTTCTTCGAAAATCTCTCTAATGGACTCGGTGATACTTTGGACGGTAGGAACATTTGCAGTCACCTCGATACTTACTTACTTAAAGGAGTACTCGCGAGAATTCCGAGTTTGATAGAACGATACACGTAGGAAGAGTTTGCATCGAAAGAAATAGGAGCGGACGCGTCGCGTTCTGGTTCTGGCAAATCAAATATTCCAATTGCGTTTAATAGAGTTTTCTTCTATTTCTAACACGCGGTTATCGGGGACGAACGTAATACATCGAATAATGACTTTCGAAGATTTCATAATCGATCGTGGAAAGACGAAGGGAATGGGAATGGGAATGGGAAAGGAGGAGATGGATGGATGAGAAGTTGGTGAGAAAAAAGTCGCGACCGTTAGGTGACTGCAGGTGGATATATCGCATAGCCGTCTGGCCGAGGCTCGAGACGGCTGATGCAAGTTCGATGCAGTCTCTCGCGATGGAAAGGCACGCGAAAGAATTCAGGGTTGAAAGTGTGTAAGTATAACGAGTGGTCGTCGTGTCTTGTCTGGAAGGCCGATTACAGCCGTGGCGAGAGAAAAGAGCGCGGAGGGGAACGATGAACGGGCGATGAGGGGTAAAGAAAGGAGTAATTGGGCTGAACGAGAGTACGAACACGGCTGATGCAAGAATCGAGTCTCTGGCAGGCATTTCCTTCTCGGAAGGAAGTGGAGAAAATTATTGTTATCTGTTGGATCCCTCGACTTTTCATCGCGACACGTTCGCCGCGAAATTCTAAGCGCGCCACGTTACACCTGACGCTAGTCATTCGTCAAAGCAAAATCGATTACTACTTTTGATTGCATTACATCCTTGCACGATTTAGATTCTTCCATTTTGCATGAACGCGTTCGCCATTCTTCTTCGTTAGGGCAGAGGAAGGCGGATTAAGACGGAAGAAAAAAAAAGGGGGGTGGAAACGGCTTCCTCTTTGTTTCGCCAGCGGAAGCTGTTCTATGTGGATCCACGGAAAGCCCGTAAATCTCGTGGAAAGCAAGGAACACTTTTTCTGGAAGAATCGTGGAAAACGCGAACGAAAGGCTGGAAAATGGAGAATGGAAAGCGCATGAAAATCGAGTAATTTCTCGGGGGATGGCGTACATACACCAGTATGGTCAGCTATGTTATTTCTCTGTCCCTCGAGTACGCTCCAGTTATCCCCTGTATTTGCCTATGCTCTTCGTTTGCTAACTTACAGACACGGCGAACGACATTTTAACTTACGTATTACGCCCCCTTTAGGATTTCAACTACATTCTTCTTTCACTTTTTCCTCAAATAATTGTCTAAACTCGTTAATGATGGTTAATCATTCTTTTTTACAACATTTTAACGAGAATCTGTGGCCATTAAAAGTTTACGGTACATAATAGTTTAGTACATCTATATAGATACTTGCTTGCATAAAGCTCTACCATTAAGCTCATAACTCACACTTTACTCTTATCGATAAAAATAATTGGTTTTACTGGTTACTTTGATGCGTGCAACGGGTTGATCTCAAAAGAATAAATAAATAAATAGAGAATTCTTAAGCGACGAGACTGCGACCCAACCTTTGCACTTTTTTACCATTCCGCTCTGCTCTCTCGTGAAATTTGCATAATTGACATTCCTCTCGCTTGCTACCGGCTCTCTGAATTCGATATCCGCGGTCTCGTGTCGTCCTCATATTTATTCTTCGAGCAAGTTTCGATTTACGTCACGTAAAGAAGGGACGCCGCATGTAAGTGGACATTTTCCTCTGATAAATCGATTTTCCTTTTCGTAGTTCTTTTCCTGGCTACGGGTTTATTTAAAAAAACAGGAAAATGACGCGTGATGCTTTGCAAACCCTATGATACGAGTTGCAGTAATGATCAATATGGTAATTTTGGATTAAAACGGTAGGGGATGACAGGCGACGAATTACAAACGTTACGGGATTAACATTCGGCGCAGGCTCGATGGGGATTATCCGATCGATTGGGAATTACAAAAACGAGGGAATTAATTTTGTATAAATCTACTGGAAAGGGGGTAAAGAAAGAGGGGGGGAAAACTGAGGGTGGCACGAAAGGGAAATCCATCAGGGAAGGCATGCTCGATTTACCTTTGTCGTTCATCTATCCGACTCCCTGCTACTTGGAATCCTTTTTCTCCCGGTTCCCTTTTTGCGATCGACGTAAGAACCGGCATACGGCATCGTCACGCGCCGATCCAATTTCTTTCTCTTCAAAAGCCAGAGCCAACGGCGTTCATTCGTGCATTTTCTGCTCGACACCGCGAACGTGTCGACGCGACGGTAAATTAAATTCGCCTGCCGACACGGAAACCGCCCTTGCGATATTCTTCTGTCCTCGCTTCTCGCCACTTCGTCACGATATTTCCGATTTTCTCAACCCGATATCCAGCAGCCAGACAAATTTCGAAATCGTGCGATGCGATCCAGTTGTTATCTTTTTCTTGCACAATATCCTTGCACCAAATTGAGTGTGAAGAATAAGAAAATTACTTGCAGCAATTGCAAAACATGACACGTGTTTATGATTTATAAAGTAATAGGCATCTGACTGCGGTTATCAGTCAGTTTCCGCCAGTCATGCTCGTGCGATATACGATGAAAAAGATCAAAGGGTTAAAAATGGGGTCCGCAAAGGGTTAAAGTCGGTAGAGGAACTAGTTGCGAAACGCGCGACTCTTTCCATTCTGAACTTGACACGGTGATCGGAAAAGCGTAACTCGCTAGCTCGGATATACATGCGCGTTCGATTCGGTCGATGCACGAAACCGAACAAAGATCAATCTGATCGCGGCCGACTGGCGCATACGAATCATCGAAATAAATTGCATAACGCCGTGACACCGATACAAAGTGCGCTTTCAACTCTCGAAATAAACTATTATCGAAGAAGAAGAACCGGCCAGCGTAAATATAGAAAGCGGACGGATGCGATCTTGCTTCTTTTTTAGTCTTCTCTTGCGATATTTTAATAAGCACCAATTACGCGAATCGCTTTGACGATTAGAAAAATTGTCACGTTCAAGTCGAAGAAAAAGTACTGAAATAAATTTCGGTGTCGAGAAACGCGGAGAAAATGGTATAATTCGATGACTGAAAAAAATGTTCTCGGGAAAGGTGTATAAATTTAAGGGTATTGGAAGCGTTGGTTCGTCGGGCGTTTTATCTCGAACAGCCACGCCTCCGGATTGGAGGATAAAGGGCTAACGATACCCGGAGCTTTGCTTGCCTCCTCGCTTTTTCACCGTTCAAGGCAAAAGTAATCGTGGAAAATCGTGGAAATCGTTCATTCGATCGAATTTCATTTAACATTTTCCAGCGTGTAATTTACGAAGCTCTAATCGGAAGTGTAGTACGTTTGTTACTTCACCCCTTAAACTCTAACTCGATCAAGCTTCGTTTTCTGGATAGCCGAAACTGATGATTCGAAGATTACCACGATGAAAATGGACACTCCATTTTTCGCTTCATTTCATATATTGCAGAAAAGTGAAAATATTTCGTGACACGAATCGAAAGCGCGTGGAAAATTGTAGGACCGTGGGATTTGCGCTGCCACCGAGAAGCTCTTGAAGCCAAATAATCGGTGTAGAAAACGGTGGTTAACGATCATAAGTGAAAGGGAATCGGACCCGAAGCTGGACAAAGATATAATTAAGAAACACGTGTTACGTGGAAAGGAAAATCGTGGTATATGTATTCCTAGGAAATGGGCATTCCGATACGTTATTGGCAACGCCAATCGAACGTCCCTGTCGAGCGAAACATTTTCTCTGCGCGAGACGAATTAATTTATCGCACCGCAGGGAACAATCATTTCCACTAACATTACTCGATCCACTCGACGGCCAACTGTTTTTATCAATTTCCAACTCCAACTCAGCGTTTACGCCGAGTCAATTTGTCTGATTTTCGCAACCCTTATCGTGTCTCTTCTCTTTTTTTACAGTAGTACATATATAGTTACTGAATTATGCAGAAATTAACGTAGCTTTAGCCGTCGATAGAAAATCGAAGCATCAGATTCAATTTCGTTCCGTAACGACGTGGAAAAGAAAGCAACTGGATGGTCGGTTCGTTGCTGAGTCGTTATATACGATTGCGGAAAGAGGGCAAGATATAAAAAAAAAGAAAGAAAAAAATAGGAAGGAAGAAAGGTTTAGATACGAATTTAGCGGGAAAGAAGGAAAATCGTATTGCTCGGAGGTCGCGTTTCGCGGGGTAGTTGAAGCGATAGACGAGTACCGATTCGTTGTCGTGAAAACAGGACGTTGCGACTAGTTGGAAACTACGTTAAGAAGGAGATCGAATCGAATGGAAACGGGAATGGGAATGGGAATGGGAACGGGAAGAGGACGACGGGAGCTTGAGCAACTTCTTCCCCTGGAGACTTCCCTCGCCGCGACGCTGGAATTCCATTACGCGAAACTCGGCCAGGAACGACGCGCGCTATCTTACGAAAATGTAATTACTCTCGGAACGAGTTCAAGCTCTTAGACAAAGCTACGAAATCTTGGTGTTTTTTTTTCTCTAACTGATTCGATCTTTGAAAAATCGTTTTCTTTTTTAACGAGACCTGACCTTGCGAACAAGTGCTGCGTGCTCTTTTAAGTAGAAAAAAAAAAAGAAATGGTAACTTACTTTTATGCCTGGAGAATCTTCTGAGTTTCTTGAAGAACGGCATTTCTATGAAAATTTCACACCGGCACTTGTTACGAGCGATCGATAACCGCGTTATGGGACGGAATATCGAGCAATAACTCGTTGAGATGGCCGATCACGAAGACTCTCGATGATCGTGGAACGAGAAAAAAATCGCCCTCGTGCGTGAACGAGCGAGCTCGAAATGCCGTCTCCTGGTTTACATCGGGATTCGATGAGCCGTCTGTGAACTCCGTCTGCCTCTTACTCGAGATCCGACTTTGTTGCTTCTCCCTTCGCCAGACTCGTACGCGTATCCACTTATCCCCACTATTCGCGTTTACCAGAAGAACCGAGCTCCAAGCACCAGCACGAGTCCAGCACTCCCGCAGACACGGCACTCGATTCGATCGCGACCGACCGTACTCCAATCCTATCCTGTCCTGTCCTACCCTACCCTACCCTACCCGAGTCGATCTGATCCGATCCGATCCGATCCGATCCAACGCTTCGTCTCCCTAATTCCCTCCTCGCATCGGTTACTTACTCAACGACCACCTACGGTATAACTTACAGATAAACCAAACTCTACTCGCTGTCGTGATTTTATCAATTTTCAACCGTACCGAAAGTACCGTCAAATGTTTGCGATACAAGATAAAGAATCTCGAACGATCTCCGTTACAACAACGTTTAGAATATCGAGATAATAGTACCGGCTGTTTTCCAACTAAGAGTAGAAAGAAGAGAATGGTCGTCGCGAAACGTTCTCGAGTCGTCTCGACGAGCACTTCTCGAAGCGTTTCGATTCGTTTGACTTTGTGTAAGATTCGGGGTAGACGTCGAATGGGGGTGTATTCGAGTGGAAGAAAGTAAAATGGAAATTGATGCAAGAAGAACGAAGATAATTGGTGGGAGAAATTTGATTTGCGAACAGCTCGATTTCATTTTCCCTCACCCTCGAAAAGGGGACAAATTACTCGGTTATGACGTTATTATTATACATCGCGTACTTGATATATCTGCCCTTTCTCCGTTTCTTACTTGCATCGAAGAATCAGGATTTTTGAAGGTATCGAGATAACGAAGCTCTGGTTTTCGTCAGTTCGGAGTTAGTTGAGAAGCGATCACACGGTTCGGTAACCGAGTCGATTTGCCGTAAGAAAATAATATATTCGTAAGACAGAAAGTTAAGTCTTGCGGGGCTGCGAGTAAGAGGAGGAGGAAGGGTGGTGGTTGAAAGTTTGAGGTGGCGAAGTTCTCGGTGTGGTTCACGATTAAAATTCGCGGCCTTCTCTCAGAGAGGGTCGTAGAAGGAGCCGACATTCGAGGGCAGGGGCAAAGTTTAAGCCACTTCGGTTAAGCCACCTATTATTCCATCGAAGACGAAGCCGACCCCCAACTTTTCCCTAGACTTCGTTAAAACTCTCACGGAAGAAATTTGAATATTAGCAGTGAGAGTACGAGGGTGTTGGCCTCCAGTTTCATTGGATTAAACAGGATACGTTGGCTTTAACCATTTCTTTTTCCTTGCGAAAATCTGTCAGCTGTTTAGCAAGAGCGGTCTTGCTTACTGAATTGCAAATAATTTTATTAAACACTTGAAAGCTTGTCCATTACAAACCTTGTCCAGTACATTGTCGGAAATTTCTCTTTCCACATGCACACCGCTGTATTCTCTTCTTTCACTGATTAAGACGGTGCTGTAGCTTGTCCTTCGTCGATCTCTTCTTTACCTTGGTAATTGACTTGAAACGAGTTCTCCTTCAGAGCAGACTTGACTTTAGGGAAAGGACAAGAAGTCTCACGGGGGTGGATCAGGTGAACAGGAAGAGCTTTTCGGTAGCTGTTTCGTCCAATTTATCTAGAAACTTCGAATTGATACGTGGCTCGATCCTGAAAGCGATTATTTTGAGTTTAGAAGAGTTTCGCCCGCAAAGAGTTAAGAGGTCAACATTGCCCGCGTGAAAGAAATTCGAGTGTGGAGCAACAGAAATCGGCTCTCCACGGTGAACTTTTACGCGGAAGAAAGAAGAAAGTTGAAAATTACCGAATCTCGAGTATGCTCGACGAGCTTTTTCCAACGAACATTAGCCTGGTTGGCTAGTATGCTCGTCGAGAAAAAAGGAATGTACGATTTTATGAATTCTCGGCCGTTTCATCTTCCTCCTTTCCTCACCGTTTCCTCTATCGTCGAAACATTAGCGGAAAGTGCAATCAACCCCTTGATCCGAGGCTCGGAAAGGGTGTATCTTTGAAAATTGTTTTTTTTTTTTTCGAAGAAATAATTCCGTCGAGCTTGCTGCCGAAAATCCTTGGATGTTTTATTTCACTTGCGGGAAAAATGTGCCCGAAACTCCCGGTCGCGTATCGCGGGAAGAAATACGATTGTTTTCAACAGATATACATCGTGGAGGCACGTGAATTGCCACAAATATATCCGCCATCGTATCTGCTTGGCAAGGGAGGCTCTATCGCAGATACATATATTAAAGGAAACTTTTTCACAGAGTTTTCACACAAATCTCGCGAATCGCCGAGATCGTCCAACACATTGGACCTCGGGCCGATGCGGCTCGCGCGAAATTGAATTGCAAAACTTTTCTAGCCGTTCTCCTCGCGACAGGAACTTTAATATCAAGACGTAGCAACCCCGATACCACGCTGACACCTTAATGCTACCCATCGATTCGGATCCACGAATACGTGCTTCAAACTTTCTTCACTGGCGAACTGCAAAGCATCGTACAAACGTACGGTATTAACATTATACTTTATATCTTCCTCGCATTCTGTTCAATATGTTAATTTGCGAGTTACAGGACTTTGCTTACGTCCTTGTTTGTCGCGATTGAGCCTGTACTCGGAAACCCTTTCTTTTTCCACCGTCTTTTTGTTGTCAATCGAGGAGAGGAAATGAAAAAAACTCGCTCGATCACTTCGTAATTAATAGGTACGTTCGTTGAAACGGTTCTCGTTCCTCTACGTACGATAGTAACTTTGTTATTTGGACAAAATAACCGATTGCAATGTTAATTCGAGTCGGTAATAACGGTAATAAGGATACTCGATCGTTGCAGAAAATATGGTATGCATAAAAATAGCGAATGCTAGATGCTTAAAGGGTAGTTCGATTAATTGCAATTCATTTATCGCTACCCGACGTTTCTGTATTTCTTGTTCGTTCGGGTAATCGGCCAATCGGCTTCGCAGCCAGGGCAGAAAACTTTTGTAACGTTCTGTTCTCTGCCAGAACACTGGCGACTGTTCCATTCGTTCCATGGAATAATAGTTCCATTCTACGAAATTCTTTTCACGACACTTCATTGTCTATTCTTTGAAAATTCCAATTTCCAGTAACGTAACGAACTTCTAATGTTACGAAAAACATTGGTACGTAGGTGGTATTAGATTAATTGGATGTAAACGCTGAGCTGGACCGAAGGTCTAACAGGAAGCTATCAAATTAGTCGGTCGTTCAACAGTTGGACGCACAGCGTTAATTGCAAGCTGCGACTCGATACCTGGTCAATTAGTTTTATAAGTTGTCGAGGTAGGCGCATCGAACCGACGAGATAGTACACGTAGTATGCGCGTCAACCTATAGCTATACGATGCACGCCACAATAGACACCGAAACGAGATTACCGACGAGAGGATGCGCTCACGGTCCATTAGCTACGATTCAATTACACTCGTCCCTTATACAATGGAAATTCAGGCTGCATCTTGAACAGACGTTCCGCGAGTCAGGAAAAACACTGGACTCTCGTGCGTGTTGATTTGCTTGGTAAAAAAATAAAAATACCGCGGCGAAATGAAAATTTCAAACGAAATTCAAGAAAATTTTGTGCACGTGAAAATCATGTAAACTTTCCAAGGAACACGAACGAAGACACGAACATTTTTCTTCTGCCTCACCTTTTTCCATTTCCTTTAGGTTCCACTATTCCAAACCATAACACGGATATCATTTCTGCAAGAGTACATTTCCACTGAAAATCCTCAGGATGGAAAACGCGATATACCGAGAGAAATCGAATGTACGTACATATGTACACGTAGGGTGGTGGGTTACCTAACGTTAGAATTTAAACTGTCTTCGTTGATTTTGTTCGCACAAGAAAATTATTTTTTCACTGTTTTCTTTTAAATTGTAATATATTTTACTCTACACATATTCCAAGTTCAGCCTTTGAGCTTTGAAAACGTACAACCAACAACCATGCTTCAACATCGTATATCAGCTGGAAAAGCCATACTTGAAATATTTTTCCCCTCGTCAAACTTTGCAAATTTATTTTCAACAAAAATATTTCACCACTGATAAACGGTGTTGCTTTTACCCAACTTTTTCGAAATAAAAAGATTGAAGGTTCGTTCGAGTATGACTGCTCGTATTTCCTGTGTGTACCTCTTTAACTCGCCGACGTCGTGCATTCAAATATTCCTTCCGTTCCTGACCTATCTGTCTGCAACTGGACAGACCTTCCGTGTTCGGAGATTACATTGAAATGCAACGCATTCCTACGAACTGCATACTCTCAGGCATCTCGATTCTGCGAACAATTTTCAAATACCACGCCCTCGTATTTGCAAATACACCAAGACGAGTTTGCAACGTTTCGGCAGAATTGAAATTCTTCAACGCTTCTTGTCCTTTCCCTTAAACTCTGTTGAAAATTTAGATTAAATTTAGTTAATTGTTTATTAGAGTTTTCTACTTTGAAATTTTAATGCTTTTCAAAATTTTGTTTTTAAAGATATAATAGTGTTCTGCAAGCTTTTGAAGACACTCGTAATCGTTACACTATAGTTGTAACTGTATTTTCTGAAATCACATTCGTTTATAATATATCAATGATTAATTAATGTTATTGATCTTACGATTAATCAAAAGTATTTTTAAATCATGCCGCTCTTTCGTTGAGCGCTGCGTACGTTCAACTCTCATTCCTATCGTCAGATAGCGTTCTGTGTAGTCTCGTTGGTGGTGTCGCTCAGCTGTAGGAGACATAAATAAGTAGTGAAAATTAGAAAATTAGATTGCTGTTACATAAATATTATGTAAAGTTGTTGTAACAGGAGATTTTAATAATACACGTGAGTATTCTGCCGATATTTGAACATTATGTTGATGCATATGGTGTTCATAATTGTTATTTACGTAGTCACCTAACCTAATTCAGTTTAACCTGATATTGGTATCCTTTAGGAAATGGCAAATCGTACAAATTTTCTATTAACGTTGACACGGAGTTATCGACAGTATACAAAATCATGGCTCCCGGATGCTGTTCAATACGAAAAGGTTAAATATCATCCACGGTAAGAGAAGGAAATAGTGCTTTTGTAGTTCTCGAGGTTAGGTTATCGATATAGGAAATATATTTGTTTATTTCAGTAAGAAGGATCACGTGGATCCTCCGATCGTACCGTCGAAAGTTTTAATGGTTCACAGAGTGAAGCCTTTCAAGGGAAATCCTTATTGGGAAAAAGATATTCTTAAGCAACTGGGATTCGAAGAACGCGTAAAGCAGCCGGTATTTGTAAAGAATTCGCCAGATATGTGTGCTATGCTATGGAAAGTAAAACATTTAGTGAAAATCGTTCCGGTACAATTACCCGAAAAATTACCAAACGTAGATGAGCTTACTGGAATATACATACACGAAAATGGAAAATTTTACACAACCGAAAAACTCGATCGTGGTCGGTACGAAGCTACTTTGCAGTTCATGAATTCTCCCAAGAGAATGAATTATTTTACTATAAAAGAGAAACTTCGGCTTTTATGGATTAAAGGAATACTTATTTAATGTAATATATATTAAAATTCTTTATAGTATTGTTAGTTTCTTTTTTATAATATATTGTTGGGCATTGTTATAAAATGAAAGAACAATCGCTGAACAAATAATATACTTTATTTGTATGTCGATTACAGCCATACGGCTATGTTGCAACCTACCAACAGTAATGTTAAAATTCCAGTGGTTTTTTTTACAATTTTTCGTTTTGTATTTTGGAGCAAGATCTATCATCGTGGAAGATGAGTGCCGCTTTGGGTCAGTCGTGCGGACCTACTTAAATACGGTGTCCGAGAGAAACGAAAGAAACTGTCTAAATTTAAATGAGCGAGACTAGATCGACGAACAGTCTTACGCGGCAAACGAAACATCTTAAACCTATATCTCAGAGACGTTTCACACTAGGCCGTGTTTCGTATCCTTTGGAAACTGGACTGATTTCATTAATAACCGACAAGCACGCTACGATATTAACACTCGATTCTTGCGTTCTGGAACTTGTTTAATCGGCTAACCGTACCCGAGGAAAGTACTGCGTTTACTTTGAAACCGTATACGGTACGAAGAAATAGTCTAGTTTGAAGTTACGCTAGATTCTATGAAAAAAGACTCGAGTAACGCGAATACTGGAAAGTCTAGATAAGAAACGTTGCGCGTTTACGAAGAATTTGTTCGCCTTCTACTCCGAAGTTTCCAAAATCGTCTGTCCCGGGACGTGTGATGTATAGAAATGGTGTTTTGTGCTTTGGAACCCTTTTCGGGCATGTACATTCTCAAAAGTCTAGCGGCGCGTTCCTCCTGGGATCTGTCCGCGGCTTTACCGCTTAAGAAACTAAGCAGCTTCATGCTGCGTCTTTTTATTCTTAATCGATTCAAAAAATTCTTCTCCGTTGTCTTGGACGGGCTACCATCGTTCTGATCTTCCGAATCTTCTTCCAGTTTCTTCGCTTTTCGCTGAAACAACTCGATCCGTTTTCTTCTTTCCTGTTGACCATCGACTCTTTTGTACTGATGATTTCTCGAGTCTGCCATGCTTTCCGTGCACGAGTACTCTTCGCTCCTCGCTCTCTCGGCCCCGATTCGTTCGGCGTTTTTACTGCTAGTCTCCTCCGCTCTTCTCACCAACGATTCCAGTTCCTTCAAACGATCAGCCTCTTTGGAACTCTTCAAGGTGTCCGAAGAGGTTGTCTCTGTCGCGTAACCATCCTCCACGTCGGACAGTTTTCTGTGAAGGTTCACTATCTTCCTGCGAAACTCTTCGTCCTCCTGATTCAGCTTGGCAAATACGCGATCCCTGTCGTTCGCATCGGAGCTCGAGCCGACGTTCTTCGACGCCGTGGTTTGCAACCGCTGTCACCACCATCCAACTTGATCCTTTCCGCTTCCAGACGAATCCTCCTCCTCTGGCAGCGGTTCCAATCTTCTTCTGCCGAGGAAACACCTCAACGAGCCTAAACTTCCGCCACCGAGCAGCTGATCCATGTTCAATTCCGGTAGATTACAGTCCTCGTTCTCGGACTCTTGATCCGGGTCATCCTCTGTCGACAGGTTCAGGCCGTAGTTGTCCTCGCCGGATGCGACCGCGTTGCCTGCACCGTTTGGCGGCGGCTAGGGAAGTCAGGCACAGCTCGGGCTAGTGATTCTTTGCAAACAAAGGGCAAGCATTGTCTCATGCAGATGCGTGCGAAGCTTATCAGCTAACTTTTCTTCTAGCTCGATTCTCTCCGTTTTTCTCTTTTCCTATTTTGTCCACTTCTCTTCCGGCTAGAAGGTACGGCCTTTCAGTTAAACAACATTAACACCTTGCGGTCCACGCTTCTCCCGAACTTGTAGATGGTATAAAATCGTCGCCGGACCACAAAGTGTTAATCTTCAACTTTTACGCGAATCCCAAAGGTGCAAAATACCTTACCTTGTCTCATTGTCAGCGTATCGTGTAAGTATGTACAAGCAAGCTTTCAAGAAGGTGACAAGCGAAGCTATCGAAGAAAAAAGGAATTCTTTCGATTTGCTCGATCGATCGATCGTGCACGAATTCCTATGTATGCGAGGTGTAACTAAGGTTAAAAGGAAATGTAGGTTCGCATTCAAAGTCTGTTTTGATCAATCGAGCCAACGCCAGTACCTTCGAGCGTTATCGTATCTCGAGAAGGTATCTTTCATTACCGAACTAGCTGTGAAGCTTTCGTCGTCAGGACCACCGGAAGTCGGAGTTCCCCAGATATCGTCCCCCGAAGTAGCTCCAGACGTCGTACCCTCTTCGTCGTTCGGGTCCAAGGAAAATTCTGTCCTCTCCGGAGGCACAGGTGGTTGAAGAAGATATCCCCCTACTCCTTCACCGAGCTGTTCGAGCAGAGCCATTTTACTGACCACGTAGCTACTCGCTCTAGCCGTCCAAGCTCTCAAACCCGTAGGCGGAGACTCGGTTTCTCGATTGTCATCGTCTCCTTGTTCCTCGAGCTCGTCGTCCTGGTCCAGGCTGCTCATAGTGCCGAACCTTCTGAGAGCTCTGGAAAACGATTGCACGATTACTTCCGAAACAGAGGAACCTGAACATCGTTGCTCCTCGCGAATGACACGTGTTCAGTTTCACCTATAAGGCGGTTCACCGTCACACTCGAGGTCGTCCTCGCTGCCATCCTCTGTGTTCCCGTCAGCTGGCGTGTAGCCTGGACTGTTTCTTCCGGGGCTGTCGTGCAGCCCGTTTCTCAGCCTGTGCCTGGTGCACAAATCGGGCGTGGGTGGTACGACCGAAATCTTTGGAGGCAACGGAGAGAACGGATCTCTGGTTAAAGGTGGTGTAGGGCAACCTGATCTGCAATTGAGACCGACGAGTTTAATCGTAGAACTTTTCATACCGTTCGATCGTTTGTGCTCTCTGCACTCGCCAACAACGCAGGAATCCACGTCTAACTATCCATCCAAAACATTCAGGGTTGATACAGAATTTAGACATCACTGATTTAGAAAGAAATTCTAAGCGTGTTTTTTTAACCGCAAGAAATCTCTGCTGTGCGTTACCTGTGGCATCTTCTACAAATGTTGATCGAACCGGTTGAATTTTCCCTGGAAGAGGCGAAGCTACCGTTCTTTTTCGTCGTCACACTGTTGGACTTGACGGTACTGAGGCTCGCGCTGGAAGCGGTGCTTTGTTGCTCCACGTCGGAATTGACAACTTCCGCAACGGCTTCTTCCGCGGCCGTGTTTTCCTCCGTGTTCGACTCGTTGCAACCTTCTCTCGGAGCTCGCGCCGCCAATTCTTCGGCCGTCCATTCCTCGATGGGATTCTCCTCGGAATCCGGTGGCGGGATTTGATGGGAGTTGCGCACCCATTGAGCCAAATGATTATTCTCCCTTGAATTCTTGATGATCGTGTCGATACTGTCCGTCGAGCGAGATTCCTTCTCCTCGTCCGGTTTCTGTGATTCCCTGGTGGTCTGTCAATGATCTTTGTAAAATAATTATCGTTAGAAGAAACTTCTCTCGACTCACCTGAGAACTTTCCGTAGGTTCTCTAACCGCGGTAAAATTGCCACCGGTAATCGGACTTTCTTCAGGACTGTCTTGACTCGGGGTTCCACCATAGCCTGTATTCACATAGATTCTAAAATATAACGAATTAGTGCAGACAAAGGAAACGCGACACAGAGGTTCTTGCAGGCTCAACGCTAGATCTGACAATGAGTTACGAGATCAGACGATTAAACGACTTACATCTGCCGTTGAAGAAGGTTGTGCCAAACAGCTTTCAATTCCGGAGTAGGAGCTCGCAAGACCAGAACTCGTCTTCGATGACGACTGTGGGGGCTACAACCACCGCTGTTGGTCACCTCGAGATGACCGTTTTCCGCGTTCCCAGGCGGATTAATCGCGACCTGTAATCGAAATTCTGTCGGTCTTTTACGGACGGTAAAGCAAGCCTCGGCGATGTTCGATAAACGCAGTGGCTCCTCGGTCACGAACAGAACGCGATCTCTCGAAACGCGAGCAAACACCAGGAGGTCGGTGAGCAACAAGGCCCAGGATGGTTGTAGACGCGCTCGTCCCTCCACTTTTGCCAGTGCACCTCCGAACAGCCTGAAACGTTAATCTCGCTTAACCTGGTTTTGCCTTCTAAACACCTCGATACACACCATTGTCTTCCGGGCATAGCCAGAGTGAACGGTTTGCATCTCGCGAAAACGAGTCGCGATTCGACTTCTTGCAAGCTGAGCAAAGGCCTTCCGGTGTCGCGAGGTGGTTCCATAACGCCGGCGTTAGCCGTTGCTTCTCTGTAACCCTGAGCCAGGTCTCTGGCTTGCTGGCAGTTCCTTGGCGACGCCAGACCTAACAGTCTCGTCATCTCTCTACGATTTTCAAACGATTGAAACGCGTGGTCCGAATTTTCAGAGGAGAACAAGGGTGGAAAGAAGGGACGAACCTGTAGTGTTCTAGAGGCAAAAGCAAGACGCCCGTCAGATCGGGACGTCTCTTATGAGGAACGGCTGGTTCGCAGACCAGCTTCGCGAATGCGGTATTTCGTCTCAAAGCCACCAACAGACAGCAGGCGCGTTGTAATCCGCTTAGGTATCTCCTGTATGCGGCGGTGATCCTCGGTACACGGCACAGGTAGCTCTCTACCCCTCCGCCCTCGTCGCGAATCTCTTCGGAAAGTTTCAGCAGCTCGTCGAGATTTTGAAAGAGTATCAAGTAATCCGCGGCGGATAGAACGTCCCGTCTCTCGAGCATCGGTGCCATGAAACGCGTGTGACCGCTCTTCAGGATGCCCCAGTATCGCGTCTCGCGTACCGACAGTTCCTCTTCCGGCGGTGCATCCGGTGCGAGGTTTGGAAACACCTGAGACGCGTTCACTCGCAAAAGTTCCGAGTTTACGCAATAGGATACGTGCACGGAGTGTAGCGGCGCATGCAACCGAGTCGGGTTCTCACGATTCGCGAAGGACAGGGAACAGGTGATAAAGGGTGAAATAAATGAACAGAATACGATAAATGCTTTGAAACAAAACTTGTTGAGCAACAGAAAAAAAAAAAAGACAACCGTCAGATTACAAAACATAATAACCGTATCATAACTTAATCGTGTCCATTGACGAAAAGAAACGGGACACGCGCTATACACACTAGGCGTTCACAATAGGTTCGCTAGACGTTTACGAGAAAAGAATTTACAGGAGTAGTCGCGCGACATGCCGTGCGATGAAAAGTAAAATAAGCTCTGTAAAACGCATGCAGCGTGTCACGGTTCGCTAAACGATACGTTGGTATAAACGAGACTCTATGAAAACGCGCATCGACTCGATTGCCTAGGGTTTAGACTTCTTGCTACTAAAGCTTCTCTTATACGACCGTCTGTTTAGTACCACTAACTCCGGAACAGCAAGAAATACTTGGGACTTTAATAGATCATCGTGGCAAGTTTACTTTGCGTTCTTTCTAGTAGTTGAGATTTGTCGGGTTGGGACCATCGAACTATTCAAAGACGAGGCATCAAAGGAAGAAAAATATTGGATCAAAGATTTTTCCAAACAGTCTCGTTGATACTACATAGAAACGAAACTCGCGCGATCGAAGCCACGAACGGAGAACGATCCCAATGAAAAAGAAAAACAGTTGGAGCGAAGCGACAAACAGCTAGGCCGTCTCGTTCGTGATCGTGCAGTTTCGTAAATTGACGCAGGTAAATTCAGACCAAAACGCCTGTACCGACCTCGGCGTTAAACGCGACCGCGTGCTGTCCGGTGCCGATCGGTTGGTGAAGGCTAACGTTCATCGAGCTAGGTCGATGCATCGACGAATGAACGTTCCCCTTGCGATAAACCTCCAGGATCAGTTGATTGGTGGCAGCTTGGATCAATCCGAGGATCTCTTCCCGCGATCGGGTCACGACGTTCGTCGTGTCGACGAAGACAACGTGATCACCTGGTCTGAGACCGGATCGTTCCGCCGGACTGGCAGGGTCCACGCGTTCCACGCGGGGTGGTCTCCCCCAGGACAACGAGAAACCCCATGGAACCTAGGTTGAAAAAGAAAATTTCTCGATCGAGCTTATCGCAACCAGAGAGGGGGTGTCACCTCCTGGCAGGGAAATTGCACGAAACGACACGTGTGAAATCAGCTAACCTGATTGGCTGCAGACTGTCTTATCAATCTCCTGGTGACGGTGCACGGTGTCCTACCACCCCTGGCTGTAAAACCAGGGTGCAGGGGCAAACCGGTCAAAGGATCGATTGGTTCCAATTCGAGATGCCTCAGATACGTCAAGTCCTCCGCTCCTGAATTATTATTATCTGGCTCTCCGTCCTTGGACAAGGGTGGCGAGACTCCGCAGTCTTGAGGCAAGCCTGCATAAGGAGTGCTCGCATTTCGACCGGTTCCTGCTTCGAGAGGATGCCATGTCGCTTCCTGAAAATTCGTCATCGTACGATTAAACGAACGTACGTACCCGGTGCGTTCAAACGAGCCGTGTCGATTACCTGCAAACGAATTTCTATTTGCCACTGAACGCGAACCGAAAACACGTGTGCAACGTTAATTATTGACTTTGAGAAATTTTCGTTAACCAGCCCCGAGCCTGCTCTTTCCATCGCATTAACAGAACATGAATATCTTCAACATAACACCGACCACGAAGAACACGGCACAGTAGATAGCCACCACGATCATGATTGATTTCACGGGTCGCGGAACAAACGTGGACGAACGATTTCGATGAAATTGGCAAGATATTCCCAAGGCACCTGCCACTTTTCAACCAGATCAAAGCACAAGTGAATCTTTCCCGGATGACGTTCCACTGGCTAGTTTCGTAACGAGCTTAACCATGACCTTAAGCCAGGAAGACCTACGAGTGACGGTAAACAGCTGACAGACGGTTATCGCGCATCAAACTTCCTCCTCGCGAAAATTCTACCGTTTCAACGCTTGATAAGCATCTATCGTTCAAACGAGTTTCGTCTGGACGGAAAAATTGCTCGTAATAACCGGGGTCAAAAGTGAGTGTACCAAAGAAATAAAACGTCATAGTATTTACCTTATCCTGAGACAGAGGTAGAGGTAGAGTCATGCAGCCTAACAGTTCGCTACGTCTGAAACAAATGAAACGAAAATGTAAATCAATCTTTTTCAATAACAAAGTGCAGATACATACCTATATAGGCGCGTACATCAGCTGATAAAATCAATCGATCGATCAAATATAACACCGTTTACAAGTCGTTATTCGATCGATACGCGTTTACAAGCTAACCGAAAGTTAGTTTTCTATTTGCTCTTCATTACTACCCACTTTTTGTTACCTGAACGGCAGCTTTTTCATTCCAGTATAGATACGAAATCAATTGCTTCCGTCTTTCTCCTAATATTTGCTTAAATTAACCCGAACAAATAGAGCAGCCAACCGAGTCAACATTCGAGAACTTTCAATTATTTACATTTCATCAATTTGTTAATATCTACACATAAATTATGACAATTTGGCATTTTTATTATTTACTCGAAGCGAACTCGAAGCGAAATTAAAGCAAAGTCTGATATTCTAGAAGAAGAGTATCGACGTCCAGCGAGTCTAGATAGGTCCACTGACCAGTTGTATTAGTACTATTTACATGGAAAGGTAGAAAGGAAAATTGTATAGGAGTTCGGTGTGGTTGCAGAGACGCGCGGATGTGACGAAGAGTGCACGTGGCGGGCTCGATGCGCATGCTTCCACGGAATCGATTCCCCTCCTACCGCGAGCAATCCGCGTTATATCCCAGAAATTCGTTTCACCGTTCTGATGGACCATCGCATCGTAACCCACGTGAAATTATCTCAACCGGAGACAGTCCCTTTTATCGACTGCTTCGTTATCGCGTTTCTCCTCGTTTGCATGCGAGACTGTCGCGTGCACTCGCTTTCATTTTCCGTCAACTGGAATGCTTCGCGAGTCTGCTCGATACCAGAGACACGAATCATTTAAATCTCGTCTGCGAAACGCGAAAGGTTTCATGAGAATATTGGAAACAGCGACGAAGGGGTTGTCTGGCGTTATCGTAACTTGCTTTGCAACGAAATTCTGTCGTTTCTTTTTCTATCGATTATGAAGCTGGAAATGAAACATAGGAATCCTTTAAATCGTGTCTATGAAACTTGTAAAGGTTCGTGGAGAATATCGGGAAGAGGGGAGGGGTTGTCTGACTTGTAACTCTTGGATTAACGAGACCTAGCCGTAGTTCTTGACCCCGATATCTTCTCCTCGGAGACAGCGCCTACTGCCGCGTTCCTTCATCGCCAAACCGCATCGATACAAATCGCCTACTTCTTTTTTCGTATCTCTGTTAAGGCGGATTGAAAAGTTTCCTCCCCTTTCTTCATGAAAGAAAAACGGACACGTAACCCTATGTTTTACTTATAAGTCTGCAAGACTAGTTTCTAACATAGTTACTTCTTATAGCATCCTAACAGTGTAAGAAAGTCCGGCAACTTTGGTGAATGTTTAAAATTAGATTCTTAATTGGCTAGTTTTTCGTAATTGGTCGAGGCCTTTGGGTGTAAAGGAAAGATCTAAAGACACGCTGGTACTAATTATCGGTATCATAGTGGAAACGCGAAGTGTTAATTAGGATATTCTCTTCCTAAACTGTTAAGATTCAGATAGCTACCGCCTACGTTACATACGTTCCGCAACATTCCGGCGATGCACGGAAAGTTAACTCTTGCGTGAGATTAGTATCTCGCGGCGTGTACGAAGCGGTACGATGTTGAAGTTACATCGAGAAAACGAGTCAAGGCAACGTTGAGGGAATTGAAAGAACGTTTCCAATGACAACGGAATCGTACTATCGCTATCCGATCGGCATGGCAGGGCAAGCTTTATTGTTATGTGACACGAGTCGTCGTGTACCACCGAAGAAGCCCCTCTTCTACGGGTTATTTCCTTTTTTCGAGCATGCTCACCTTGCGCGACGATCCCTGTGCCAGACAGCGATGTCCAGGGACGTGGGCTTGCCGCTGCAGTGGTTGTTGTTCACCGGGCAGGGCAGTATCAAGGTCTCGTGGAAGACGGGATTCGGCGTGGCCCTGTGCACCGCCGTCCTCTTCACCACTCCCTCGCCGCTCCCGTTCTTCAGGCTCGCTTTCACATACGCGTGAATAGGGCCCTCGTACGCTCTCCTAAGATCCTTGCACCTTATCACTGTGACAAACAGAAACGAGAATGTAGCGTGAAATCTTTTCTTCTCTTTTAAATCGTTCACGATCTAGCCGTCAATCTCTAGCCGAGATTATGCTTCCTTTCGATCGAGGATAGATGAACACGTGCGAAAAGTACGGAATAAGCTTCTTTTCTGTTATGTCTGACCGATTCGTCGCACGCACTACGCGCACCGCCGACCGTCTGACCAATGCGGCACTCTTCTACTTGCTGCAACACGGATCGACTTCCCGAATTCGAACGCTTTTCTCCCTTCGTTCTCGATAACGAACCGTTCGAGAAAAAAAAACAATTCGAAGGAATTCAACGAACGAGCGATTTATCGAGGGGGGTTGCGTCCCGGTGTTTCGAAAGAGGGAAAGTTTAGGACCGGTGGAGACGGGAGAAGCGTAAGTTTGGATGATTTTACGTTGGATTGTTTACGCAAAGATGTGTGTACCAGCTATAATCAATGTTGGTAGGCCTACTAACCGGGAGCGAATTGCCAGGAGGGTCTGTGGGTTACTGGCACAGTCGTCTATCGCGGGGTGCCAACTGAAACACCCCCTCTTGTGGCACGTAACTAGCGCATGCCCTTTCGCGATTGCTTGCCAGGGACGTCTTGGCATCGCGAAAACCCTCGCGAATATACTTATCCGACCAAATATGTAACCCGATATTTCGCTCGAGAGAGATATCTTTTTTCCTCTCTAACGCGTTGATTGTCATAGCTAAAAATATTCCTCTTTGATACAATATATTGGAAATTTAACTTTTGAACGTGATACTTTGATTCCCGCCTAGTTAGGTTACTAGTACAGTTTTAATAATATTCCTTTTCTTTCTTGTTAATTATTTTTTATTCACCAATGACCTCGTGGCAATCAATGTGTTAAAAGTACGTAGGCGTGTTGGGAGCCGGTGCGCGGTGCTTTTGTTTCCGTTGAGTTGCGGCTTGCTAAACGAGACGAGCACTTTATCACGTTCGATTTTATGCAACGGAACAACGATCGTGTATGTACATACGTACATTCTTTGACAATGATTAACGCGTTCTCTACGACAAATCTGTTTATATTTATATTTAAAGTCACTTACCTCGAACGTGTATTTGTTCACCAACCACGGAGTACTCGATCTCGATCGATCCGTGGCAGTTCGGTTTCGGGAGTTCGCTTTCCGGGCTGAATTTAAGACATCTACGTACAGTGGCGACAAGCGGTGTTTCCGGTGTGTTCGACATCGAGTTTAAGAACGACTTGGAGCTCTGAAAGTCGTCGGTGAGGCTGGATTTTGGACTGTCCAGCTCCCAGGTACCGTTTTTCTTTCCAACCTCCTCCTCTTTACGATCCTCCTGACCCGAGAACAACACTTTCGGCGCGAACACGCACTTCTCGTCCAAAGTGGTGTCCAAGTCCGTCTCCAAGGCGAGTTTCTTCACATTTGGATTCACAGCCTCGACCAAAGCGTCCTGCGGTTTCTCGATTGTCGCGCTAGTCGACGGACTATGGCTCGACGAACGCCTCTTTGCCCGTTTCCCCTCGTAAATCTTCCCCGTGTCCTTCCGATGTCGTTTCCTTCGTATTCCTCGTTGCCTTTTCAAGGTAAATTCCCCGTCCAGCTCGTTGGTAGGGGAGGAGAACGCCCAGGACATGGGCGAAGGATCCTCCAAGAGTTGACTAGCCGAAGAGATGGAACTATCGTTGTGACACGCCGTTTCCTCGTCTTCCTCTTCCCGTTCCATGATCGTCTCGTACGTGTGATCCACTTGCGAAACGTTTTGCTCATCCTCGCGGCTATCCTCTAGCACCTTTTTTCGTTCCTCCACGTCTCCCAGAAGAATTTCCGCCACCGTCTTCCCGCTGAAATTCACCTCCTGTTCCCTGAATACGAACGAGCTATTTGCAGTGCAATATTTTCAAGCAATTTCTGAACATTTGCATAGAGATAGAAGGAAGGTAGTACTGTTTCGAGAAAGTAAAGAACGACGCGAATTGGCAACAGCCTGCAATATTATTCCCTCAACACCTTGTATATAAATATAAGTTAACCCCTCGGTGTGAAACGTTCGCTCTTACCTGTTGAGGACTTCCGTCACTGTGTTGTCCATGTTCTCAAACTTGGGTAGATCTTGGTCTATGGCCAGATTCGACAGTTTCCCAGCCAAAGGCGTCTGGTCGTGACCGTTTGTTTTCATAGAACTCGCGGCTGTAGCAGCGTTCTTCCCGTGATAAGGCGTTTTGCAACGTGCGTGAATCTTGCTGATTCTCGCCAGTTTCGGCAGATACGAGATTCTCGTGCAATCCGGGAATTTTGACTTTAGCTCCACGTTTTGAGAGTACAGTCTGTTCTTCGAGAGAGGAACAGTCTCGGCTTCCATCACGTCTTCCGGACTGGTAGCCATAGAAATTTGTTGGAAAAAGTCTGACACGTGCGACTGAAGGTTCGCCCTGGCCTCGTTCACGATATTCTGCGGTAGCTCGTTGTCGCTCTGAAACTTCTTTACTTTGCTCTTCATAAATAGCGTGGGATCGGTTGGTAGAGTGAGACCGGTGGAACATTTGCTGCCGGCTGGTAGAAACGTTAACGGACCGATATCGGTGTCGACTCTCGGGGTGCTTTGATAAAAGCTCTCCGTGACAGATGACTTGTCCGCTTGCTGTGACATCGACTGACGTTTGTTTGCCCGCAGATTAGGCTTCGTAGCCTGAAAACAAACAATTAACCAACCCCGTTTTTTTTTCCCCCCCCGACCCTTATTGAAACGATTCGAGAAAATTCTTTTACTGACTTGAAAATATGTCCGTAGGTCGCTGCCGTGGCTCCTGCATCTTCTACGACGAACCGGCGTGGTCCTGGCCAACGTGTTTTCGGCAGTTTGAGCAGGTATGTTACGAGTTTTGGTAGTAGCAGCGGGAGGCGTGTTGGACAAGTCTCGAAAAGGCCTGCGTGTCGCCTTGTTCAGGCTAGGCGGACCGTGAGGCGTCGAGCTGCTCGCCGACAACGATCTCGAAACCGTCCACTTCAGCATCTCTGTGCAGGCAGAAAGCAAACCCCCTAAGTAAGCGAAAACTCTCGCTTAAAACTTTATCGATTCACCTTCGCGCCTCGAGGAAACTGCGCTACAATTTACGTTGAAAAAGAAAAGGAAAGTCCGTGTTTTCTACAATTACGTAAGGTGCACGTGACGAAAGTAACAGGAAGCTTATCGTGACATCTCGCGTTTTAAAGGGACCGCTCGCCCGTATCGGTACGTGTTCCCGAAAATAAATGTCGGCTTCTAATTATGTAACAGGTCGAGGGCGGTGACAAAAAAGAAAAAGATGAGGACGAAAGAAATAGCAGAAAGGCGGTGACGAAAGCAAAGGGTCGCACCTGTCACGGCATACGGGAAATAGCGAAACAGGTGAAACTTCAGTTCAGGTGGTTCACCTGAGTCTGTTTCACGAGTTAACACTTGCTTTGACTTAACAAACGGTTAATTTCTATGTCCCGTGAGAAATAGAATATGCTGAAAATGCGCGAAGGGAAGAATGAAAGCGGTGATGCAAAGAAATCGTTTCACCCTGCGGTGCCGTAAATTCGTTGGTGCGCGTAATCGTTGATTCGATTAGGACGATTGAATTTCGTTCCGTGATCACGAATTCGAATCACGATCCGCACTCTCTCCTCTCTCTTTGAAAAAATAACGGAACTTTATCCTTTCAGAATTTCGGTAAAAAGTTGAACGTTCCGCTGATACGATCCGAACAAAAGAAAATTGATCGATGCTATGTCTGATGAATACACCGGATGAGAAAGCAGTTCGCGTAGGGTTGCATTGTCATGCTGGTATAAGACACCCTTTCGGTTCGCGACTTCTGACATTATCATCTTTCATAAAAACACAAATTTTATATCTAACCACAGATAGCGCGTATCTTTCTTGTTATCTTTGAATTGCAAACAGGTCAATAGTATCAGCAGCAGCAGCATTAACAGTAGCAGGAGCGGGAGCGAGAGCAGGTTTGTCCCTTTTAACGGTTCCTCGGAGGGGGTGAACGTGTTGCATTGTGAAGTAGGTATGAAAATGCGTTCATTTGCATACAAGCTGTTGCCATGCCGCACACGCACTTTTTCACGCGTGTTCACGTAGTTTCGAGTGAACCTCCGTCGGTACACCAAGTGACTTGGTGTGCACGCACGCGTACATTTTCGCTACACGGTAGCTTGTGAAACGGCATGGGCACCTGCCCATATGGTGGAAGTCGCGTAGCGTGCTTTCCATCTGGTCTGGCGAAGCACGAGAGCTCGATGGTTGTCGGTGTCGAAGCACCGTCAACGAGACGATTACTATCTACCTTTATTTCACCAGCCTTCCTTTAACGTATTCCCTATTCCATTTTGCTACCCTTTCTCCAACATCCACCTCACCGCAACTGGCCTAACCACCGACTCTTATTTCGAACATTTACACAGTGCAAATCTATCGATAAGATAAAACTAATCGAAAACGTTTTTTTTTTCGAATCTAGATTTTAGATTAATCAGTCACTGATATTTAATTAACCTTCGTTAATTTGAAACGTATTCGCCAACTTCACGGAGCGCGCGTTTCACCCCAAATAATTAAAACACTGTATGCGAGTTAAGCACGGATTAAGAGGTCATAGTTTGTGCACTTGCTTCCTTTTCCCGGTGATACACGCAGACCCCGAAAAGACCTCCTTTTTTTTCCCAATGCTGGCCATTTGTCGGCTGGAGATCGTTAGATGGAACGATAACGATCACAGGTGGACCACGGCTCCCCTTTTCTAAGCGTCGTGCCGTGCACGCTAAAGATTTATCGTTGGCTAGTAGCTAATTATTGAATCGAGACCATACAGCTGGCGCCATGGCGTTTGTCCCCTACATTTTTTAACGCGAGTATCGTTTCGATAAATCTGTGCAAGTTTGATGGAAATTCTTTACGCTTATACGTGATAAGAGATAGATGGGGGAGATTTTTGTCGAGAGTGTATGCAAATAGTTTAACCGAAAATTGTTGTCCCATCGAAAGGGATAGATCGCAGGTGAGGACAACTCGGCAAGTTTGCGAGCGTGCTCGAAATCCATTTCTAGCAGCGACACAAATCGTTGGCCATTATGCAAAGAGAACGCATACCATTTTCCGTTACCCGTTCTAGTCCAAGTACTGGTTGCCTCGAACATACCAAGCGTTTTAAAAGTTCCGCGCGTGTCGCTCGACTGGTTCTCTTCTTTTAACGCCCGAGCAATTTTTAAAAACGTATCGTTACCCAACCGCTTAGTACCATTTAATGGACGCGTTTTTAATGTACATTAAACACCCCAGATGACGTCCATTAGACTCCCCGGGAAGTTTTCACGGCTTTTTCTGACGGTCACTTTCACTCTCTGTTATTATACCAAATTGCGAGGATCGTTTAAGCACTTGGAAAAATGCATTCGTCGATCGATAAAGGTGTTTTCTCGCAACAAGTGTCAAACGACGACATTAAATTGTTTCAGTCCCTCTCGTTTGCGTCTTCCGAATAGAACGCGGTCCATATCTGTCTCTTTTATGGCTTGTAAAATAGGCCGCGCGAGGACGACAATACACGATACGCTTTGGGATCGCGTCCCAAATAAAAAGGGGCCCTTTGCTCCCCCCCTCGGCATCCTTCGGCTTTAATCCATTTCGGTACCCCTTCTTACGTTTCTGTCCGCGAAGAACGAGACAGGATCGAGCGGAGTCCTTCAACCGAACAGAATGAACAAAATAGAGCGACGGTTAAAAACCTTAACATGCTTGCAAGCACACCCGACAACCCCTTTTCTCTCTTTTTCTGCGTAATGTATGCCGTAAAAGTTGTTTTTAACGACTTTGCCAAGGTAGGTACGCTTCTCAAGGATGGGAATTAATCGAAGAATACCCACCCGTGTATCTTCCCCTTTTATCTACCTTTCCCTCTCCTTTCTTCCGTCGATTGAAAATCCCAAGTTCTTTAGCTTTGCAAACAAAAAATCCTTTCAACAACGTATGCAAATATTCGAACGAGTTGCCTACCTCTTTTCTCATGATGTCAATAGAGAAATTGGTCTGCTGGCATCGCTTACGCGATTAATTCGCGTGAAACGCTGTGAATCATCGCGAAAACCAGCGGCACAATACGATTATTCACAGTTCGAAGACAAGAAAGAAGAAGCCATTAACGGTCTCGATTCGTCTCCTCGGGGGTTGTTTCTATGAGCGATCACGAAGAAAACAAGAAACACCACGAAACTTGCCGCGAGTTTCGGCTGGCCCAGCCCCCTTTCGAAGCACCTAGGGAGATCTTTCTTCTATCTTGCAATTGGAGAGAGACCTTCTAGATTTCGGGGATGAACTCGCCTTTCAGAAAGATAAGAAACAGTTGCCAGGAAAAGCTCGAGCTTTCCGAAACGAAAGATTATTCGTCAGCTGAGAAGGTAAGAGGTAGGAGAAGGGAGGGGGAGCAGGTGAGCACTTGGTACGTAATCCCTTTTGAAAACGTCGCAGACACACGCACAAGGAGTATACGGGCTGTGCCGTAGACCGCGAACGAGCGGCCCCTAAAAATAGTCTATTCATCGCAGCGAACAGCCTCCTTCCCTTACCTTACCTTACCTTACCTTACCTTACCTTATCCTACCCTTCGCCCTTCGTTTCCGCTTCTTCGGCTTGGCTTAGCCCAGAGACTTGGTTCTGATTTATATTGGATTGACCCTGGCCACCACCTTTCGCTTCGTGGCGTTTCTCTCGAAATGGTCCCGTGTCTGGTCGAGACGAGCAGACACGCACGAGCTGGCAAAGGGAGAAACGAGGGGGCTATCACAAGAGAGACCCAGTCGAGGACGATCAAACGCGCATTCATTCATTCATTGGTCCGATGTGCTCGATTTTCGGCAACAGAGAGGGATAGAAAAGCTGGAGAGGAAACGCGTCCTGAAGACGCAGTCTCCGTACTATATGGAGCACACCTGTCCCCCCGTTTTCTCCTCTCTCCTGTTTCGCATTCCCATGCTTGTCGTACCCTTCGCGCAACCGATGTTTTCCACCCTTCGCTTCGTACGAATCGCGAACGTACTTTTTCAAGGGGGTGGATCGACTAATTGGAACCTTAAACTCGTAATTGTGTTTCGCTGACATTTCTAAAGGTGATCCTTTAGAATATTTAAATAGCTTGCAATCGAATAATGAACTCTGTTGGTGATTCGAAAGTCAGAAACGTGTGAGCAAGGTTTTCGGTTAATGGTCGATCGAAATGAAACTGGGAATTTACAAATTGTAAAGAAAGTCGGGGGTACGTTTGGAGACTGCCTACCCTTTGCCAACAGGCTATGGACATTCAGGACGCGCCTCGAAAATAAGGCAGGAACAATGGAATGAAACGAGTCCTGGCGAACAAACGCCTGGCCATTTAAATAGAGGGATCCTCGAGAAAAGGTTCCTCGAGGTGGACCCACGGGGTCCTTCGAACTTGGACAGGAAAGTTTGTATAGGACCCGCGACTAGCCTTGCTGGCTCCTTCGTTACCAGTCCCTTTCAGTTTTTTCTCTCCCTCTTCTTCCCTTATCCTTTTCCCTTTTGACCTCCTTCTTCGAGTCTCTTTCTTTTCCCTCCTTTTGACAGATGTACCGAGCCACGCGTATTCACCTTCCTCTTTTTTTTTTTTTCTTCACTTCCACTACTTCGTCTTCTTTGCTCGTTCGCGGTCGTTTCAGCATCGACTCGTGCTACCGGATCGAGGAGTCTTACAATTAGACGAGCCTCTAACATCGCTTTTTAAAAAGCACTTGCCTTTGTTCGGACAACGAGCAAATTCAACGCTCGTAGCCTCGAGATAACCCCAACCCTTGCTGTTTCACGCTTTTATTCGCGACTCGAGTTTCTCACCCTTCTTTAGCGTTTAACTTATCCGCATTGTGTTATTTTGCTCATTCTTTCGCGATGATAGAACGTACACGCGTCGATCGTGCATTGGACGCAACAGAATCTTTACCACAGTTTCAGAGTTCGTTTCTGTCTTGAGAAAACAAAGCCAGGTACAGCCCCGCAACCCAACCCATTTTCCCCTACTTGTATACTTTTTTTTTTTTTCGAGGGATCCCAACAACCTGAAAGGATTTTCTAACCATTCGCAGGCCAGGCATTTCTCGTGAGACCTAAACGGAGTAAGAATCAATCGCGGGCAGGTCGAAGGCGTTTCGCTCATTTTTTCCCTTCATCAAAGACATTGATCAATCGAAAGGAATGAATGAAATGCACGGTACCGGAGGTACGATTGAGATGTAAAGATTGGCGCCATGAAAAGTGACAATAATCGACGAGCATTCGGGAAGGGTTCCTATCGATTCGAGTCATTAATAATTCAGAACCGTCTGAGATTCATGCGGTTACCAAAGTGGCTTCGATTGGTCCCTGCATGAATATCGATTGCCCGAATACACTGAATACTAACACATACATTCTGAGTGTAGCGATAAAAGAGCGAGCCAGAATAAGATCGTCTTTATTTGAAGACGATCGGAAAACGTTGAAATGAACGAAAATCGAAAGATTCCGAAAGAAACCGTTCGAAGGATCCTACGCCGAAAGGAATCGCTTGTACGATTCAGAGCCGGCAGAAAAACAGGCTCTACTCACCGTGTGTGTGGTGTCCTTGAGCCACAGGATTCGAGTTGGTACATCCAAAATGCGTCAGTCACAAATTTTCAACGCACAGCTCGATACGTCGTCGCGACACATAATCCGCGAACACGATCGCACTGTTTGAGAAATGTAAAAAGGCACTGGAACACGGCACAAGAGGTGTCGGGACGTGGCACTTCAACGGCTGCTTCTCAACTGACGTGGTGGGGTGAGGACGTGGGCCTTATGTAGGAAAGGGTCCCTAGGTGAGGCTACAAAACAGGAGAGACCGGCTCTCTCTTGCTCTATACTGTCTGTACTCTCTACCTATATCCCCACCCTGAAGCAATCGTGACCTGACCATGCCAGCCACTCAAACTACACACTCCAACTCCATTCCACTCGCCCCAGGTGGACGCTCGATGATCTGATGGTGGGTGTCTTGGGATTGCGAACCTTTCGAATGTTAGCTACCGATAACGGGATGCCGGGAAAGATTCTCGAGATAGAAAGATCCTTCCTTTGTCTCGATCCTGATTTTCTTGTCTCGTCCCTTTTCCATTGCTTACAAAAGTATCTTTCCCAAATTGTTAATTTTATAAATCGTTTGTCAGTATCTACAGTATGCGATTTAATTGGCAGAACTTGTTCTCCCTACTTTGATGAACTCGCTAAGTCGCACCTTATCCCATTCAGTTTATATTTATATAGAGCTTATCAGTGGTACAACGTTAATCGCGCGAGGCGAAATGAGAGGGTGTATCGTTTGCGTTAATTAGTCTATCGATCAAACGGAAATTTTTGCAAAAAATAAACTGGAATGAACGATTTCGTATGGTTGGCAAAGCGCGAGAACGGAAACGTTCCGAGGTTTCGAGTGGGCAGTTAGATTAGAATCAGAACGGTGTATGGTGTATAGAGTAGAAAATTCAGTACACGTTTCAGCGAGCAACGCTACTTGAAAACACATCTGTGCTCGTGCAGAAAGAGAAAGTCTAGTCACCGAAAGACCCAAGAGACGACAGCCGTCTAACTTCCTAGACCTAGACCAAGCGGCGTGTCTCTGTTTACAAAGTGGTGGGCCTTTGGCGCGATTTCTAATCTCACGGTTGTTTCCTCCATAGAAAACCTTAAAGTTCGATCCCTTGTTGTTCGAGCGAGGCATATATCTCTCTCTTGCGGACACGTCCATCCATGTTGAAAGCCTTCCCTGGTCAGGACAGTCGATTTCTGAGGTGTACCGCAAACGGCTCGTGTTCACACAACCTCGTTTAGCGTGCTGCGAGAAATTACTTAATAAAGTAGAATAGCCGATCAATTACTTATTCCGCTGTGTAATTTGCCATAGATACCCCACGAAAGATCAAAGTTCTATGTCCGCTATAAATTGCTGACTTTCAAGTACCATAGAAGTACCACAGCTTCTGCTATGAATCTTTCACGAGGACCGGACAATTTTGTCGGCCGTTACTCTTGAAAGAAACAACCGTCTGTCGGTTGTACAAAGGTCTCGAGGCAAGGACTGGATTCTTTTGTGCACTCCCCCGCACGTGCCAAGAAAGGACGCGGTAACCCTCTTTCTACATCTTCTCTCTTCAAATGTACAAGGTTCAATTATGTATTAGAACGCGTTCGACTTACCTTCGAGCACGAACTTCCAGCTTAGATATAGAGTCATTTCACGGCTGGAATTCGCGTGGAATGCGTTCCCCTTGCGTCTTCGTTTCTTCACGTCTGTGAAAGAAGCTGAGAGATTGGCGAACAAGTCGGCGAAGAAAGGCAGAAAAGTGGAGAAACGTTGGAACGAAATTGGAAGCGTTTCACGGTCCTGTAGATGCGGGACAGCTGCGGCTGTACGAGCTCGTGCGTAAGAGCTGATCGTGCAAGAAAGAATATCCCGAACAGAACGGTTTCATTACTACTGGCGAATTTCGATGCAAACACAAGGCCCCGCATGTCCCCGCTTATAATTACAGGCAGATCTTAAATGCAACGCGTACCCGCACTCGAGCCTCGAACAAAGAAATTCCAAAGCAACGGACCTCTTGATTTTTCCAAAGTCAAAGAGTAACCTTACTTACAGGCACAGATATTCTCTTAACATTTTCATAAACATCATGCTGCATGTATGTACGAAAATCTTTTTCTAACGATTTCGTTGTTCGATCCCTGAAAAGAGGAGGGAAAGAAATGTAGTTTATTGTCCTGTCTGTTCTACGATGCTGGATCGACGAAAAAACCGCAAAAGGACACACGTTCCGACGAATCACCCTAGTTTTCCTTGAATTTTTCCGAAACGGAAGCGAAGGGTGCGTTCGCCAAATTAGAGCGGCACTCGATTGTTCGAAATCGCGGGACTGGAAACGATTCGGCGGGATCCTTTTTTCGAGAGTAGGCGAATGGGGTCCGAAGAAGGGAGATACTTCTCTATTTTCTCCTACTTTGCTTTCTTTCTTTCTTTCTCCTTCGGGCGTGGAACTGTACGAAATTGAACTTTTTAAATTCCCACGTCTATCCATCTAGCAGTTCGCTAAACGATATTCCGCCCTTTTGTCGTGAAAGTTTCGCAAAACACGTCTTTGTTTCCCCTTCTCGTTACCAAACCGATCCTTCACGAACCGGTGGAGATCGATCCGATAGAATTCATTCTTCGAAATTGATCTAATCCTCCCTTGCCTCAGGAACAAGGTGAAAATTTGATTGACATCTTTATAAGAAAATTTCTGTCTATAACGCGCGTATAAATCGATGAATGACACGTTTCACGAACTTTTCCAATTTTCATTATTACCGTGTCTCGAAACCACCCCCTCGGAAATAACTGAAAACGTTCGTTCCGCATAGGAAAGGGACAACGACGGGGCAGTCGAATTGACTAAACACCGGCCGAAAATCAAGAATAATTAATAATGCAGCTGCAGGAATAATAAACGCACGGGCAGCGTAAAGCAAAAATAAAAGCAGCTGCTATGGAAAATTATTAGCGTACACGACGATTACTTCTATCGATCTATGCACGACGAAGGGGTGGATTTTTCTGTTCTTTTCGACCATAAATTTTCATCACGCTGTGAATTAAATTAAACTTGCTTAATTGAAACGGCCTTACATAAAATGTGTTTCACTTGGAATTCTTGCAGTATCGTACAAAAGTTCATAAAACAAGTTATCAGAGTTAACAGGATATCGAAAGGAAGAATATAAACATGTCAAAATGACGAGGAGACAAGGAAAGAAGAAAAGGCGCGTATTTATTAGAAACGCGGTATGGGGTAGGAAACGAATCCCCCTCGGTGGCCTAATCGTCTATTGCCGCGTTATTTCTAAGCCGTTAAGCCGACCCGATTCTTTTTTCAAAAAACGAACGCCTTCTCGTTCCTGGGTAATATTTTTCTTTTTCCCTAGTGAACCTTCGATAACCGAGTCGAACCGTACAGAAATATGATCTTGCTCATCGACAAGTTGAAAAGTTCCAATGGTAATCGCAAATTTATATTACGATCTACCCCTTGGCGTAACTCTCGAGTTACGAGCGCTTGAAAATGAAAATATTTTAGGCACGTCACGACTTTGTGATATGAACCCCATTTTGTCCTGTTCGACGAAAATAACGCGGTTGGTCATAAATCCTGGCAGGTGGTAATCCTGATTCATGCTTCGTTCCAGTATTAACCTCGTTAATCCGTCGTGACTGTAGCAGTATCGATCGATTCTAATTTATGCTGACATCGTCTAGTTACGCAAACGATCACGCAACTGCCCATCGAGATTCGGCTAAGATATACCTTTGCACGAAACGAGCAACGACCAATAATGTCACTTCCACCCATGAAACTCAGATCTCTTTTAAAACACCATGTACGAAAAATAATAATAGACGAATTCCATCTCCCTTCTTCTCCTCTCGATAAAGGGCAGGGGCATTTGTTTCGATCAAGAGATTAGAATTTTATGCGAGGGAGCTGGTTGCAAGCTTCTTATCGATCAAATTAATCGCGATTGAAGGAAAACGTGTCGCATAATCGAGCGAGAGGCTTACTTTTCAAAAGAATCCTCGACGTTTTGTGGTAAAGGGATGCGATTGTAACCCTATCGATGAATAAGTAGCAACTCTTCCTACTCGAACAATGAACAGAGCATCGTTGACCCCTTACGCTTAAATACGTATACCCTTATAGATTTTGCATCGAGGATTATATGGGAGACAGATTTTTGCAACGAAAAAACGAAACGAACGTGCGATCCCATGATGAACTATGCTCTAGATTTATAACTGTTATATTAGCGAAGCATCATCGCTTCACCATTAATTTCAAAATCGTCTCGCGGATTCGATCGAAAAGAATCGAGGATTCCGTTCTCGGTTGTTCGCAAGGGATACGTCGAGGATCGAAAGGGGTTGGAGCGTTTCGTCATCCCCTTTTTAACATCCGTGAACCCTAATTTTTGAAAAAGAGTTTGTCGATGAAACGGTTTTGTACATACATATATATATATACATCTCGGTAGCCACAAAAGCAGCGAACAGGCTTTCCCGAGGAGATTCGAGAGGTCGTTCACGAAGGGGGTTGTTTTCAAATACTGTCCCAGACCCAGAGATATTATCGACCCCTCTTCAGGCTTTTCACATTACACGAGAGTCTGGACGTTGTTCGCGATGAAAGGGTTGCGAATCAAAGGATCCTTTCAAAGTCAACCTACAGGACTAATTTTTAAAAATCACTCGAGAAACACGAGCAACTCGAGCAACTCGAGCACTTTGATCATTATCGCACCTTCGCAGACACTGAAGCAGGTGTTGGTTTAGCGTTGAACAGATATTTCTGTAAGTTAAGCGTTTTTTTATATTCAACATGCTAGGTATTCGCTATCTCGAGAAAAGTTAATTCATGGAAAATGTAGGAGAAAAGAATCTGGTTCGTCGAATGGCACACGTGCGCAAGTATGTCGGTCTCTTTCTGACATAGGATATATCGAAGGAGACGGTTAGCAAAGCTACCTCCCATGGGAGCTTCTCTCGGCTTACGAACACGACGATCCCGCTTCCGTTACGAAAATAAAGCTCGACTGGGAGAAGTGCCGCGAACCGTATCACCTCCCGAATAAACAAGAAAAGCAAAAACCTTTGATTGTACTGCCAAAAGCTATTACGGTTCTATTCGAGGTTCGCCGTCTGAACGGAAGTAAATCAGGGCCTCGTTGACGTCGAAAAAAGACGAAGAAACTAGTGCAAGTCCCAACAGTTCTCTACGTCTCTTCTCTTTATTCTCCTCTTCTTAACACTTCAATGACCGAGCAGGTATTAATACCCCTTTCAGTTCAATGCGTCAACTGGAAAGATCGAAATTTTCAAATACCTAATTAAAATTTCTATTTATTTAATATTTTTCTAACAGTTTCTAGTAGTTTCCGAGAAGACACAGTCGATTGTCTTTCGTTTAATAGGTTTTCTCCTGCGAGTTCGTGGAAGTTCGAAAACGATACGTTCTCAAGCCATGAGTTCCCCTTCGAATCGAACGATATTAGGTGTAGTTACCATTTACGAGATCAGTAAGCGTTTGGTTATAAATTTCACCCCGAATTGGGTAACTGCCAAGAGGCGGCGGTGGCAATGGGCCGAAGATATTGTGGAGGAGGATTGATGGAAGGACGGGTGAAAATAGGTCAGAAAAGAGTACCATAACCGCGTGGGAATAACCTAAATACAAGTTTGAATTACCTAATTTATCTAGTGATTTATATTTTCATTCATTATTATATTTCTTTCAATGTTGTTTTTCAAACGTCATTAACAAGTAGCAAGGGTAGGAAGGAAAGTTGTTCGTAAGAATACGAAGGAAAGAAATAGGAGGAAGGGCAGGTCGTGGAAATAGTCTGTGTTCACGACAGGAGGTCCGACCAGCAGAAGGATCAAGGACTCGATAATGAGCCCTCGTTCTGAAATCAAGCCTGTCATTGTCATTGTCATTTCAGCTATTCATCGCCGTTGTATACAATCGTACGTGTTACCGTTTCCTTGCTTCCGATTCTCCTCCGCTGCTTTTTCTTCCCTAAGCAGCTGGATAATTGCGATTTACCTAACGCAAATCATCGATCCGCTTTATTTTATTATCTCCTACACACGAAAGCAAAGCATTTTTTGCGATGCATAAAAAATACACCCAGTCACTGGAGAACAATTTATTCGGGTCGAGGAGCATAACGAAAGGAAAGCAATGGTTAGATACATTGAAAACGATGACTCCATTCTTCTAAAAAAAAATTAAGGGCAATGATTTCGCAACATGTCATTCGTCCGCGCCATATGGCGCATCATTAGGGATGGACGAGTACCTAATCGATCAAGCCTCGCGATCGAAATAAGCAGAGGAAAGGAAAGAAAGTATGTAATTCGACAACGACGAATGTTTCGAAGAAAAAAGGAGGAAAGCTCGAACGCAGTTTATGGGAGGAAGAAACATATCATCCTTCGGTTACTTCGCTTCGTTCGAGCAATTATAAGGGTCGTGCGTCATTCGTGCCAATTAGGCGGAGGAAGCGTCACCAGAGCGGGTGGAAAACCCGCTGTTTCGACCATTTCTCTCTTTCCTTCCTCCGTCGCTTACACTTCTCTTGCTCGCTTCTTCGTCGACCGAACGAAAATAATTTTACACGGGCTACCCCTTGGCCCGTGGTCTGTCGTCGGTCTTGTTTCTTGACACGAACACGTATTTCCTTTCTTTTCATCGGTATTTAACGCCTTTTTACTCTATTTGCTAAAAAATATTGTTCCATCGAATTTCGCTTTCGAAAGAGAAATTCGTTGCTTTGATCGCAAAGGCCTGGTCGTTCTTTTTCCGTGAAAAAGAGGGAACGTCGTTCTGTCCAGGCAACTGACGTTCATCTACGAAAATCACCCTTTGGTTAACAGAGCATGAACCCCGTTACCCGTGGCGGCCACCCCCTCCTCTTTGTCGTTACCATGACCCCTGTCGCCCTGCCACCCTCTCGTCCCGCACTACGCCCGTTTAAACTGAATTATGCATTCATGCTATTCCATGTTGCATTACGTTGCTCATTGTAATGTGTGTCAAGGGTTGACCACCTCGATCGACGTGGTTAACGTGGAAGCTCACGGACCCCTCGCGACTTCAGTCCACCTACCTAATTACATGCTCTTATCGCCGCTATTTATCCTGTCAACGTTATCACCTTGCCACGCGGTTATTATTTGCGGCGAGACATTGAATGCAGCCAGCCGCGCGCGCATGCGGTCGAGACGGAATTAACGGATAAAAGTTGAAATTGAATGCAAATCGCAGAAGAAGCGATGGGAATTGCTTCGTTTTTACCGATGAGAACATAACCGTCCGTTTAGCGAACCCTCGAATATCTTTTCATCGTTCGTAATCGAATGTCTTCACGGTGGACGATGACCACTATCTGTCTACACGTTACAATTCTGCTTTCCGCAGTCTGGGACGAGTTGCTCGCCCTCTTCCCGATACACGACCACCGTCTCCTTCTACGGTGAGATTTAAGGCGTCACGGAACATTAAATGTCGTTACTCAGCACCCTTCGACGCTCGCGCACACAGGCACAGCCGACCAGAGGCAAATTTCAAAGAAGAATTCGGAAGTTGGTCGTTAGGTAATTATCGTAAATTCACAAGCTTTTTGTCCGGGACACGGTGTGAAATTCTCGTAGAGGATAGGTTGTTAATTCGTTTGATAAAATAGTGCCGACTGAGAGATAGGTACTTTCGAACATGACTGGCAGTTATAGTTTATGAAGTCGCCAAGACGAATTTAATACAGTGTCAAACTCTCTAGAAAATCGACAATCATGGTTGCGAACGATCGGAAAGGATGTCGAAGGGAGAAATCATGACAAACAAGTTTTCACCAATCATTTATCTTCTTTATTTTTATTCACTGTAAATATGTATACACGAAAAAAATTCTTCTTAGTTACAATGTTTGTTAGCGATTATGATAAACTTTTATGCAACATATGTGCATATCTATCGCAAAGGATGGAGCAGGAAAAATGCGATCAAGGATATATGGAAATGTATGGAAAATACTTTGAAGAGTGCTTCCCTCGGGTAGGCATATGGAAGCTATTTCAAGGATTGTCAAGCAACGATCACTGTCACGGTGGTCGAAAGTGCATCTGTGGTTTCGGTGGAGCCCTGTTCGCGTCACAGAACGTTGGACACTGATCGGTCTCGACGCATGCCAGCCTCTCTCGCGACCTTCTCCTCCTAAATTCTCCAAATCAACTTGCTCCCTGCAAAATCAGTTCAATTTTAACTCCTTCCGAGTTTCTTTTTTTTTTTACTCACGAAAACAGATCAAAGGTTATCAATTTTCATTTATTAAATTTTAAAAGTTTCACTGGCTAATCTTGACTTTGTTACGATCGAAAAGAAGAGAGGTTTGCCGGAGAGACGGTCCTTTTCTCTTATCCATTTCTTGTCGGGCGCCACGAAACGGGGAGTACCAAGAAAAAAGTCGTGTTCAAAGGATCTCGGATTCTTTCTTAAGTTCCATCCCGAGCAGCGGAGATGAAAAAGAAGGATGTCAAAGACGCGAGTACGGGAGGACAAAAGCGACCACGAGATGTTTCGTAGACAGGGTGATTCTCGCGAAGAGAAAGAGGATGACAAAGACAGGGTAGAGTGTCCAGGCTGGGCTCATAATTTTCCTTGGGGGACGCGCGACACACGACGTGTACGTGTCACCGCGTCGCGACGCACGCGTCCGTCTCATCGCGACTGGAACACCAAAAACGAACCTCCAGCTATTTTATTGCCCTCCTTTTCCGAGCCAGAGATTCCATCGTTTTTTCCTTCCGAATAACACTGACAGAGTCTTCGATCTAACTCCGACGTGCTGTTCTCAGAATCGAGAACAATGTTTCCTCTTTCTAAAAATATCAATTTTTAATCGTTTAAAAATTAACTGGCCTCCATGGCAAACCATTCCCAGTCGAAACGCGAAGGTTGAATATCGTAAATCGATTATTTCACAGACAACATACGAGCGTGAAGTTCACGAAGGAAACGCATTAGGTGATTTCCCATTTATTTCGAGGAAAATAATTCGGTGTAAACGACGTCGAAAGTGGCCAGCGAACGAAGCAACGGGAGAAGACGCGTTTTATTGGGCCAACACGGTTGACAGCAAGAGTGACTGCGCTCGTAAAAGCCTCGTATAAATAAAATCGCCGGGAATATAATTGTTGCTGAGAGCCGGCAGCGTTCCTTTCGCGCTAAACTGTACGGGGTGTCGTCTAACAGATAGTACAATCTAAAGTTTTCAACCGTGAAATTTCTTCTATATTTCATCTGTATATCGATCGAATCAAACGGAGGAAAAAAAAGAAAAAGTGATTTTGGGGTGCGATATTTTCCACCCTAAAGAAAATATCAGGCGAACGCTGTTACCCTTGTTTGCTAACCGCTGCCGTAAGCTTTCTTAATATTTTTCTTTTTCGCAAGAACGCTCGTCTCTTTCCGTTCGATTCGTGTTTGCATAGGGACACGCGTTTTCACAATGTATGCACTTTATATATTCCCTTATAAAGGTCCTCTACAAATCTAAAAAGTCAGCATTTTTTCTTCACATAGAATCGAAATTTATTTTCTCGTGGAGTAGATTATAAATGGAGTGGTAGTGATAATGTATCAAGTGGAAATAACGATGTATAGTCGGGCAGAAAGTAATGCAACGATTTTATAAATAAAAGTTTATGCAGTGTATCAATGTTGGATCAGAAAAAAGTGGAAGGAAGTTCAGTAGACAAGAAAAAGAATCAGAAGCCTTGGGTTAAAGCGAAATCGTTACTCGACACCCTTGTGTAACGAGAGCTAGCCGCGATTATGAAGAAGACCAATGTTCCAGGGCATAAAGGACCGTGGTTCAACGTGTCCATGAAAATCGAAACCACTGTGACGCCGGCGCCTACCATTTACTGCTATTCTGCCTCTACTACTCAAAATGGACACCTATCATACACGTTCCTCTCGACTCTCTCTGTACACGTAATTACTTGATGTCCTACTCGTTCACCTCTTCACGTAGAGAATCGTAGAGAAATCGATTACGTGGCAACTCTTAAGGGAGTATAAAAAGTACTTTGACCAGTTCTTCGAAGAACAAAAAGATAATCGCGATGATACTGAAACTTCCAAAGAATCGACAAAGTATCTTTTAATCCTGCAGGGTTAGATCGAAAAGGCGAAACAGTTGTGGGTATCGTTTAGAAACCAATGAGCTTCTAATGAAGGTGGAGCTTGCCGAGGAAATCTCCACCTACTCTTAAAATGCTCTATTTCTCTCCTCTCCTGCGTGCGTGTCTCTCCCTACATAAAAGGCAGAAGGAGAGGAAGAAAGAGGAATGGAAAGAGAGTGTGACAGAGGGTCGGAGAGGGAAGAACGAAGAGGAGAGACAAATGAAGAGGCTGAGGAGGATCTTGAAGTGCGTTTTAACTCGGCCAAGTCAGTTGGCATCTCGCCGCACCTACTAATACGATGGCTTCGTTCGTACACCGCTATCCGTAACGATCTTCCGACCAAATCGATCGACCAGTTCTGATTTACACGCGATTTCGTTAAGTCCGGACGACGCGTTATCGCAGTTTCAGGCGTTGTGTAACTTCCCGTAGAGTGATTCCCCGTAAACAAGACAACGCTAAACGTTCGAGTGGAGAAGTTTTTCTTTGGAGGTTTCGGGAGATCTGAAAAGAATCTTTACGACTCGACGGCTCGTAAACGCTGCAGACCGTACACAGGGTACCGTGTATAAATACTGAAAGAATTAACGTTCAGAATCGGTGAAATAGCTGCAAAAGCGATTGATTTATGGAACCTCTATGGATAGAGATGGATCAAACAGGAGGAAGATTGCAAGAGAAAATTTGTTCGTTCTGATTTACATGTTGGTAATTGGTATTCAACGCGAAGGGGAAAGGTACGCGTTGACCTGAATCACCCCTTTTTCGCAACACCTTCGAACACTAAAACGAATTGCAATTGATCGTAACCAGCGGTTAAATATTCTGTAAAATGTTACCGTTGCAAATTTCATGAATACCAATGATTTTAACGTTAACCGACGAACAAATTGTTTGTAGATTGATCGTTGATAAACGACACGAGATTTAAATATAAGGAAGACTATGAAACAGTGGGTCCAATAATAGTTTTGGAAAACCGATAAACCGTTTTTTTTTTTTCGTGAGCTCGTGAACGCATCGAGCCGTCATTTCGGCCGGCACGTGCCACGTGCCACGAGAGACCTTAATTACCCGGTCACGCTTCACCTCGGAAATGCTTCAATTAAGATTTTCAAAAGTAAATTACGCGTTGGAAGCTTCCCTCTTTGTATATCTTTGCCACTCGTAAATAATTCTTGCATCCTGATGATCTCCTAAAACACTCGTTTCTAGAGCTTAATCAGCTATAAATGGTATTTTCTGAGAATACCTCGGAAATTCAAATGATATCAAGTAGTCGTGGTATTAAGGAGATACGTTAATCGACGTTCTAAGAAGCAAGGAAAAATGTTGTGCACAAACTCGGAAGCGGAAGGAAACGGTGTGATAGTTTCGCAGGTTGGGAATCCCCATGCACCGCAAGATTTCACCGTTTCCCGACTGTTATCGACACCGACTCATTCTCTGGGTAAGAATCTTGAGAGATCGAGAACGTTTCTTGACGATTCTGCTATAAAATAATAAGAAGATTGCAGATATAGCCTAGCAGGCAAAGCTAATCTCGACCAAACTACCGTTTCTCGACGAAATCCTTAATCTCGTATAAAGCTTTACGTAATTTTCTGTATCCCGATACGATTCGCATAAACGTTTACGTAACACGATGGGAAGGAATTATTAAATGCAGTCTCTCAAAGAAACAGGCAACTCGACGCATTTCCACGTTTCGATCGACGACGCGTTAAATTTCATCGAAATCACGCATTTCCAGTCATGCTGTTCGCGTTATGCCGCTTTGATGAATGCTCAAACACAGTGGAGTCATTCAAGAATAACCACGCCTGCACCGTTCTTCTCTTCTTTGCACCCTTTTCTTTTTTCGACCTGTGTTACTGCTGTTTATCGCAGGCTGCATCTTCAACCGTTCCGCTTGAACTTTAACATTTAAACTGGCTCGTAACATTGCGATTTACAGATTGTACCGAGAATTCCACGACACCTGCGAGCAGAAGACCCAGAAGAAGCAGAACAACGTTTTCGGCCCAACAATTGGCCGCTTTGGAGAGAGTATTCGAGAGGACGCATTATCCTGACGCTTTTGTCCGGGAAGAACTCGCGACCCGAGTGTCTTTGTCTGAAGCCAGAGTACAGGTAATCCCATTATCGTCTTCGTTACGAGGAAGCGTAAACATGAATTTAATTTGGTGAAAGAGACCGGAGTCGTGGCGGTCAGAAAAAGTATCGTTGACCGGTGACGAGCCGAGTTGGTCACATGTGTGTTCTTTGAGATTTTGCCGGATAAAGGGGCAATGGAGCGGCAATGGAGCTGTAGAGAGGAAGGCAGACGAGGGTGCAGAAGGGAGGGAAGTAAAAAGAAAAAAATGAGGAAGAAGAGAGAAGGAGGGTGGAGGTGGTGGACAGCTAGGCAGAAAATCGGAGGAGACAGGTTGTCAGGGCAAGAAGCTATGATTAGCTTAGCCAGGATAGTTAGGCCGTTTCAGCAGCATCTGTGCTTGGCATACGACGTTGCGTATGATACGTTGCGTATCCAGCACGTGTGCGATAGTTGTTACAGAAGCGTGCAGCGAAGCACACTTTTCGTTGCTCGTGTCGATCCATCCAAAGCTGCGTCTGCCACATCTCACGCGAATATCTGTCTATTCGCCCCGTCCGTCTGCCTGCCAGCAGCCGTCACGCTCTTCAACCCTTCTCCTTTCTCTCCTCTCCTCTCCTCTCCTCCCCATTCGTCTTTGCAGCTAATTCCTCCTTTCCAACAAATGCGACACAAGACAACCGCGTCTATCTTTTTAAGCGATCCAATTCAAATTTTCTTTATAATTAATTCATGTATCTCGAAATTATCCTCGCAGGTATGGTTCCAAAACAGGCGCGCCAAATTTCGTCGAAACGAAAGAAGTTCTGCCATTAATAGAGGGATATCTTCGAACAGAGAAATGGAAAGCACTTTACCTCTGCGACCTGTCAGAGTAACGCATACGCAAGAAAATAACACAGAGGCTTTGCAAACGTCTCAAGTTGCTCAGTATCCTTACGGTGAATACTGGAGAACATCGCAACATTACGCCTCTATGCAAACTACTAGTTGCCATGGATTTATCAATGGTAATTTGGCAAACGTAAATCTACCCTCTTATCATCAGACAGACATTCATAGTGGACTCGAAGGATCAGCGATAAATAGTTTAAATGCTCTGAGATTTAGAACGCATCCGTATGGAACCGCTTACTCTGCCATGCACGCGAGCATGTAACTCTGTCTATTCATAAATCACCAAATATTTTCAACTTACAAATACCAACTATCAATTGAATAATATATACCAAAGGACCAATCGATCGAATTACGGTTACATGGAACTAAATATCTAATGTAAGTACCAAATACAGGGTAACGAAAATAACTCGTAATATTATTTTGTAGAACTAAAGTAGCTTAATAAATGATAAAAATGGTAAATGTATTATATCACTGATACAAGAAATATACATATACATACATTGGTATTCTAATCTACAAATTCGGTACATTAATCGTAGCAAAAAGGAAGATATACGAATATAAGAATCGAATCGTGGAAGAACGATATTTTACTTATCGCGATAAGAAACATCTAAAATTACAATCACAAAATAACGATTACTTGTACGTACATAATATATCAATATTGGCACGAAAGTAGAATACGAATCTTCATACGTATAATATTGGTCACACGTATTATATTCGTTACAATGGTAAACGATCTAGAACCACGTAAAAAGGTTCAAAAATGTCTATATGTATATATACATATATCGTCCGTCCAAAAGTCCTTAAATTTACAAATACATTTTTAATATTATACAGTTACTTGCACGTTTTGTACGGCATTGCTCCAGTCCACTTTCGAAGGAACCAAATAAAATGCTGGTGCTATTTTGCTACCGCATGGACATTGACTGCCCGCTATCCAACTAAACGAGCCTAACTTTGTACCGCATTTCGGACAATTTAACTTCCCTTCGACATTATGAATTATGTCAGGCATCCAAGCCAAGGGCTCCACAAACAGTATTTTAGTACAAAATTCTACAGGTTGTTGTTCTTCTCTTTTCGACGGTTCTACGGGATCGCGCGAAACTTTTGATTGTTTGGATGATCTTTTTGAACTTATGTGTCTCCAGATTTGTTTTTCTCTTGGTAAATGTGGCAAAATATTGCTGGCACTAGCCACGATTCTTCGACACTTCTTACATCGATAGACCGTTGGCTCTGGATGTACTGTAGCCAGAGCTGGATCTGGTTTGATCAATTCTGTGCAAGTTTGTGGTAAGATCTTTGCCTTTCTCACCTTGTCTGCTGCAATTTGTAATTTATACATCTTGAAATGTACACTGGTATTGTCTATTCCAAAACCCATTTCTTCGTAAAGTTTCAATTGTGCTAGAAAACCAGCATTAGGCTCTACGAAGCGCCTCTTTCCTTTGACCTCTTCAAATGAATCAGAGAAACTCCTTTTATACTTTTTCATTAAATATGCAATAACTAATGTAGCTGATCTAGAGACACCAAAATAACAGTGTACCAATATTTTATCATTTAATTGTAAAGCATGATCTATAAATTCGTAAGAATCTTCAAAATGAGTTAAAAGGTCTTCTCGTGGCATGTCTGTAACTTGAATATATTTTATAGTCAAGTTTGGCAAAAGCTCTTGGATCTTCCTAGGTAAAGGACAAGAATCTGCTGTAAGTATGTAATTTATTTTAGTTTCTTTTAACCATTCAATATCTGTAGCAGCTGTTAGATTTCCAAGGAATAGACCAGGAATAATTTCGGTGTAACTCGAAGGACCTGCATCAAAGTCTTCTCTAATTAATTTATTAGTAGCTTCCTGTGCCATCTTGAGTACTCTGGAATAAAAAATAAAGCTACGGCATGCAACTTTAATTGTAACTACTTTATTTTATCAGTTACAACATAAACTATATAATGATTTTTATAAAATATAACAAATTAAATACAACATAAACTTGCCTATAATTCAATAGACTTGGTCAGAAAAAAAAAAGAACACAGAGTTTTCAAAATTGATCAAACTCTACATATGGAATATGCCTGAATTATAAATTATATTTACTATTACCTCGTTTAAACGTATTGTAAATAACTGTTGTACTCTGAATCATGGAACTAATTTTATAAGTAATAGCTGAATAATATGAGAAATGAATGTTAAGTGCAACATTTTTTATAGAAAATTTACTTGGCTTTTGGAATACGAAAAAAATTGTATTGCTATCGTTAAAATTTAAACTCTTTAATAGCCGCGTGTATTTGTCTTGCATTTTACCATATTTTGAATATGAATGTTCATTTTCTTTATTTTTATCATGTACATAGAAGAGAATAAAAAACACAAACACCTCACGTTCAATAAAAACACCAAGAAACACTGATTTTAGTTGTCGGGGCACAAGCAAGATGGCTCTACAGTATCATGACATTTTTTATGGCGCAGTTCTAAAGTGATAAATTTGACCATACATATTTTATTACTTTTATTACTGATCCTATATTTACTATTTTATTATTAGTACCATTAATAAATATGATATTGATTTATTTATTTTAAAATTTATGTTTTGCGGTATCATTTAAAGGTATATTGATGTCGTAACTTTTTAATTAAACTGACCAAACATTTCCTTAACTAAATGTTTTTGTGAAAATACGAATTAGTATTGTCTTTAATGGTATATTTAAAATAAGAAAATTATTGATAAGATATGGCATATTTTGAGGAAGAGAAAGAGTACAAAGAATGAAATGAACCTTTCCGAAAATGAAATATCATTCAAGTATGATACTTATACGCTTTCGAAAAGATTACGGAATAAGTTGTTCGACCACGTATGCCGGAAATGACGCGATACCTCGATCTCCACATCATTTAGAAAAGTTGTAAGAATATCGCTCACACTGTCGTATGGAGCTACTGTAGTTCCCGGTTCCGTGTTTCTCCAACTTTCTCCCTCTCTCCCTTTCTTTCCCTATCTCTGTCTACTCTTTTCTCTATTCTATCGGTACTGCTTGCGTACGCGCACGTGTGTTTAATGTAAGTGTATGGGTATTTTTTGGTTTTTAAATAAAACAAGATGCTGATCTCGCAGGAGGTGATCTCAAAAGCAGAAGAAATTGCTGATCAGGTGAATTTACGAGCCATTGTGCTCCACTTATTCTCTTTTATGAATAATACTGCTTTCGCGAAGAAACTCGTGATAGAAGATCGACAGAAATCCTGTAGGAGTACAGGTGTATGTACTCCTGTCAACGTCATCGTGACACGGTTGCTATACACATTCGCATATTTTAATTTGTATCTCTTCTTTTATTGATTATTTGTAAACAATAAGATTTTTCTAACATAATTAAGCGTTGAAGATTCTCCTACACCATAGCTTATATTCTTGAAATTAAAGGTTATGCATCATTAAAGAAATATATGTTACGAATATTATTGTCTCTCCGAGTTGTGATTAATTGTTTAAACGATATGCTTTCAAATCTTTTATTTTACTACTACAATATATCTTAGAATAAAATAAGTATATATTTTTTATAAGGTCTCTTGTAGTTTAACTGAAATAAATCGAATCAATAAAAACTGAGCAAAACGTGAAGAATATTAATTTTTATTATTATTATTTTTTTTAATTATTTACTAATACTCAGTTTTTATTTCATATATTTCTTACTTTTTTCACAAACCCATTTTGACCCTTTTACATGACACCAAAGAACTTTGAAAAAAGTATGCAAAATGTTTAATTGATAATTTTAAGATGTTTCATACATGAAACATCATTATAACTATTATTATTTTTTTTGCAATAACAGGTAATCCGTAATGGAAAACACATATTGCCAACACTTGCAAGACTTTGCCTTATAGCCACATTTCTAGAAGATGGGTTGAGAATGTGGTTTCAATGGTCAGAACAAAAAGAATTTATGAACAATACCTGGAATTGTGGTACTTTCTTAGCTACAATGTTTGTCTTGATTAATTTAATTGGACAACTCGGTGGTTGTGTAATGGTTATCGGAAGATGGAAAGTCAGCATTGCTTGTGGAATCTTATTCTTCATAGTGGTCTTGCAGACATTAGCTTACAACATTTTGTGGGATGTAACATTCCTATTTAGAAACTTAGCATTAATAGGAGCACTTCTTCTGGTTTTGGCCGAATCAAGAGTAGAAGGGAGATCATTATTTGCTGGTGTACCAAGTCTTGGGGATAACAAACCTAAAAATCTGTTGCAACTAGCTGGAAGAATTTTATTGGCATTTATGTTTACCACATTAATTCGTTTTGAAATATCTTTCCTACAAATCATGCAAGATATTCTTGGAAGTATTTTAATGGTATTAGTAACTATTGGATATAAGACTAAACTCAGTGCATTGTTACTTGTCTTACTGTTATCTGCCCTTAATCTTTATCACAATGCGTGGTGGAGCATTCCAGAATATAAAGCACTTCGGGATTTCCTTAAATATGATTTCTTTCAGGTAATAATTCACTTAAATATTATATTCTTAAGTATTCAACATTTACCCTACACTTTTCTGAAAAAATGTATAACATAAACCTGATTATTTGCAGACATTGTCAGTGATTGGTGGCCTTCTAATGATAGTCTCTTTAGGTCCTGGAGGTGTTTCCATGGATGAACATAAAAAAGAATGGTAGATGTCATGTTATCACCTAAATGTTCATCATTACATTATCATGATCATTAAGTAAAAACAGTCTCCCATTCCTGTTCCCCTGTATGCTCAATCAAGTTTACAATAAGTTTATTATTTGTTGGATAAAAACTGTAACATGCATTCATTTTGAATTATTCAATTTGGATAAAGGAATTGTTGAAGTAGAACCTAAAGTGTATATTTTAAGATGTCAGAAATTAAAATACATGGGATTAAAAATGCAACTCCAGAATAATGACATTATGACATGAACAAAAAGAAGACAGCACCAAAACTAATTTATATCGCTTATAGTGGCATTGTACATAAGACACTGGGTCAAGAAAAACAAAATATATTTTTTCTGTGTGTTTTTAACTTTTTCTCCATTTTTGGTCTTACATCCTAGTCGAATTTATATGCATGATTTTAATGTGTCAATGTATTCTTCCACAAAATTACAGTTAAGTTACATTAGTAAATTTATAAAAAATACAAAAATGAAAATATCAAATTTGCAAGATTTTTATACAATTAAATTATTGTAAATAAATACTCCATTTCAGATTCTCATTGTTAATTATTTCTATAATCTTTATTTTTTAATTAATCACTAGTAGTTTCTAAATTTAGATTCCTCTAAGAATAAAGTAAACTGGGCTCAGAATACATGTAGTAGGTAAGTGCCTCATTTCTCTGATCAAAGTAGTAAACTACTAGAAATATTTAAAATTCTTATTTTTCATTTAATAACGTTTAATACTATTAAAAACTTATTTTCAGTAAATAACTTTAAATAGCAATGGGAATACAAAACAGACACAAGGGGTTATTCGTTAGTAAAGGAACAACCATTTTAACTGCAAAACCCTTTGCTTATGTTTTACGGTCCTTATATCATAACGAACGATGTGATCATTGTTTACAAAGGTAATAAGTTTATACAAAATTATGCACGTATATATATATATGTATATAATATGTGTGTGTATACATTTTAGATTGCTTTCCTTGCATACGTTTAATTTGTATTTATTAAGTTAATTTCATACAAACTATTAATACCTATTGTTAATATATTTTTCTATTTTTCAATTAATTGCATTAAAACGGATTGATAATGTGAAGAATTTAATCAATACTGTGTAATTTAAAATTTTAGGTTATATGATGGAACCAATATGTTATAATTCTCTACATCTGTATTTCTATTAGTGTTTGTAAATTAAATGTATGTACATACACGCTTGTGTTAAAATTAAACATTACTAATGGATAAGACTTTTGTTAAAGATGAGTAATAATAACAATCCCATAAAGAAAGGAACTACTATTCTTACTTCTAAACCATTTGCTTATGTTCTCAGTTCAAAACATAGAACTAACCGATGCGATTATTGCTTTAAAAGGTATGCTATTAATAATTTAAAAAATTGCTCAGCTTGGATAATTGTTTTTCTCACTGCTTTTTATCAGAAATATTTTAAACTACTGTACCACTTAATAAATGTATTGTAGTACAAAGGAAATAACATTTTAATTTCATTTATTTTAGTGGAAAACTCTTCAGATGTTCTGCTTGCCAATATGTTTATTATTGTAACCAGTCTTGTCAACAAGGCTCTTGGCCTGTTCATAGCACAGAATGTGCAAATTTAAAAAGAGTTTCACCAAAAATTGTGCCAGATATGGCACGACTTATGGCACGTATAATTATAAAGCTAAATCAAGGTGGAGGTGATGAAATAGAATATTACAGTAAAACTAAATTTAGAAAATTTAAGGATTTAATGTCCCGTAAGTGTTTTGTATTACATAAAAATATACATAACATTTAGTTTATTCACATGTTGACTTTTAAGTAATATATAAATCATTATCTTGTTAGATTATTCTGATATAAAGAAAGATGAAAAGAAAATGGAACATTTCATGTTTCTCTGTGGTGTTTTGTTTGGATTTCTTGGAGATGGACCTATTCTAAATTCTGCAGAATTAATGGGTATTTATGGCAGAATTTGTATTAATTCTTTTAATATATTTGATTTGGATATGAATAGTATTGGTGTTGGAATTTATCTGGCACCTTCTATTGTGGACCATAGTTGTGTACCTAATGCTGTAGCTACCTTTGAGGGAACTACTATAAATATTAGAACCATAGAAGATCTTCCATGTTTAGATTGGTCTCAGGTAATATTAATATCTCCTTTCTTATAGTACTGTATCACAATTTTGTATTGATAATTTTGATTATACCATTTTGTAAAGCTATGCTGTAACTGTAACTGCATATTTATAGATAAGGATATCATATATTGATGTACTTAAAACAACAAAAGAGAGGCGTACTGAACTGCAAAGTTCATATTATTTTTGGTGTAACTGCAAAAAATGTGAAGAACCAGAACCAATGGTAGAAGCAGCTGTATGTCCAAATAAATTGTGTAAAAATCCTTGCTTTCTTGATATAGATAACTGTTCAGAATGTAACACAAAATTATCAGAAAAATTTAAAGAAACTTTTAATGAAGTATCTAGTTTTACAGCACACCATTTACAGAACATGAAAAATATGGCTTGTATCCTTTCTAATAGTTACATTTATGCATTTAGTGGAAGACATATCATTTTCTTATAAGAGAAATTAGATTTAGATGTAAGTAAGATGTGCCTCGAAAAACAAGAAGACGTTTTACATTCTCTAAACTTACAACATGTACAAACTTTACAAACTGCTTTTGATTCTACTATAAGTTTGGAACATTGGGAAGAAGCTGAGTACTATGCTAAGAAACTAATTACTGGTTACTTGTTAGTAAACATGTGTTCTAAATTCATGAAATTAGTGAATAAGAAATAATATTAAATTTCATTTTTCAGAGTGTACTATGGAGAGATTCATCCATTGACTGGACTATTATACCTTATGATAGGAAAGATTCAGTTATATTTAGAAAAGCCAAAACAAGCTCTTGAAGCATTAAAGAAAGCAAATGGAATATTGGCTATAACACATGGAGAACAGCATACGTTAATTCGGGAAAATTTGAAACCTCTTCTTTATCAGGCTATTATAGAAGGACTTAAATAGATTATGTATTTTTTTTTTTACATTTAATCGCTTATAATTGTATATAATATATTGACAATATGTAATTTATAGTAAATCATTCTAATATTGAACAAAAATGAAATTTCTAATCCTAACAGAAAAGTCATTCTTGTTAATCTATGAAATATAACAGCATAATAGTATAACAATACATTGTAAACATTTAAAATATCATTTTCATTACTACCAACCTTAAAATTTCATTTTAAATGTTATTACCAACATTATGAGAAAAAAATACAGCTGGCTAAGTGACAGCTGCTTAACTTTTATTAGATCGGTTATGTGTTTTAAATGAATTTTTATCCATGAAAAAGTTAAAATAACATGTGGTGAGTAGTAATTTGTATTCCAGAATTTATTAAGCAAAATTAAAACAAAATTTACATTCTTTATAAAAATTATAATGTTTATTATAACGATAATGGCAAGTATTAGTTAATGTCAATTCGTTTTTTGACATGAGTTTGTTTGTATCTTTTATTATTTTAATTAATTATTTTTATAATTTCATAGATTTTATAGTTTAGAATGTTTATTATTGTTTCAAAAATATGTTTCATTTTACATTATGAGATATATTTTACATAGTTTTATATAAGTTACACATATTTTTATTATATTAGCTAAATTTATATTTCTTTAAGATAAGAATTTAATTTCTTTGTATGCTTTCTATTTAGATATTTGTTCATAAATTATTAAGGAAAACATATTTTCCTAAGTTATTATTGGCTCAGTGGAAGAACATTGTACAATGTTCTCTGCATTTAAAAGATTAGCTGGAAAATCAGATGGAGTTGGCAATGTATCTCCTAGACCGGCTCATCAATCTATGCCAACTACGTTGCAAAGAAAATTTGCTAAAGGTGTACAATATAATAGTGAGTATATTAAATTAATTCTGAATGAAAATAAAATATGTACTTCAAATGATAAGAATTTTATTTTTAGTGAAAATTATTGTAAAGGGTGATAGAAATGTGGGAAAAACTTGTCTATTTCATAGACTTCAGGGCCAAAAATTTATAGAAGAATATATACCAACAGAAGAAATACAAGTGACTAGCATTCAATGGAATTATAAAGCTACTGATGATATTGTTAAAGTTGAAGTTTGGGATGTTGTAGATAAAGGTCGACGTAGAAAAAAGTTAGAAGGTTTAAAAATGGATAATTCACCTGCAGAGAATATTATTGAGGAGCCTGCTTTAGATGCAGAGTTTCTTGATGTTTATAAAGGGACCAATGGTGTTATCATTATGATGGACATTACAAAATCTTGGACATTTGATTATGTACAAAGAGAACTTCCAAAAATTCCTAGTCATATTCCAGTGATTGTCTTAGGAAATCATTGTGATATGGCGCATCACAGAACGGTTACATCAGATCATGTAACATACTTTATTGATTCTTTACATGAAAGAACAGCACAAGTAAATTTATTATTGTTATTAGTTTTTAGTATTTGAGATGGTGTGTTTGTAACTTCTAACAATATTTTATTTTTTACAGGTGAGATATGCAGAATCATCTATGAGAAATGGATTTGGATTAAAACTTTTGCACAAATTTTTTAATCTTCCATTTCTTCAACTGCAACGAGAAACGTTATTAAAACAACTTGATACCAATGAGGAAGAAACACGTTTGACAGTACAGGAACTCGACCTCTTTCAGGATAGCGACGATGCCAATTATAATAAATTCTTGGATAATCTCGTTAACCGAAGAAGAGCCCTTGCTGATTCTGTTTCTGCCACCACTCTAGTCCCTAATATCACATCTTCTTTGAGTAATCATCATATGTTATCTTCAAATGGTAATACGAATACAAATATTGAAGTTAAAAGATCAATTTCCATGCCTGGACCTATAGGAGGTGGAACTCCTATTCCAGTTAAAAGCATAGATTTAAAATCACCACCAAAGAAGGACACTTTTATAAATACCTTGGAAAATCAAGCAGTTCCTATTAGAAATTCGCAGACGATATCGGCATTATCGGCTGTACAAAATATTTCAAAGACAGATCCTAAAATGACTGAACTTTTAAATGATAATTCTGATAGAAGAGATTCTATTAATAAATCACAATCTCTTATGTCAAAGATATTTGGTAATAATAAAAAGGAAGATGAAATAGACAAAGGAATACATGTTAACAGTACAAGTGCAAACGTACCACTCACTAGTGTTGAAGATTTTATACCGGATGACGGGCTCTTAGATCGATCGTTCCTAGAAGATAACAGTCATGTGTCGCCACAAAAAGTACAACACGAAGAAGCGGATACTGAAAGGTACATCGGAATTGTATTAAATTTCTCTATAATTTTCATGTACTCGTTTCTTTTCTCTTTAACAGTGACATTGAAACGGCGAATCCTTTGGTTGCTGGTTACGAGGACGATTTATCATCGGCTGATGAGACAACACCTCCTATTCAACCAAAATTAGCTGAAAATCCTTTGAGCAAACAGAAACACAAACGCGAGACATTATCAAATACGGAAATAAATTCGGAACAATTACGACAAACTGTGAAACGCGATTCTGTTTCATCCATAGATCAAGAAATAGAAATATCTAACAACTATGATGTAAATGAGCAGCCGGAAATTAATTCTGATGCGTTTGATAGCTGGCTCCGACGAGATTCTAAATGGAGACAAAGCCCTGAAGGCGGGGAAGATGTGAGCAGTAATAGTACTAGAAAAGATAGACTGGAATTGAGCGACAAAAGTTTAGATGTTAGCGTAACAAGTTCTAATGTTCATTTAGAATTGCTCGATAATACCAGTGTACGTCATATGAGTTCTGATGGTGGTAGTCCTGTACTAAAAGAAAAGAAAAAACACAAAGAGAAGGTACATATCGGTTATAAAGTATTTATAATCTAATTTTATTCTGTAATAATATCGTATTAAATTCATTTTAGACGGAAGACAAAGAAAAAAAGAAAAAGAAAAAATCTAAAGATAAAGAAAAAGATAAGGAGAAAACAGATAAAGGAGAAAAAAAAAAGAAACGTTCGCTACATCGTTCAAAGGATGAAAATAGAGAACGCGATGAACTTGAAGAATTTCTAAATGGTTCTGTTACTAGAATTGGTGTTGATGTTGCCTATGAAGCAATATAGCAGTTTTAAATATTGTTTAATCTTACTACTAATTAGTAACGCTGACTTCTGGTAAGGCACGTAAAATGTTAACATTGAACGATCTTTAACGTTGAATTGTCAAAGAAATAAATTACGTACTAATGCTTGCAGATACTTCAAAGCAAGCAGTATATCATGTAAAAATTTTGTTGAAATTCTTTATATGGTAAAATAACGTTAAAAATCATAACAAAGAAGTTCTAGTAAAGTGATTTTCAATCTGAAATTTTTAATTTAAATTAGCATTCCGTTCGCATCTAACATGAAAATGTATATTTTTTCAAATTCATAAACATTTTATCATTGCATTTTCAAAATAATTACAGCTGATTATATTTGAGCTATTTACTTTGATACTTTTATTTTTTACGAACAAAAATATTTAGTAAATAACATCATATTTTAATATTGATATTTTTATTGTTGAATACTTTTTTAACAAATAAAACAATTTACCTTAAATTAATATAGTAATTAAGAAATGTTACATAATTATTTTCTGTCGCATATACATATTATACTATGGCACGATATGTTATCGATACAGCTTCGTGTTAATAAATGTACATAAATAAATAAAAAATTGTCATATTATATGATAATTTATTATTTATTTGAAATATCTCTACTCATTTCTACTATTTTAGAAAAGACCGCCATAAATTAAAATTTTTTTAACTCGATTCCAGCGCTATCTATACAAAAACGGCTGAAACTACTCAAAAAGTTACCGATTGAGTTTCTTGAAGGCAGAAACCCGCGCGAAAATTAAAGAAGTAAGCAATTTAAGTAGACATAACAATAATTTGATTAGTAAACAATTGTAAAATATAAAATAATAATTAAACAAATATTAACAAATATCAGATAGAAATAATTAAATGTAATCGGCCGCGGAACCGGTGAAGCGGAACGTCATGCTTGATTGGGCGCGCCGGTACCCAATTGTCAATAGCTCGATGAAGAACGACCTGGAGGGAGGTCAAATCTAGTCAGTCTTATCGCGACCGCCGAAGGGTACGGATCGATCTGTCAAACATATACCGGTACTGGGGAAACGTTGACTGTTTTGTCGATGAGGAATTCGAAGTTCGGCCTCTACGCTAGCATCACCTTAAAAAAAAAACTCAATCGGTCACTTATTAAGTATTTTCACCCGTTTTTGGATAGATGGCGCTAGGATCGAATTTGTTTATAGCGGTCTTTTTAAAGTATAGGTTTGTCAAACAATTATTTTTATTTTGCAATGAATTTACAATTAACGTGTGATCTCACCAGACTTCATATTGAAGGTTTCATCTGGTATCTGTAATATATCGTAGAAATTTATTATTACCGTCCACTTTCGTTAGAGCAGATGGTGCTCGTTCTCGAGGCATATATTCAAGACCCCTAAAAAACAAAGGCATATGGCATATCCAGTCTTGTTGGACCTGTAGTCACTGTCTTTAGTATGATGAAGAGGTTGAGGGTATGCCGACAGTTGTGCTTGAATTTTACTGTTTATAAGTAAAAGATATAGATTATGAATCAATAAAATAATGTCTTTGTGCTTGCGTTCTATTTCTATTCCAAATAAATTTATATCACTTGTTAATACACCTCGGCAAGTAACAAGGCTCAACCATACGTTATCCGAACATGTTAAATTGTCTTTGTTTTTAAAAGAGGTATCTATTTAAAAATTGTCTCTGACAATTACTAGTTCTTTGAATGTAAAATTTATTTATATTCACCGAAAATTGAAATTCATTTTGCAACAGTCTCTATCATACGTGATAAGTTAACCTTAACATACTTATGTAATCGGCATTTTATCATAATAATTGATAGATGACTTCTACTAAATGTAATTGCTATGATTTTAGTTTTTAGGTATGCAAGCAAAAATGAATGCGGTAGTGAGTTCCTCTAAAAGTTCAATGAACCCTCTAATTTCTTTATTGGAACAAAATATACCAACTACATTCTTTAAAACTCAAGTAGGAAAGCTAAAGATATGCAATGAAAAATATCATTGCAATAAACAACAAACATTGACATTGCATCAACAAAAGAAAATAAATGGTAAAGTATTTAATATAATTAATTCTGATTTATGAAGTATATGCATATTATAAAGTAATAGAGAAGGAATAGAATCATATATAATTTATCACATATAGAGATCACATCAACTAAGTGGATATTTAAGAATACCTTACCTAGCAGTAAAAGGGAAAGAATTTTATATTCAAACATATCTCCTAATGTGAAAGATGTAAATGAAAAACAACCTAAGGATCGTAAATCACCTAAGGAACATTTAAGCAATGTATTTAAACATCTTCAGCGTGATGTATGCTTTTATTATACAAAGAAGTTACTTTAAATTATATGAAATTTATTATATTTTTATTATAAAAATATTTTTTTTTTCAGTTACCATTACTGTTTGTTAAAACAATGGATTTTAATATATATACGAGCGATTTAATATTTATAAACAACATTAGAGGAACAACAACTACGTAAGTTATAATTTTTAGAACATTTTTATCATTAATACTATTTATATTTAAATTAATATGTATCATTAAAAATAATGCATATACTTGAAAATGGTTTCTAGAGGTATTGTGCACTATATAAATCAAATATCATTATTAAAACTAGTAGGACACATTAAATATGCTTATGTTAAATTGAATATTTTAAAAATGACGATGCACCCCGAGGATAATACCGTTAAAATTCGGTGGCGTATAGAAGGTGTTTCTAATGCAAAGGTACTTCTTTTATTTTGGAAATTTAAGTTTTGGAATATGAAAGATCAGACAGAGGGTGGACCAACGTAAGTAATATCATTTGTGAATCTGTTGTGTAAATACATACTATTTATAATTTGTAGTTAGTGATTATTAAAATTTATTAATAGGTGGTACGATGGATTTTCTACATTTTATGTTAATAATGATGGTAAAATATATAAACATATTGTGGATAAATTGATGCCTGATCAAGAACAAGAAAAGCTAAAAACTCCTATTGAACCAAAATTGGCTTTATTCACTTCTTTATTAAGCTTGAACTTAAATTATTTTGATAAAGTTTACTTAAAAAAATACATCCTCGATTACTTCAAGTAAAGTAAAAGAGTGAATAAAAAATTTGTACGTCATTATATTAGATAATTAAAATACGCCATCAGTTTTGACACACTCAGCTTAACTATATTTGTAGAGCCACACATGGAAGTCAAAGCGCACGGTATGAATCTTACTGTTGTGCGTATTTATAATGAATTATAGCTCTTTAAAAAATGTTTTCTAAAATATTATTTAATAAATTGCAGTAATAAAATTTCAGAAATATAAATACACTGCTTGTATATTAATATTCTTAAATTGCATTTGTAATTGTGATAAAAAGAAATTACTAAATAGAAATTATAGAAGAGGAGGAAATTTAGGTGGTGTCCTAGAAAAAATGAATGTCAATTTATTTTTTTGTTTTTTAATGGATATATCCATTAATAACATTCTACGTAATATTTATTTTTTTTGCGACGTGATAACGATTTCCGAGACGAATAAAACGACCTAGATACAAACTGTTTAAACTTTGAAAGATGACACAAGGATGAAACAGGTAAAATCCTATGAATGTTTAATTTAAAAAATTGCATATTTTTATTTTCCAAGATTCAGAATTAATTATAAAATGCTTTTTATTTTTCAGAATGATTTGGACTAGATAAACATTAGAACATTTAGCCAAAAACAAAGTATCAATTATTCGTTGTTAGTTAACTGAATACAATAATAAAATTATATTTAACGTTAAGTATGCGAATCGTATTATAGTTAAAATTTTGATGTAACAATAATTATCAAGAGACATATGTATCTTAGGTTGTTAAATTCGATCGTTGCATTTCCAATTGTTATCAATATTCTTTATAAATCATTTGTATAATATAAATTAGTTAAAGACATTGTATTTCTCTTTGTTACATCAAGTTTTATTACCAATTTTTTGTTTCTGATAGATACTAATTAATGTTAAAAATTTGAAAAGTTTAATAGATCTATAGTACCAGCTAGTAACAGTAAGATGACTTGAATTAAATACAACCATTAAATGTCCATAAAATATGATTTATTTAACTTAAAAAACTCTCATATAAAAAATACAGTAGATACATTTATTTCATTCAGTTACACACAAGGCCTGTAAACAAAATTAACTATTAGAAAAATATTGTAACCAACCATTAAATCAGTAAAGTATATATTTACCTAAATAATCATCCATTAATGTTCCAATGGCAAACTGCAAACAAATACGTACATTATAATGTAAAATCTTAAGATAAAATATTATACTTGTTGTATACTAACAATGCCTGTAGCATCAACTCTTGTACCAACAATTTTCAGTCTTATTTCATCATCTGGTTGAATAATTACATCCTGCAATTTGTATCCTTACATTATATAATCGCTCTATTAAATCAGACAAATCATTGCATTCAAAAGTACATACCTCTTCTTTTGATTTGTAACATGGTGGATTTACATTTGGACAGAACTGCATATCTGCTGGGATTGACTATACAAGGAAGCGTAACAAATTTACAAAATTTATTTATACAATTATACCTTATACAAGAATTACTTACATGATGAGAAATAAAACATGAAAGTGGACCTATTTCAGCAAACATTCCAACCTAATAAGAATGTTTAATGTCATTATAGTGTTATATAGTTTTAACTGTTGTATTTCAGTTTTATACCTTATTTACTTGTGTTACAATAGCATCTAATACCTCTCCCTTAAATGGTCTAAACACAATAGCTTTGTACTTCACAGGATATACTACAAAACCTTGTCCTGGTTGTATTATTCCTGCACCTATATTATCTATTGTTGTTACAGCAACTACAAAACCATATCTGGAATACCATATAGCATTAAAATAAGTAAATAACATAATCATTTTAAATAAACTTACTTTCCTGTACAAGTGCCTTCCACTTCAGTATATAGTTTTTGTTTTACAGTATCTAGCAATTGAGGTCCAAAATATCTAGGATGTAATAAAATTTCATGTTCTAATGATATCTACAAAATTACAAAATAGTATAGTACATTATTAATGTAATAATTATGTTATTAAGACACATGTATTTCTTAACATTTACTGTATCATTGTTTAAAATAACTCACGTGATAAAACATATTCTAGTTTAAATAAATAATTACTTTTTAAATAAAAGTAAGTAATATTTCAGAAGATAAAGTGATGTATATTTTGACTAATTGTGCCCTCTTCATACGGTCCTGATATCATACTGGGGTTTCAGGGACCCCGAAACACCGGTGGCGCACTCTATTTACCGCCACCATGGCACCCGGGGTATCAAGGACCCCGATGCATTAGCGGTGCACTCTGCATACCGACTTGCTAACATCCTGGGGTATCAGGGACCCCGAAATAACACTGGCGTACTCTACATACTGACATTATGGCATCAGGGGTATCAAGGACCCCGTATCATCGGTTGCACATGCACTCTTTATATCCACATTATGACATTCGGGGTTTCAGGGACCCCGGTGCACCGGTGGTACATACACTCTGCATACGGACATTATGGCATCCGGGGTATCAAGGACCCCGAAGCATCAGTTGCGCGCGCACTCTAAGTACATGTCGACATGATGGCACCCGGGGTTTCGGGGACCCCGGTGCATCGGTTGCGCGCGCAGTCTACATATCGACATTATGGCATCTGGGGTATTAAGGACCCCAAAGCAGCAATTGCCCGCGCACTATACATATCTACATTATGGCATCCGGGGTTTCAGAGACCCCGGTGCATCGGTTGCGCTCGTAGTTTACATATCGACATTATGGCATCTGGGGTTTCAGGGACCCCGGCGCAACGGTGGTACACTCTGCATACCGACATTGTGGCATCCGGGGTATCAAGGACCCCGAAGCAACAATTGCGCGCGCACTCTACATATCGACATTATGGCATCCGGGGTTTCAGGGACCCCGGTGCATAGGTTGCGCGCGCACTCTACATATCGACATTTTGCACCTGGGGTATCAAGGACCCCGAAGTATCGGTTGCGCGCGCACTGTACATATAGACGTTAAGACATACGGGGTTGCAGGGACCCCGGTGGCGCACCCTGCATGCCGACCCGATATCATACTGGGGTGTCAAGGACCCCATGCACCGGTGAGTCTAGCAAAGATATCATTGTATTTTGATTATGCACTGCCTTACGGAAAATTATATAGGTAAAATGACGTTACAGGGGAATCATGAATTCTCAAAAATTAAATAAAGAAAAATTTATTCTATTTTATTTGATAACAGGTACATTATGTGCCACAGATGTATCACTTATATAATACATATATAATACTATACATATATAATAATACATATGTAAATACGTAAGTTCTTTAAAGAATAACTTATGGAATGACTAATTAATTTAATTAAGCTTTACAGATTTGGATACTAATTGTTAATTTACAATGAAATTAAATTACTTATCATCATCTTCTACAAAATTTAATTTTCGTTTAATTTCCAAGGCTAATTTATATCCTAGTTCTGGACGGCGATCCCTTCCTTCAACCATCGCTTTTACTTGACTTGAATTTACAATTACACCATTATTAGCTATGACAGTAGCTTTAGTTTTTTCAATATCAACAAGATCTACTCCCCGACTACAGTCGTCAATGAGAATAGTTCGATAACCGCTTGTGAGTGCATCAACTGCAGTAGCTCCAACACAAACATCATAAGCTAATCCACAAATGTATATATCCGTTGCTCCTTTCTCTTGTAATTGCGAAGACAAACTAGTTTCCATCATTTTCTTATTATCCCAAAAGACAGAATACGAATCAACTTCTGGATTCGTTCCTTTATATATTTTAATTGCGTTATCGACAATTTTTAAATCTTTATGAAGTTCTGCACCCCAAGAGTCCTGAATACAATGACGTGGCCAAAGGCGCTGTTTTAACAGAGGTGGTCCTCTAAATGTAACTGTATCATAAACTTGTGCTGCTTCCTTTGAAATTCCACTACTAGAATCAACTTCTCTGTATAAAAATATAATAATTATCTTAAAAATAGATCAACAAAAGTGCAAGATTTAGGTATGCCAAAAATGATGCATCAGTTACCTTAGATGTAAATTATCAATGAAAGATACATGATCTACAGGATGCCAATCAAGAGAATAGAAAACTGCATCAAATTGTACAGTTTCTAATAAACGATTTGTTGGTTCAATTACTTCTGAGCCATCATGTTGTGCAGCACACTGTTTAATGTTTAAAGAACCGGTTATGAAATCATTTTGTACATCTACAATTAAAAACGCACTTTTCGGACGAGTGCATATTTTAATCCAACGATTCCAGCATACCTGTAAATTAATAAAAGACATATACTACTAAAATTGTTGAAACTTATTATGATTGATAGTAATCTTTGAAAATACCTCAAATTCTTCTCTGTTGATCATTCCATCTCCATTCAAATCAAATATAGAATATATTTCCTTCAGTTGATCTTCTTCAAGATCGTAAATTTTTCCACGATCGTTACGAAATAGTGCGCGACAAATCAGTTGAAATTCTGTAAGAGATAAATATCCATCTGCATCTTTATCAAATGCAGTAAAACAGGCATCCATGTTTCTTTGCTAAATTTCTTGTTCCTAAGATGTTTGTTTAATCAATACTGACAGAGCTGTACTGATGTTCAGAATAATTATATTATATGCTACTTTTCATACCACTTAAAAGTGTGTTAATTGTGAGTAGTATTATACAATTCACATTAGTTTTACTGCAGTGCAGTATTCTATTTCAATATCTGTAACTACTACTATCTATTCTATTTTTAATCCTATTTGGTAGCAAAATTCGGAATAAAAAGTTTATAAGAAATTTTTAAAAATTTTTATTACTAAATATATTATATTACAAAAGTAAAGTTTAAATTACCTTTCTTTATATTTTTATGCTACAAGTTGCATAATAGGTAAACATATATAATTGAAATAAAAGTCACTGTGTTAGTTTGTGATGAGTTAACAGCGATACATCAACCATTACCTCAGGTTCCAGTAAGTCATTTACTTTATACTTCATAGACTCCTCATAAGCATATGTAACAGATGTATCTGTGAGCTGCATATTACATTGTGCTAAAATCAAAATGCAATTACGCAGCCTTGCGCAAACTTCACGAATTGTTTGTGGAATTCTTGATAAATCTTGTGTGAAACCACCCTCTGATTTATCAGTGTCTTGTTCGCTAGCTCCAATCCACACATAACCATTCGTTCCTAATATTAAACTTGCTCCATTTTCCAAATTATGAAAATGAGTCTTTTTCCGTTTTATCAGAGCTGGTGAAACTTTTAACATTATGCCCTGAGATAGTTTACCATATTTCAAAACTCTAGTATGCAATGAAAGGGAACCATCTACAAAAGTACTTTGTACTTCTGCACAAATTAAATCTCCTTCTTGGAGATATCTTCTCATAGTTTGCTCATCTTCTGCAGATCTTCTCCTCTACAAATTATACAAATATTAAATTATTTTAAATTATTACACTTTTATGTTTGTATAATACTGTAAAACTGGATGTGGCCACATTTTAGCGTCATACCAATTCTCCACCGGGTAAATTAACACTAGAAAGTAGTAACACAGAGTCAAGTTTGGAATTTGTATCAACTTTCCATCGTCTTTGTTGAACTTCAGTTATACGACCAACAATTACGTCTCCTATTTCGCCTTGGTAACGTGCTTTCAATGGTTTAACCGAAATGAGTTTATTTACTTTTTCTAAAATACCAGCCACAGATGCACGTAATGTGTTTTCATCGTCTACGTACGTTCCATGACCCCTGATGAAAACGTAAGATGTTAAATACAGATGTTATTTTTCTGCAACAAATAAATTAAACAAAGTTTTACCTCAAAAAGTCAGGTTGGCTAGCAATTTCTTCTCCCGGTGTGTATATCCGAGGTTGTTTATCTTCATTCTTTATTAAATTTAAATCAACTCTATTTACTGCTAAACGTACATTAATAGGCGGACATTCTTCCATTATAAACAATAAACTTTCTTTTTATTTCTATTAATATATCTCCACAACGTCCCACCGGCTTCCACACATACATCAGCTGTTCGTTTAACACAGTGCAATGACTACAGATGTAGAAGACTGCACGTACCTTCGTTTTCGAGGTATCATGATTTAGAGGGTCCCAGAAACCCCATGTATTCTTGTATCTGTATGTATGTATGTACATACCGCTGTAAGCTCCTTTAGAGTTTTTTTTGAGTTTTAAGTTTCTTTCTGCATGCCTTACATTTCTGCATCCTTTATATCATTGAACCCCTTACCTTTCTGCATCCTTTATATCATTGCATCCCTTACATTCCTGCATCGTTTATATCATTCCATCCCTTACATTCCTGCATCCTTCATATCATTGCATCCCTTACATTTCTGCATCCCTTACATCTCCGTACCCTTTATATCTCTGTATCCCTTACACTCCTGAATTCTCCTTGCATCCCTTGTATCCTTTCAACCCTTATAATAAATATATTATAACTAATATACTTATGGCCACTGGTTCGAGTACAGGTAAGTAAAGGTAAGTAAAGGTAAGTAAAGGTAAGTAAAGGTAAGTAAAGGTAAGTAAAGTCTTGTAAACAATAATTAAAAATTTAAATTTTTGCAAAATTTAGTTCCTTTTTTTGCCACTAGAGGGCGCTGATTCGAGGTCGAGATTTTAGTTCACATTTTTGCCGCTAGAGGGCCAAAATCTCTGCGTGGTTTAGTTCCTTTTTCTAAAACCAGATGGCGCTGATTCGAGGTCGAGATTTTAGTTCACATTTTTGCCGCTAGAGGGCCAAAATTTCAGCATGGTTTAGTTCCTTTTTCTAAAACCAGATGGCGCTGATTCGAGGTCGAGATTTTAGTTCACATTTTTGCCGCTAGAGGGCCAAAATCTCTGCGTGGTTTAGTTCCTTTTTCTAAAACCAGATGGCGCTGATTCGAGGTCGAGATTTTAGTTCACATTTTTGCCGCTAGAGGGCCAAAATCTCTGCGTGGTTTAGTTCCTTTTTCTAAAACCAGATGGCGCTGATTCGAGGTCGAGATTTTAGTTCACATTTTTGCCGCTAGAGGGCCAAAATCTCTGCGTGGTTTAGTTCCTTTTTCTAAAACCAGATGGCGCTGATTCGAGGTCGAGATTTTAGTTCACAGTTTTGCCGCTAGAGGGCCAAAATTTCAGCATGGTTTAGTTCCTTTTTCTAAAACCAGATGGCGCTGATTCGAGGTCGAGATTTTAGTTCACATTTTTGCCGCTAGAGGGCCAAAATCTCTGCGTGGTTTAGTTCCTTTTTCTAAAACCAGATGGCGCTGATTCGAGGTCGAGATTTTAGTTCACATTTTTGCCGCTAGAGGGCCAAAATTTCAGCATGGTTTAGTTCCTTTTTCTAAAACCAGATGGCGCTGATTCGAGATCGAGATTTTAGTTCGCATTTTTGCCGCTAGAGGGCGCTAAATTTATTCGTAAGTGATAAAGGGATGCAAGGCATCACAGATTGTAGGGAATAGAGTGATTTGTGGGATGCAGGACTATAAGGGAAGCAGGGTTGCAGGAGGAACAGACATTTAAGGGATAGGGATTGAAGAGTGTGAGGGACGCAGGGATCTAAGGGATAGAAAGGTGTAAAGGTTAAATAGAGGGGGCATACGGGGATGTGAGGGACGCAGGGATGTAAGGGATGCAAGGAGAAAAAGAAAGCATGGATGTGAGGAATACAAGGATGTTACGGATGCTGGGATATGAAGAAAGTAGGGATGTAACGAATGCTGAGATGTAAGGAATGCAGGTTTATAAGGGATGCAGCAGAGATGTAAAGGAATCAGGGAATAATAAAACCAACACGTTCGTGCTCCTAATGGGTTTATTCAATAAGCTACGAAGATAAATACAGCAAATTAAATAAACGCAGAAAATAAAATAAGGGTATATGTATGTTTAGCAGGTAGATCTGCACCCTTCGGCGGTCGCTATAAGACTGATGCTCTACGTCGAACGGGTGATAACTGGCTGAACGTTGGTGAAACAACCAATGTTCAATAGAGGGCGGTAAGAGCGCGATGCAAACTTTCACTTCAATTTTCAGTAACCTTGAAAAAAAAAGATATATTTTACAAAACTATTTATATAATTATATAATTTATATAATTACAATGAATCGCTGTAATGAATTATTATACATAAAATAAAATTCTTTGTTGGCTTATAATTCTATTAGAGAAGGGAAATTTTCATACTAAAGAGTATGGTTAGTGGTCACGATGTAAACTTATCAGATTTTTTTTCTTTTTTATTACCAAAAAACAAAACTTATGATGCAATCATTCGCTCTCGTGTATGTACATATGTATGTCGCATTCATGTAATACGTTTATAAAATGTACATACATATGTATTAGGAAGATTTATCGACAAAATCCTAAAAATAAATAGAAAAACAGGTAATAGTTTTTGAAGTAGAGTAAAAGAAATATTAATCTACTTAAGAAATAATTAACATAATATAATCACAATGAAATGTAAATTAATATAAGATTCTAATAATAAGTGTATGTAAAGGAGAAGATTCTTGGAAATTCTATTATTATCTTGTTGGTGTCGAGGGAGGGAATATAACGTAGCATGTAAGATAAAGGATTTCAATAAAAAGATGAAATAATTTGATTCGATTATGAAAGAACTAAACAAATTATGCAATACATAAAACTCTTATTCTTATGAATCATGTAAGAAAATCAAATCAATTCTCATCAGTGTTGCATCATACTAAAGCCGACTGAAATCTCTATATACTGTTTAGTACTTATTTAAATAATTTATGTTAATAATAACTCGAATACTGTAATTTGATGGAATAATAAAGTTGTGACAGATTCACTTTTCTATTCTATGTTAGAAACTATCTGTTTTAACTTGTTAAAACTATCTGTCGGAAGCGAAGAGCATTTGCATACGTACATACACACGTATACATATAAATGTACAAGAGAAATATCATGTGGTAGTAATAAAATAATATATTCACGATAGAAGTAATCGTATCTCATGTTGTCAGGTTTGTTTTTACAGGTTCGATAAATAAACTAAGAAACACGAACAGGGAATTATTCAAAATATTGATAACATTATTGTAAATGAGCAGTGGATTTTATATCACGTAAAAGGGTGTAATATCACTTGCATGATATTTTTAACCATTCTATTACCATACAAATATCACGTAGCCATTCCAATCGGTTTATATTATTATATTTTAACTGTATGAATGTGAATTAAGATTGGATATTGTTTAAATTTTTAACGAGAAATTGAAATTGACACTATTTCAAGGATAGTCATTGCAAAGTACATAAAGTGGCAATCATCGTTGATATAAGATGCATCTTTATTTTCTGTTTTTTTTGCATCCTCGGCAAACGTCGATAGCAACTTATTCTACAATCTACATTATTCCTTTTGTCATAATTATGTATGGTTGAATAATGTTTTCTTTTTCATTTTCTTCCTTGCTTTCTTTTGTTTCCATTGTTTCAGTAATATGTTTAGTCATCGAACCCCTTACTCTGCTTATTCATTAATAACTCGTTTTCATTTATACTATTTTTTGAATTAATTGAACTTTATTTCCCGAACCTGCAATAAACAATATCTTTTTTTATAAATATTTTTCCAAATAAAAAATACACGTCAATTACTTGACATTACTTGACAGTAATCATATGTTTCTGAAAATTAATTTTTTAAAAGAAAGGAAAGATCGGTGTAGTGTGTGAATTATATTATGTTGGTACTTATACACCTTACACGATTTACAGGAATATATCGAATGATCCAGAATCTTTGCGATCAACCAAGTTTCCTCGTAAACCTTTGTATCCTTTATTTGCGAACTGATTGTAAGAGAACATCGTTAGTTCATTTAAGTAAGATATAGCACCAGTATAGATACAATACTGGTTTCTAAAATATATTAAAAACGTATTATAATTACATTATATGTACGTAATATTATTACACAGAATTTGATTAAACATTTGACCGGACGAAATAGCAATTATTTGATAATTAAAAACTAAAGATTAAAACGAATCTGAAAAAGGTAATAGCGATAAAGGGAATACAGATTGAAAGAATTAGGGAAAAAGATGTAAACATGGAGAATACCGGTAGGCTAGGATTAAACCACGATAGGCTGTTTCGGGCGTTTAGTTGATCGGTTCGGTGGACGATGCTGAAGGAAAGTGGTATTAAGAACCGAAGGTAACCGAACGAGGAGATACGGAAACAGCCGAAGTGGATGCAGTGCGAAACATCACGTAGCCAGTGTTGCTAGGCGGTTTGTTAAGGAACGGTAGAAGGGAAAAATTGGAGGAGAGGGGACAACTCGTATAAAGTCGCGTCATCGTGCCGGCTAATCAGTTGTTCGGAGAAAAAGTCTAACGAGGGATGTTGTTTTGCTCGATGCAGCGTTAATCAAAGTGAAAGTACAATTATAATAAAAAAGAACAATTGATATTTATTGAGTAATAGAAAAAATCAATTTTATCGGACTTGGTGAAATTTGTCGTGAAATTATTCTTGTCAAAAATAATACCAAATTACCGCAGAACATACTTGTAGCGTCGAGGAAATAATACGTATATCGTGTTCTGTTTCAAGAAGGTCGCTGTGAAATTAATTGTGTCTGTGTGTAACGTTTTTCGAATAATGGAGGTTTTACCGTGTCCTGTAAATGTGGATTTCAGCAACACAAGAGGTATCTATATGTTTCTTTCGATTTAATTTCCTTTTCTCAACTAAACGAGCAATTGATTTTTTTCTTTCATCATATGATACTTTACATACGCTTTTAAAAGACGATCGATTGTTGCATGTATGTATGTAAGCGACGAAGCGGAGCTGTTTGTTTCGGAAAATCAGCTGATTTTTTCGTCGAATAAGAATATAAGCATTTTACAGCTTTAATGATTCTCATTAACTCTAAGTGCAAACAAATTTCATAAATTTTTATGAAAGTATCTTTTACATCTTGAATTTTTCTTATTTATTAATTACATATATGTACGCATAAAATTGAAGAATTAATCTTGACCCAACTAGTATGTTACTTAGCTATTTATTTACGTTTTGTAAAAATTAAAGCTGTTATAATCCATTTAAATGATATTCTCGTAAAGACCGTTTTAGTTCCCTAAATATCTCGGTTGCCGGTACGTACTCCGTCCGCCGGTATATGTGTGTGTGTAAGTACTTACGTGCCGCTATGCGCCCGTGCGTATGTGTTTGTCACTCAATATACATATATATTGCTATATATGTATATATAAAGTCGCGTAACAATCTGTTACTTGTAATAATAATAATGTTGTTGTAAGCAGCAAGAATGGATAATCGATTCTAATTGATTATTCGTTTATTGATTTAGCTGAAACAGTTGCCGATGAATTCGACGGGGCTTGCCAGGCATTAGCGAAACGACTCGAAGTCGAATTAAGGAGGGCGAAACATGCTCAATTAGCGTGTGGAGAAGTTTTGCTACCTGCCGACCTTTTGCCTAGGATAGCTAAAGATGTCCTCAGCATGGCTGAGAATGAACCCTGTGGTCTCAGGTAAATATTATCTTCTGATCTCGCGCATACCTTTTTTCATTTTTATTTCTCGATGTCGTATTAATCTACATTCGCTTCTTCTCTTACAGAGGTTGTACTCTATTTATTAGTTTTGAAACGGACAGTGTATGTCGGAAATTGTCAAAAATACAATGCGATCCTAATGCAGTATCCACCTTTGAACTTTATCTGACATTAAAACAAGATCATACATCTTGGCACATTCTGTTACCTCAGTTCATAAAGTAAGTAATTATTATTATAGTAACTGTTGTAATAAATTACTTTTGAAAGACAAATTCTTAACTTTAGTTGATTGTTACTTGCAGGAATCTTACAAGAGGAGGTACCATTATGATAAGTAGAGATTTTACGTTGGAAAAAAAGAAATTGTACAGATCTTATCAACAAACACAGTGAAGGGAAAGGTGGTTCAGGGCGTTGTCTGACTTTTTTTAGTACATGCAATTATTTCTATCTGCTCTAACTTCGTCAATCCGAAGATGGTCATTCTCCGTGCGTGTAAAACGGGACCTACTCTTTTGAAGAGCGTATATTTTACAATTATTTAGTTTATAATTATTCAACATGAAAGAGACAAGAAATTATTATATATGGGTAGGAGAGAGGAATATGTCCCTTTGCAAGGATAGAAAAACAATATTGCGTTTTACCGATCTGCAATTGTTTAAGAAGGATATAGTGTGAATTGGCTGTGTTTTTAGCTGAAGATGCAATCCATTTGGGAAAATGAAAATGTGATAATAAAATAAAAACAGATCGAGTAGTTTCTTTATGTGATTCTTAGATTTTATATGTTTATCTAATTGTAGAAATAAAAGTGATTATAACGTAGTAGCGCCGTATTAAAGAAAAGAGCATTCACTTTGAATAAACAAATACATATCTGTCTAGCGTTATAGTACAGACAAGTTTCTCAAAGTACATAATTTCATCGACAATCACGGTATAATGCGGTGTAGAATTGTGACAGCTGTGTAAATTTCTAAGGTCGCATAAAGAAATGTTCTCTCCTAAAGAAAGAAAATGGTATCTTCGTTTACAAGACTTGTGTAATATATTTTTTCGTGATAATCTAACGATATGCTAAAATTAAAATCAACTTTTCTTTCATAGTATTAGGAATTTAGATATGTTGAAATTTTTTATTTTAGAAATACTAATGGATATCTCGATCATTCTTATCTAATATTGTTTTATATACGTATACTACTGATATCGGTTATCAATTGATATATGCGTGTTTTTAAACTACTACTGTCCAATGTTTCGATGCATTGTATTTCTAACAAGAAATCTCACTGTAATTTAGGTATCAATTCGTGATGATGTGATATTAGTAGAAAAATTTGTGAACAACGTAAAGAACGGATCAGCGTGTGATATTACAAACTTTGGCCATGTGTGTAAAAGATCCTCTTATACGAGCATTATCACCACAACCACTAAATGATTTCTGTCGCTTTGTTGTTCCAATGATACTTTTTGGAACTTTTGATACCTAAGATGTGCTTTTTCCATAGAAAGAAAAGAAAAGAATTATTTGAAATTACTGTATTATTTGACAAGAACTTGCAGTAATGATATTCCAAAATGATATGTAGCAAGTGTTCATGCGTGAGTGTGTGTGCATATAAATACAAATGGAATTTATAAGACTGATCAGTACTAGAATTTTCCAAATTAAATTTTCAAAGTAGAACAATTATTCGTATTCATATAAACGTTTGAAACGACAAATAAAACTTCCATAACTCGTGTTATTAAACTTACATTAATTATATACTGGCTATATCGAAGAACAATAGAGGTTTTGCGAATTAAAAATCGTTGAATAAAATGTTCTTCCTGGTCTCTTTGAAAATAGAAGGAAAATGAAGGGAAACAAGAAATAAAAGTAAAAAAAAAAATGTGCGATGATCGCGTTATAATATAGAAATAAGATATATAAGACAGATGCTGTTACGCATATTTTGTACTTCCTTAAATGATTAGAAATAACAAAAAGACATTAAAAGCATATAACGTGTAGGATATTTAATTTTTTTTATTCATTATGTCGTTGTTAAGTATTGTGCTTGGTTAGATAATTTCTACATGTTCGCACGCTTTGCATTCAATGCGTGTTCATCAATCTTTCACAATCAATGTTTTTTATTTTTTTTTTTTTTTTTTTTAGTAGTTCATCGTATTTTTTTCATGTTTTTGATTAATTTGTTCGTTCATTAGTTTTTATTACAGTATAAAAAGAAACCATATAGTTTCAACACTGATACACCCCCTCTCTCTCTATTATCAAATTGTTTAATGAATTTTGTACGCGTTTCAGCTTTCGTTTGATCGATTATTATTACTGTAATTTGTAATCTTACTGCAGAAAACAAAGAAAGCAAAATAAATTATGAGAGTTGTAATAAACGCTTTGTTGATCCTTCATGAATTGATTCATTGCCCATTATAAAAACGAGAAATAGTATCTGTTATCAGTGATTACAGATGCAAAAGTAGTGGACATTGAACGTGCCTTTCTCCTTACCAAAGGGGTCACGATTTTTCTAAACCCTACTTTATTTTCTTCTTTTCATACAAAAAGATAATAATAGCAGTAACTACAGATATAGAAAGATTGGACACGATTTTCTTCTCAAGGGGTCCCAGACACCCCCGCGACAAATTAAAAAAATTTTTTATTCGATCCCAGCGCCATCTATACAAAAACGGCGCAAACTACTCGACGGATTTTTCCAAACTACTTCAAGTTTTGCAAAGCGTTTCTAAAAATCCAAGAATCAATTTGCGACGATTGTGGTTCGACATCTATCCTTTGAAATGTGTCGCATTTCGAACGTTCTAACCTCAAGGATATCCACTAAAGAATAAAATGTCAAAATAGGAGAAAATTCGAATTTTTCATTTTTGGTTTCCTTAAGGTTAATACTCACGTCGAACAATTGTAACCAGGCCACACTTAAACACTTTTTAACGAATTTGAATGATCTTTCAAAGTAATATTTCTCAAGCATACTCGCGGCAGCGACGTCAATGATTTCTTCGCGAATAGAAGCAATTTCATGTTCGACAAATTGTTTCCATATAAATTTTTGCCATTTTGATTGTCGGATATTAAAGGGAAGGATATGAGACATAGTTAAAATTCGATCCTCAACGGATGGATTTACATATTTGTTAGATTTTAAGAAATCCGCGTTTTCATCCATCGTTATTTAAAATTAAAATGAAGTCCAGAAAACAAATATACAGTGTGTAAGGATAAAATATTGTTACTATACTTGCCGTCACCAGAGTCCATAACCAAGGCGCGCAGGTTGGAAGATGGTGGAGGAACTTAGCGAGCCTCAATACTCCCACTCTTCTAATCACTTTTAATATACGGGGTAAAACAATAGTACGTTGAATAGGAAGAATATAAATGATAAACGCGAATAAAAGACCATACTACCCGTTATACACTCCAAATGATGCACTTTTGCGTAGATGCATCGCGTGGAGGCGCTTCAGCGACGCTGTGCGCAAGCGTATGGGAATGGGAGTATCGCCAATCAGGGCGAAGATGCGCACGAAAGAACGAAAACTGATCTTTGCGCAGTTATGGACTCTGGTGGCGGTCAATATACACTGTTTCAAATAACTCGTTCGAACTTATTAGAGCAATTAATGCTTCATAGTTATTTCTTTATTTATTTACTTATTGTCTCCAAGTGATTTTCTCTCTTTGTATAGAATGTACAATAGTACACGCAACAAACGAGGTTTGTTGGAGTACGAATCTCTCTTACACTCGAGAAACTATATGCGCAATGTTGAAATTTTCATAAATAAATATCTTATTGCAAACTTTTGAGAATGACTCAAAAGTGCATGATAACAACATCATACTAAAAACTACAAAGATTAAAAAATACGAATAGGAGAATGCAACCGTTACTTGCGTTCGCACCTTTTGTTTTTAATTAGTTTTCCAAAATATAATTCGAACTATTGCAGTTTACAATTTTGGTTCATTGAAAATACATCGTCTACAATTCATTTTGGAATCATCATATCGTCTTCAGATCATCTCCCGAGTTTATCGATATTGCAAAAATGCTTATTTATACCTCGTATAACTACCAAGAAATGAAAAAAAAAAAAAAAAAAAGTACGGACATAGAAGTTGCTGTATATTTATCACTGCTTACCTGTATACCTGTATTAGTTGCCAAATTTTTGCAGAAACGAATAAACGACAATGCAACGGCAATTCATTGAAAATGAAGAAACTTCTTCTTCTACATTGTTATTCTCATCCTATCACGGTGACAAACATTATGTAATAACATTTCGATTCTTCCAATACCGTGTAAACATACGATAAAAATAATACTGGTTTTCTTTTCGTCCTTCTACAGATCATCTTTTCTTCGTTACTCGTTTACGTTTGCACACACCAATGATCTCGTGGAATTTATTTTTGAAAATGGGGCGGAAAAGTAACCGAGTATGAAGAAGGATAACTGATCGATGAACGCTAACACATTTTAAGCTACAACTTCTGTTATTACACCTCCGGTTACAGGAAGACCAGTTTCTCCCATTAAAGCCAGATCTACTTCTCGCGCCGCCTGTCTACCCTCTGTGATAGCCCAAACAACCAACGATTGTCCACGCCGACAATCTATACGCGAGATAAAGTTAATTTTAGTCATAGCACGTAGGATGTTATAAAACCAGAGAGATAATATATATATATATATAATAAAAAAACTCCTTACCTCCGGCAGCGTATGTTCGAGATAAACTTGTTGCGTATTTACCAATCGGTGTTTTGAAGTTACCTCTTTCATCTAATGCCGCATTTAATTCTTCGGCAAGATATTTTTCAGGACCCAAGAAACCCATTGCGAGTAAAACTAGATCGCATTTATATACCTACACAGAATTTACAGAATTGGTTAATTCAATTTTAAATAATCTTGTCTTATCTCATGATTTTTACCTTCTCTGTTCCAGGAAGTTCTTCCATTTTCCAACGACCATGTTCATTTGTCCACGACACTGATACCGTTTTGATACCACTTACGTGACCATTTCCATCGTCCAAGAATTCCTATAACAAGTATAGAAAGTACATATACAGGAACTTCGAAACTACGAAACTTTATCCACGTACCTTACTTAACGTACTGAATTGTCGCGGGTCACGTCCGAACTTAAGGAAGACTTCTTCATGACCATAGTCTACTTTAAATACACGAGGGAACTGAGGCCAGGGATTATCTGACCCTCTCTTCTTCGGTGGTTCCGGTAGAATTTCAAAAGTAGTAATCGTTTTGGCACCCTACAACGTTACGATCTGTTCATCTGAACTTTCTTGTATTTCGAATATGCAAATATGTTACTGTACATGTCGTAAAGATGTAGCTATGCAGTCGCAACCGGTGTCCCCGCCACCTATTATAATGACATCCTTATCCTTAGCCATTAAACGCATATCCAACGGAGCATCGTTCCCCATTTGTTTCTTTTGCCAATGTTCTAGGAAACTTACAGCAAAATGAATACCTTCCAAATGTCGACCAGGTATTTGTAAATCTCTCGGCCAAGTCGCGCCAGTACAAAGCAGCATTGCATCGTACTGTTCAGCCAATTCCTATTGTTGTGAAAAAAATAAATAGATGAAAAGAAGGAACGATTAAGGAATGAAAAGGAAATTAATTCACAGTGTCTGAATAACATCTGACCTTGGCGGAAATATCTTTTCCGACATTAACGCCAGTCTTAAATGTAATGCCTTCTGCGGCCAAAAGAGAAACTCTTCTTTGAACGACTTGCTTCGATAGTTTCATAGTCGGTATACCGTACTGCAAAAGGCCCCCTATTCGATCGTTTCTTTCGTAAACGGTCACCAAATGGCCTGCTTTATTTAACTGATGAGCTGCAGCTAATCCTGCGGGGCCAGAACCAACCACGGCAATTCGACGGCCGGTTCTCATCGTAGGTGGATGCGGAACTATCCAACCTTGTTCAAATGCATGATCAATTATTGCACATTCAATGTTTTTTATCGTAACCGGTGGTTCTGATATACCCAATACGCAGGCACCTTCGCACGGAGCAGGACATACTCTTCCAGTGAATTCTAAATGAATTTTTGATTCGTTAATTAGATATCAGTTGGGATTTACATTTTTTAAATTCGCGATAAAAATAATTTTACTGCACTAACCTGGAAAGTTATTTGTTTGTAACAATTGATTCAATGCCTCTTTCCAATTCGATTGGAAAACGAGATCGTTCCATTTTGGTATGATGTTTCCCAAAGGACAACCATGGCTACTTTGACAAAATGGTACACCGCATTCCATACACCTGGCTGCCTGTACGCGCAATCCTTTGCGAACTCCTTGGAAATTATAAATTTCATCCCAGTCGGTAACTCGATTCTCAACCGGCCGATACATCGATACTTCTCTTTTGTATTTCATAAATCCCCTGAAACAGGTAATAAAAACAAATTGCATTATTTATAAGCGTTTAGTACTGTATTTCAATCAGCTCTTAATGTACCTGATTTTGTCAAGTTTACGCTTCTCCATGTCAACATCGGCAACCGCATCTTCGATATCTTTCACTTGAGCATTCGACTTTTTATCAGAATCTCCGTTTACCGTTTTTTGCGCCTGTTTTGTCTCTTTGAGTTGCTGCAATGCTCGTTGGTATTCATATGGAAATACCTTCGACAAAATCAAAAGAAATTTAGAAATTTAGAGTAGACGATGAAGTTTTACCAATTACTGTAAATAATACCTTAACGAATCGCGTCGTTGGTTCAGGCCATAACTTCAAAAGACTCTGACCGATCAAAGAACCGGTCTTTTCAATAAATTCTTCTAAAAGCTGTTTTACATATGCTAGATCTTCCGGTTGGTTTAGGGGAAGTAATTCTACCATTTCAGGGTTGCATTTGCTGCGTAGGAAATTAAAATGGGTTAATGTATGCACACTTGGTGAAAAATCGATGATACTATGTCGATTTTGCGTACCTTTTGAACGACCCATCCACATCAAAAACGTACGCTATACCACCAGACATGCCAGCAGCGAAATTTCGTCCCGTCAGTCCGAGAATAAGTGCACAACCACCAGTCATGTATTCGCACCCATGGTCTCCGACACCCTCCACTACAACTGTTGCTCCACTGTTACGAACGCTAAATCTCTCGGCGGCAATCCCTCGGAAATAGGCTTTGCCGGATGTTGCACCATAAAGGCAAACGTTACCAACGATTACATTTGCCTCGGACTTGAAAGTGGAATCTTTCGGCGGATATATAACAATCTCTCCACCGCACAGACCCTGAAAATTGTCAACTAGAATATTTAGTACATAGAAGATCGATGCATGGTAGCAAGGAAGATTCTTACTTTTCCCACGTAATCGTTGGCGTCTCCCTCGAGAGTAACGTGAATCCCTTTGGTCATGAAAGCACAGAAACTCTGACCTGCAGAACCTTTCATTTTGATATTTATACTACCTTCTGGTAGGCCATCTTCACCGAATAATCTACAATTGAAACATAAATTACGAATATTTGATATTAGCGAAGAAATTCTGATAAGAAAATCTTGACAAATTGCTCCTTTACTTTGATATGTGGTAACTTAATGTCGATGCAAACGTTCTGTCCTCGTTATTAATATTCAATTCCATCGTAACGCTCTCTTTCTTTCTGTCTAACACGTCCCTAGCTAATTTGATCACGCGATTGTCAAGTCTGTTTTCCAACTGGAAATCCTGTTTCACGGATCCTCCCTTGATATTTATCCCTGGTCGAAGTTCCAATGCATTCCGTAATATATTATCGAGTCTTAACGTTTTAGCTTTTTCAATCGAGATATCCTTGCGAACTTTCAAAAAATCTGTGCGACCAATTAAATCTTGGAATTTGCGCACTCCTAAGTGGGCCATGTGCGAACGTACCTAAGCCAAAGACACATTATTACTACCAATTTTATTGGACAATTGTCTACCGTTGTCGATCGATCCCACATACCTCTTCTGCCAATGCAAAGAAAAAGTTAATAACATGTTCTGGTTTTCCTTCAAACTTCTTTCGAAGCACTGGGTCTTGCGTCGCAACACCCACTGGACAAGTGTTCAAGTGACACTTTCTCATCATCGTACAACCCATAGAAATTAAAGGTGCAGTGCTGAAACCAAATTCATCAGCACCTAAGAGAGCCGCTACTACCACGTCATAGCCAGTGCGCATTTGACCATCAGCTTGAACGACGACACGTGATCGAAGATCATTCAATGTTAGAACTTGATGAGTCTCTGCAACTCCTAATTCCCAGGGTAATCCGGCAGATTTTATTCCCGTCCAGCTGCTAGCACCAGTTCCACCGTCGTGACCGGATATCACGATATGTTCTGCTTTTCCCTATTTCATTTTTTTTTTTTTTTTTTCACCAATAATATATGTATCGCTTGTCAAGATAATAGACAATCATGGAAGAACATGATTCTCAAATACAATGATCTATTTTGATAATATTTTGGGAAGTTACCTTGGCCACTCCTGCTGCAACTACGCCTACTCCTACTTCGGACACCAACTTCACAGAAATACGGGCGTTGGGATTCGCACATTTTAAATCGTAAATTAACTCGGCAAGATCCTCGATGGAATAAATGTCGTGATGGGGTGGTGGTGAAATTAATCCTACGCCAGGTACCGAGTGTCTGGTTGCAGCAATTTCAGCTGTAACCTGTAGAGATTACATAAATATATTTAAACCATCACATTCTGTAAGCGATTAAAGTAACCTTAATTACCTTATAACCAGGCAACTCTCCTCCTTCGCCGGGTTTCGCTCCTTGTGCCATTTTAATCTGAAGATCGTCAGCGTTTGCTAGATAGCTCGAGGTTACGCCGAAACGACCGCTCGCAACTTGTTTAATGGCTGATCTTTTGTTAAATTCTGGATCTTGATTGAGATATCTGAAAACATCCAAGGATTTTTAGATTATCATCATTGCATTACGCGATAAAATGCAACAAGACGTATCTCCTTTGTCATTAATTTTACCTGTCAGCATTTTCACCACCTTCTCCTGTATTGGATTTTCCGCCAATACGGTTCATTGCAATTGCTAGAGTGGTATGCGCTTCTATGGAAATACTTCCAAAGCTCATAGCACCAGTCGCAAATCGTTTTACAATTTCTGATGCTGGTTCAACTTCGTTTATAGGTATCGCGTTCTCTGTTTTCTCTATCAATTCTAGCTGGCCTCGTAGGGTGCACGCTTTAATCATCTCCATCGTGGTTTTTCGATATTTTTCATAAGCATTCCAATTCTTGGAGGTAACATAATCCTAAAGGAATGTAAAATTAAAAACATGTATAAATAAAAATAATTTTTTTACTCATATTTATTAGAAAATGTTATAAACTTACCTGTAAATTAGCAATACTATCAGGATCATTGATGTGTTTCTCTCCGCCGGATCGCCAGTGATAAATTCCTGGATTGCGAATAACGAGCATATCCATAGGTTTCTTCCAATACGTAATCTGATGCCTTTCAAACGCTTCCTTTGCTAAAATATCAAAGGTAACTCCGCCGATACGAGACTGGGTTCCCTGAACAAAAAGTACTCAATATTAAAGTTAGGAACTAAACAGATAATATCGAAGCATATTATAATCTATATTTCTAATACGTCATTAAGATGGTTGAATCATGATGCTCATTAATTGGATCCAATTTTTAATCATGTGTACTTTCGTCGGTTCACCGTTCACTGTAGACAATCTTTTACTATGTTGCTACATACCTTGAAACATTTCTCAATGACTTCATCGGCCAAACCGACTGCTTCAAAAATTTGAGCTCCTTTATAAGACTGCAACGTGGAGATCCCCATTTTCGCCATTACTTTTGCTATACCTCTCTCCATTGCTTCCGCATAGTTCTACAGTGTGTTCAGAATCGATGATTTTATTATATTTTTTTTCTGTTAAGGTCCAAAAGTAACCCAGTATACTTACCGAACATAGGACATTATCGTTGAACGACGAATCGAGCACACCATCCGCTCGAAGATTTCTTGCCATTTCGAAAACAAGATAGGGACAGATAGCATCTGCTCCATAACCAAGTAACAAACAAACATGATGTACTTCTCTAGCTTCGGCAGTTTCCAGGATAAGACCAACTTTCATACGCTGTCGTTCCTCAATTAAATGATGGTGCACCGCGCCTAATACTAAGAGGCTACTGACAGGTACTCTAAGAGAAACAACAATGCAACAATGCTATTAAAAAAACGCTTACACGTTTTGTCATTGTATACCTGGCAGTATTCACAGAAGATATATTATTCACCTGTCTGGACCACCTTGTCTATCAGAAAGAACGAGAAACTGATATCCTTCTTTTGCGGCTTGATTAGCCTCATCGCTGACGCGATTTAACGTGTTCACTAATCCAGATAGACCTTCTTCTACAGGGTAAGTTGCATCGATTACTTTACTCTTCCAACCACGGTATCTCGTGCGTTTAATTACTTCGAGATCGCTTAAAGATAATATCGGTTGCGGTAAAAATAATCTGTGTACTTGAAGTTCGCTTGGTTCCAAAATGTTGCTTTCAGGCCCGATAGGACACAGCATCGACATCACGATTTTTTCTCTAAAAGGATCTATCGGAGGATTTGTGACCTAAGAGAAATTTTAACGAACAAGTATATTATTCGATATCTGTAACATGAATTATTTACAGAAAAGAACGATGCGTTTTTGGTTACAAAAATTAATTGTACCTGAGCAAACAGCTGTTTAAAGTATTCGTAGACGAGTGGTTGAAATTGTGAAAGACAGGCAAGCGGTGCATCGTTACCCATTGAACCTAATGCTTCTTTTCTGTATAGTGGTTATACAATTTCATGAATTAACCGGTAATCATTAAAATAATCGGAGATATAATACGTACTTGGACTGCATCATCGGTAGGAACAGCATATTAATAGTCTCCAGTGTATAACCGTAAAGGGATAGTCTTTTATCACCTCCCCAGACTCGATTCACAGCAGATATAGGATTTCCGTCACTGTCCATCTCGCCTTTATCTTGTTCTGCAACGAAGCCATTCTCAACAGCAACCGCGTTTGATTTGCCATGCTCGGTGTCAGCAGCTCGTAGCTCTTCCATTGTAATCTACGCGCAAGTACGTTCAATTGAATAGAAATTCGAGCAAGAAAGTAAATTGTGGGATAAATATCGGCGTTGAATATGATCTAACAAAGCGTAATCAGAAATCACTGGACAATGGATATGAAAAACTCACCATCTGTGTACGATGACATGTACGATTGTTGTTTGGAAAGAGAAATAAATGTTTTCTTTTTAATCGAATATATATAACGTCACATATATAGATATTGATATTGGTACTTGATAGTCGAATGAAAAGAGATTATATTTTATAAAGCAAAGAAATAAAACAACAACTCTACCTGATCTTTAAGCCATTTCGAATGAGGTCTGCTTCTAGCAATTTGCATTTTCAGTTCAACATCTTCTATGATCCTCTTTTCATGCGTATCGACGAGTAGCATTCTTCCTGGTTTTAAACGGCTCTGTAAATAAAATGAAACTTAACTAATCATCAACAAATAATATGAACAACCACTGGACATGTACATTATAGTAGCACCAAATGATAATCTTGCGTAGTTTCATACAAACCTAATTCCTGCGTTAAGATATTAAAAGATTAAACAAACACAGTGCGTGATTTCCTATTTACGTGTAATAGTAGTAATAATAATAATAATAATAATAACAACAACAACAACAACAACAATAAATGTCGGGAAATAATATAAAGTATAAAGGCATATCTCTCCTGCAATAATAAACCCGAAAAATTTTTAAGTTTTCCAGGAATCGTCTACAGACAGTTGGTTAATTCGTATGATATGCTGTTGAATTCAAATGTGACGCCGGTGGGAGAGATTGTGTTACAAGTACGATACATGCGCGCATACGCACATACAGGCACACGCCCACGCGTACCGGTGCATATCCATTCTGTTCTGATCTAATATCCATTCTAGAGCAACAGATAGATGAAGACGAGCAATGTATAAACTAAAGAGAATGCACATAAAGTATCCAGCTAAGAGTGTGGATATAAATATGGTGTAAGATTATGGACCGATGTATGCAGGATTCATGTATTTTCTTGCGTTGACTAGCTAAAAAAAAAAGAAGAAGAAGAAGAAGAAGAAGAAGAAGAAGAAGAAACAGGACGTTGATAATGAATTTCTTTAGATTAGTTCAAGTAATGCAAGTTCGATTCATATTTTTAAAAAAAACTTTTCCACTTTGTGCCCACGGTATCCCCTCTAAAGCTGAAATGCTACATGTTGGACAATATACAAAAAGCATTTAGACACAAGTCACTGTTTCTTTAACAAATAATTCGGCCTGAAAAAAATGTCTAAAAAGGACTGGACTGGCCGATTATGTGTTTGTTTCCTCGTTTACCTTCAGGACTACATTGCTGGGCGGAGTGTCATAGACGCCCACTTCGGACGCCATCACCATCATGTTATCCTTAGTGACGTAGAAGCGCGATGGGCGCAGGCCGTTTCTGCCAAACAAAAATTCAAAAGTCTTTTGTATTACCACCTCAGTGTCGCGTACTAGTATCAACTGTGAACTATACTTTGCTTTATATTTTCGCATTGCCCTCCTCTTCTACTCTCTCTTTCACTCTCTCTCTCTCTTCTCTCTTATCATTCTCTTGTTACACACATCCAAAGAAACTCATTCTTTTATTCATTTACACGCTTACAAGATCCTTTCCTCGCTCTTTTTATCCCCTGTGCTTATTAGTTACTTCAAAAAATCTTGAGACATCAATGAAGTTCCTTTTTTCTGTAAACATCGATTCTGTAGGCACTGGACCACGAGTGACAGCGCTGTACGGTCCGTTGCCTACGATCCTTGGAGGGAAACGAATTCTTATTTTTTTTTTTTTCTTTTTTCTTTGTTCACCACTGCAATGTATCCTCCGAGTAGACTTCCTGACTTTTCCTAAACCTTTTGATCTTGCATTATAATAGACTTAAAAATTATTACCTTGCTTCCCTCCAGAACCTCGATAATCCATGTTTACCTTTCTATTTCTTTTGTCATAATAAATGTGACCCTCTTCAACTCTTTCTACATATAAAAATGTGGAATATATATACATATACGTACACACTGGATTTCACAGATAACATCAGGCTTGTAACGTGCAATTTATCACATTTAACTTGTACGCCGTTCTCATGACAGCTTCCCCTCGAATACACTGTAAAAGATGTCTTAAACTTTGACCTCATTATGTCACCGACACATTTCTTTTTTCTGTTCTTGAACAACAGCTGTGAGAAAAGATTTGATCAAAACGCTACATATTCAACGAGAGTGAAACTGTATGAAAACGGGTAGACGATAAGAATCGCTTTGAACCGCAAAATGCAAATGTTAGCTCCTACCTGTCTAAAATAGCACCGACATAACGTCCATCCGTAAACGTTAAAAGAGCAGGACCGTCCCAAGGTTCCATCGCGCAAGCAGCCCAATGATAAAAGTCGCGCTTCTCAGTCGCCATCGTCATATCGTTTTGCCATGCTTCCGGTACCATCGTCATTACTGCCTAAACGTATTACTTTCAATAACATCTTGGATCTGGTTAATATTTCAATACCTCGATATTACGTACCTCTGGTAAAGATCGCTGTCCGACCATTACCAAGAATTCCAAAACGCAATCGACGGCTCCTGAATCGGAAAGATTTGGTTCTACCACAGGATAGAGCTCTTTCAATTGCTCGCCAAAAAGCTTACTACTCATCACTCCTTCTCGGGCTTTCATCAGATTTACGTTTCCTCTTAAAGTATTGATTTCGCCATTGTGTGCTAATAATCTATAGGCAAAGTTATTATTTTCTATTGATCAATAAGAAAAACCGGACACGGTTTAGGATCGTCGAGTCGCTTACCGAAGAGGATGCGCCCTTTCCCAGCTGGGAAACGTATTTGTAGAAAATCTCGTGTGAACTAATGCCAAATAGGTTTCAAATTTTGGCGACTACAAGAAACACACTTGTGTCAATTCAATTGTTAAATTAACGATTATACGTATAATATTAATGTTTTTCTTACGTTCAAATCTAGGAAATACAACCATAATTGATCCGCCGTTAATTGACCTTTGTAAACGACAATTCGTACGGAAAGCGAGCATACATAGAACCTTGCACCTAACTGTAGAATAGAATGGGAGGATCTTTTCCTTAAAACGAAGACCTGCAATGAAATATTGGAAAACGGATTTTAGTCGCAATACGATTGTTACATCGACGTGACAATATATTACTTATATCATTTATTTACTCAATGAAAGATTACATTGGCGAATAGTGATTACCTGTCGTTCAAGAGTAGCGTCATCTTGATCGCCGGTAACAAAGACTTGACGCATGTAAGGCTCGCATTTTCGTGCTACTTCACCAATTTTTGTATTATCAGTTGGAACATTTCGCCAACAAATTACCTACAATCAAGGAAAACACTTGAAAATACAAGTTGATGAAAAACACTTTTGTAGGAAAGACTGCGCAATTAGAAATAAGATGAGCGGAAACTACAGAAATATATATTTAAAACGAGCGCCGAATACATCGTACCCTTAAATTGCATTCTTTCGCCAATTTATCAAACGCAGCCTCAACTTCTTTGTGTGTATTTTTGTCAAGGAATAGAACACCGGTAGCGTAACGTCCAAATTCTGGTAATTCGACATTTTGCTGTTCACTGAAAAATAAATTTACACATTTTATTTTCATTTTATACGCGTTACTAGCGGGTACGAACATTCAGTGTAATTTGCTAAAACGAAAATAGATTTTGATCATCAGCAATCACAGACTACATACACATATCTCGTGTCAAGCTGCAACTTCCGTGTACAGTAACTTATCTCTATTTTCAGTCAGAAACGTACAAGGATCGTTACCAATGTCGCAGACTGTAAAATATCTAACAAAAAATAGATGTAAACATCTAACAACGTTAAAACGAAACGAAACGAAACGAAACGAAACATTTTTTGTTAACATCGACCGTGGCCGTGTAACACAGCTGATATTGTTTGGTAATAAATAATAGAATCGATAAGAAAGTAAACACGCAACACTTCTATGCGCTGATCGAGAGATTCGTGAATTACGCGATAACCCCTGAAATTACGTCGTACGACGAATTATGAAATGAAACGCGTTATCGGACGCATCGTTACTAGTATACGTCAATGAATGACAAAGCAGTGGAAGGACCGTGATCAATGCTTATCTCTTACCGCAATTCTTCAGCGTAATACTCGTGAGGAATGGAGCAAAGAACACCGGCTCCGTCTCCCGTGTCATTATCGCAGGCACATGCACCACGGTGGTTCATACGCGCCGACAGAGTTTCCGCATCTCTAATAATCTGTAAAAGTATATTTACAACATTCTGTATGTTACGATAGAAAAGATAAATGAAAAAAGAAAGGAGGAAATAAGGATAAAAAAAAAAAAACAGAGTGTCACAACTTGAAATCACTTAACTGTGCCGAGGAAACAAAGAAGACATACCGTATACGAATGAAATTTTCTTCAATTATTATCCAACGTTAACAGAAAAGGAAAGGATACGTGATCGATTTACCTTATGAGATTTCTTTCCATCAATGGCAACAATGAATCCAACACCGCAGGCATCCTTTTCAAGATCTGGATCGTAAAGAGCCTGTTTCGGGGGCAAGGACCAGCTTTGATCGGTGTTCATAATTTCTCTCTGAAAAATTGAAGGAAATATAAATTTGCAAGGTTATCGTTGAATCGAGCGAGCTAGAATACCGAGGATAGAAAAAAGAAAAATGAAAGAAAAGATGAGCAGAAATATGCGAAAAAATTATGTAACGACTAACAGTTAAACAGCCTATCGCGTGAACTCGCGATCTAATTCGAAAAGGAATTTTTCTTAGCGAATACGATTGCAGAAAACCTACACGCACGTAACACGCGCATACGGTGTGCGTCGTTCCGACGATCGAACGTGTTTACGCGCATGCCATCGATTTATTATGTAAAGGGTTGCGCGTGCGCGCGCATTTGCACCTCTCTTTCCTCGCTTAATGCATTAAATGTATCTTCCTAATTGAAAACCGGGGGGAAAAAAAGATACTATAAAAAAATCGACACAGGAAAAGATATACAAGATGTATGTCGATACGTATAAACGAGGTAATCGTACAAACGTTTTAAAAATTCAAAAATCTCCAAGGTTTAACGAGCGATCATTCGTACAATCTACTGGTACGTTAATTACAGTAAAGAATATAAAGAGAGTAGATAAAGGATGAGAATAGCGAACATATTTTGATATCGTTTCTGGTTTCTCCGTACGCGATATCTTTCGAGCTGTTAAAGTACGACCACCACGTTGAAATATGATGTACTGCAAATCCGATCTGGTAAATTATCGGTATCAGCAATCGTAGGTCACCTCTACTGCGGTCGAGTTCGAAGGCGAGAAGCGTTCACAGGATACACTTATGTGTACGAGCTATTCTACGAAAGTAACGTGCTGGTAATTAGACTCCGTTATTGCGCATATCGTGTTGGATCGGTCGATCGACAATAAATATCTTTCATCGCGTACGTTGCTCGTTGTTCATTCTCTATACAACAGATATGTATCGTGTACAGGCAGGCGTATTTCTGCAAAAATTCAATTTCAAAAGAACAAAAAGAAAAATTCGCCTAGCATACAATGTACGTTCATACTTCCTTTTTACGGAGCACAATTTTTAAAGTAACATTATTATTGTTAATTTATAGTAAAAGAAAATGAAAAATTGACGATGGTAATTGGAAAAAATAAACAATTATTACGTTACGCCTTTCCTCGAATAACTTTCACAACGCAGTGTGTCGCGCGGTTCGTGAAACGCGATTACCAAACGCTGATTATATCGAACAAATATGCTTACCCTTCAAATTTTGCGCGATAACGATAGTACCACTTTGTTTCCATTCGATTGATTTTTCTTCGATTTCAACGCGACTTCAACGAGCACCGATTGCGTTCAAATCGTTCAAACACACATCTCATCGACTTACACCGAAAAGCTTCAAGTTTACTAATGCGGTTACTACTTTACCGCCACGTTTCATTTTCCCTATCTCCTCTAGTTTTTCTCCTACCAATAATTCAATCCTTTACAGTTCTACGAATTGCTCAATGACACTTAAATCTTATCTCGTCTCGACTTGTTAATTACTTATGTTGATTTTCGCGTATCGTCGACCAAGGGACTGATTTCGCAGTACTGTATTATACATACTACTTCTCTCGTTTATCGCTACGCTTCATCGCGGCTGAAATCGTCAAGTTTCGCCCACCCCTAGATCCCCTGGACACCCAATGCTACCACCAATATTCCCTTCTGCCCGCTGCATCCCTTCGCGGTACTTGAACAACATTGGTTATCGCTCTCACGACGTGCACGTAACTTTTTCTTATTAAATTAACCAAAATATCATTCTACATCGTAGATTATCTCTTCTTCCTCGACTTTTCATATAAATTCATAGCGATTTAATAGAACCTGTTTATGTATTCCTAAAATTTTGCAATATTCTATTCCCGATATTTTACGTAAAGGAGAAAAATATCTAAGAGCTTGGAACGAGGCCGATTTTCTAATGTAATTTGATTGATCAGCGATATTTTTCGTTCACTCAACAATTCGGCCAAAGAAATCCACGTTTTCAAGCAACCAGGATAGCTTGGACGTCAACGATATTTGGCTTCTTGCCAAAACACCAATAGAACCTAGAAAACTCTTAGTTTCCCCCCTTAAAATACAGACCTATCTTAGGAATACGAAAACTCTACTGATAACGCCGTTACCTTGTGAAATTAACATGTTTAGTGCAGCAGGAAGGTCATCAGTGATCCAAATAACTGAAAGAAGAAAGTGGAAGATACTACAAAGGGCAATTTATCAAGAATTGAACCCTTAAAACATGCATAGAATCATCTTTTCTATTTTTCCTTCTTCTTTCGTTCGAAGCTGAAGTACATCCGCGTAAATCCTTTTAAATACCGTGCAGCTTAAAAAAGTAATTATCTCGAGGTTCTTACGAAATCTTGATCTTAAAAATAACGATAACATGCAACGGAAACTCCCGGTTATCGTAAGAATGCAGTAAGGGAGGGGAACAAGTTCATTAGTATGTACCATAGTAGAGTACACTGTATTATCGCTTATTAGATACGATCTAAGTGCGTCGATTTCAGTTTCCCTCTATATTTTGCAATTTCTCATTTACTTCCTTAACGCTAATGGGAAATTATATACCCCCCTGCCCTTCCTTTGCATTCATTCATTCGATTGATACTTGGACTCCGAACAATCAATTGCCATCGTTCGTCACAACGATCGCTGTTAGCTCATTAATAGTTAATACCCCAAGTTGCGAATTTATAACATTCTACTACGCCTTCAATGATCGTAAAGTTTTTTTTTTATTACTTATAATTAACGTATATTTACAAGTACCTTTCGAATAATTGGGTTAAATTTCATCGCGTCCTTCTGTACATTTGGAGTATCGAATGTATAATGTACATATACATTTTTTTCCAGTTTCATCAGAAACAAACTTAGTCTCTATAAAAAGAACTAATAACAGGGGGCAGAACCTTGAAGTTCGCTAAAATTAATACGAAACGAACCAGCAGTACTACCGTTTATTTCAAAACTAGCAACACTTTAGTGCCGACGAACATAGATATACTACGCGTATATGTATAGACGAACATACATTTCTTTCTCGTGCAGCAATTTCATTGAATTCAACCTGGTTACCCCAAATAAACCGGTTTCGTAAGTTTTTCTAAGCGGTTCTGCACAACTGTTAAAAGAATCGTTTGTTTGCATACACGCGTATCGATAAGACCAATTTTGCGCGTTATGCTCCACGATACATACCCATTTTAGGACTGAATGGTTTATTTTTACCGTTAATTTGTTGCATGGCACGAAAAGAGCATTTTTGGATTGGTCCCAACTGTTTTTAGTTGAATAATTCTATCGCGGTATGCGACATTTTGTTCGATAAATTTTATTTTTAATCTATTTAACTGGATGTAATAAGTTTCGAAATGAAATACATACGTACAGTCAAAGTTAGAAAAACATTTACCTGTCGAATCGTGTCAACGATTGATAGCACGCTTGCTTAATCCGCAGTCTGGTTATTTGAAATTCTAACTTGTGTCTATCGTTTCCTTCTTCAATATTCTCCCGTCTTTGCTTCCGTCCTTTTTCGTTTCTACTAATTGTTCTTTTATTTCTACTTTAATCGATTTTTATAAATCTAACACACACATACACCCGCGCACAATTTAGTCAATTTACTGCTCGGTGTACGATATTACCGTGAAAAACGAAATTCCAATTGGCCGTTGCAAAAATTGTTGAAAATCATATAGCGTGACTGAAGTAGCTAAATTATTTTAATGAAAGCACTATTGCAAATGTTACAGATTCGAAGAAAATGTGCAGTCACTGGGCAAACCAATCGCACCGACTGCCACTGTTTGACTGAATTAGTTCAAGACGCTCGACCGTATTCTACATACAAGTCGAAGCGCAAATTTTTCCTTTCAACCGACGCGACGATGTCGCCTCTCTCGGCAAAATTCTAATCAACGTAACACGTGTTTGCGCTCTCTATCGAACGCTTCCGAACAACCCGGGAAGTCGATACGTACAAACGCTGTTTGATTAACTGATAACTTTAAATTCCTATACAGGGCCGATCCTGAGATTTCGAGGGTCCGAGGAGAACTCCGAAAAAGGGCCCCTTCCCATACACGATATAAAAAAAAGTAGCTCAAATAAAATTTATAAAATTAACATTGAAGCTTGTATAACTAATTTAGATTTGCATTTACATCGATTAATATTCAAGTAAACATACTTAGACGCAAAATCGTCTTATGGGGGCCTTGTTCCTATAGGTCGGAAATGCGTTATTTTTAAAATAATATTTTTTGTTATAAAGTGCAATACCCGATGCTCGATCGTCAAGACGTCAACGTTCTGGTACACATTGACCGACACGAACGGACTCGCTTCTTAGGCCTGCTAGGGATTTAAAAAATTAGTTGTTAATTACACAAATTTGTTTTGTTTTAAATAAATTAAGTTCTGCTCCTACCTTGTTGATCCAGATATCGCTAAACTCTGTTCGTGTATATGTATTATACTACTATTTTTTTAATTTATCTTCGATCATTTACTTGTTTTAACTATTAAAGATTGCGAGTGATTCTTTCTTTTATTTCTTAATCGCATCGTACGTCTTTTACAGTAATTAAAAAATAACTGATTTATAAAAGTATAATTATAATGTATACAATAGTAAACTGTGACAATATATTTGCTAACAAGATATCAAGTGAAAATATTAATATTTTAGATCGCAAACGAATAAAGTTCGTTTTTCAGGAAATATGAAAGTTAGAAAAAATATAGTGCAGATACAATATTTTATGTTTGCTATACACAACAAAGAAAATATTTTTATTCACTGCACATTTCTCCCTAATTTTTCTTCATCTTCTTATACTCTTCACGCTTTCTTTTAAAATGGCAATGTAAGAACATTGCGATCAACTGTTGATCGGAAAATCAGAATAACGAACAAAAGATTATAAGGGAAATGTTAAAGAGTTTCGATCATTCGCTTAAATCTAGTCACTCTATGGTCGTTGATTTTCTCTTTAGAAACACTAACGAGAAATAATTGCATAAGTGATCAGCGTCGACAAAGATAACGCAATGGAATGAAATTTCGCTGAAACGTTATTAAACGTAACTGCGATAAACCGAGGCTTAGAGCGGGGAACAGTACCTAACAAAGAATGCAATTTTAGTCGCCTTTTCTCGATCTACGATATAATATAATAATTAACCATAATCTACTGTTCTGAGATGAAATTTTTCTATAATACCGAACGTGTATCACTCTAATATTCTCATCATTGATTTACTTAAAGCTGCCTATTTGATTAATCGGTGCACGTTCTATCAAACGATCGCATTAAAGCTATTGTATCTGTTGGCTGAATAAACGAAAAACGTGCGTGCGCATACGCGTTGCCTAAAGTACTCTGTACTTGATACGCGTAATAACGAATATATGTATGTATAAATACGAAACAACATCGTACATAACAAGTAACTCTAAAAATTAAACTAATACTATCTATGTACATTCGTGACATATAACCTTTTTCAATATAATCATACGTTGCCTTAGCGAAATTGATGCAACAACAATTCTGAAGTCCAAAGTGACACTTCGTCGCAAACTTTTATTCCATGCTATGTCTAATTATGAAAACATCAACTTTAAATTGGTCCTGTTTCGAACGAGTCGAGTCAGATGCATGAAACACGAATAGTTGCGGAATTGCTGTCGTATAGGCACAGACAACCAGGAATCGTTTCATCGTCGGAATGCGTTTGTTACAAATAGTTTCATATTTATCTTTCTTTTCCCGGGCTCGGTAGTGGTGGAAAATAAATTCGGCGTGTACTCTTATCGAACGATATATCATTAAAAATAAACCATATCGTTTATTTGACTTACTGCGTGATAAAAAAGTTGGATCAGTGAACCAGTTATTTCTGTTGAATCTATTCCTGTTACTAATGTTATCCGGTATCATTATACAGAAAATAAATTTCGATGTTCAGTCTTAATTCCTATTGTTATGAGCGTTGTTGTTGCTGCTGCTGCTGCTGCTGCTGCTGTTGCTATTGTTTGTATTGTTAGTAGTAACGGCATTGATATTGTTACCGTTATTGTTGTTGTAATTATTACTGCTGTTGTTGCCGTTATTGCTGATCAGTGCAGTAGTAGGATTACCTATGTTATCTATTTCGCGTTGAGCACGCGAAATTTTCACCTTATCCCGTGGTGTTCCATCTTCTCCCGTTTCCATCGCAAACATCTTCATTTTCTCCTTGAAACTTAGTTTCTCAGGTACTGGTCCAACTTGAGAATTTTGTTGCTGTTGTTTTTGCTTTTCGGCAAGTCGTCTTTGCCTCGGATCCCTAAAGAAAATGGTCAAACAATGCGATAAATTAATTTGCTTTACAATTTCTCAAGAGGAGAAAAGAAAACGACGTTACTTGTAAACTTCTTGAGCGCCTATCACGCCAGGTGTACTACCGCTAATTGGTATACCAGGTCCTTCGGGCGTCTTTGGAGATGCCAATAACATTTCAGCATCGTTGATGAAAATCTACAAATCCAGTCATAAACTAATAACTTTTCGTTTTTACTAATTATATAAAATTTATCTCTGCACCTGTGTATCTACAGCATTGTAAGAGTATATAAGTTAAGAAAACAACGTATCGTGTACCGCATATCTTACGTTTGGATCTTCTGAAATGACATCCATAGTTGTGGACGGAATCGCGGTTAAATTTCCAGACGATACATTTCGTTGTACTGATTCCACGTTTGCGTTCGAATCATGAAAGGAGACTCTCTTGACGGTCGTTGATTGCGGGGAAGTTAATGTCATAATATTCGATGAATTTGAATTGTTCGATCGGAGTACCCCAGTCTGCGACATCACCGCAAAACTGGAACCTCGTTCCGGTGGCAGAGGCGCGTCGTTATTACCATTTTGTGTAGCTATAAAATCATATATTAAAATAAAACCAATAATTCATTAGCAAACAAAATATATATAGAGTGCTTACAAGACGAGGTGAGTCCATTAATGGACAAGTTATCCAACCGTAACATATTAGGATGTAACATTTGTTGACTCTTGATATGAGATTGGGGTTGCTGCAAATGATGATGGTGATGATGGTGGAGATGCTGTTGTTGCTGCTGTTGATACATCTGTTGAATTTGTTGCTGCTTATTAGCATCTTCCTCTTTCTTTTTCTGAACTTCATCGAGTTCCAACTGCCTTCGTTTAATCTCATCTGATCTACGATGCATATCTTTGTCTTCGATGGACTGAATAGGACCATGGGAGCCGGACTTTTGAGCAGTATTCGATTGAATTAAGGATGATATCTGCATTTGTCCGGCACTATTTTGCATTTGCATGCTTTGCTCGTGTTGAAAGTTCGACGACGAATGGGAATTAGAGTTTTCTTGCTGGCTTAAACAATTCGTTTGAACGTTTTGGGAAGTTTGCGATGCGTCAGCCCCGTGCGTGATAATACTCGTACCATGCACGGTTCTATCCAGGCTTTGTGCAGCATAGTTTCCTCTGACGGATTGATTGGCCACGTTGTTTCTGGACAGATTGACCTGTGGTTCCGATGCATTGTTTCGTTCTTGAACCGTCGTTGTACGAAGCAACCCTTGAAGTCGCTGTATACTCTCTGCGTCCAAATCATTGCTTTCCTCGTCATCGTCTTGTTGATTAGCGACCTCTTCGGCTCTCTTTTGAAAATCCCTCTCCAACTGGAGCGCTCTAAGCTGTTCTTCCTGTTGGGGAGTTCTATGAGGTAACGCGCTTAATTCCGCTATTTGTTGGTCCCGCCATTGTCTTGCCGCTTCCCTTCTGCGCGCTTGTTCCTACACAATTGTCACAACAATTACAATTACAAAATCTCAACGAATGGCCGAAAAAGAGTTCGTTTGATCACTTTACCTTTTCTCTTTCTTCTCGCTGCCAAGGATTCGTGGCACTGTACTGATACTGACGCGGTTGCAACGCGCTTCCCATCCCGTTAGCCGGGTAATATCCGCCGCGAGGAGGATCCTGCATACTCGCGGTGTATCTATATAATATTACGATCAAATTTATATTAATTAAAAAAAAAAAAAAAAAATAAGTAATCATTTTATTAGATGTGTATTACCTCGAATCCGACTGTTTGTTATAAAGAGGATGAGTCGAAGTGTTTGGTGGCGGTGGCGGAGGGCTTTCGGTGTATCCCTCTTCCGGAAGGGTGGGTCTAATCGGAGTCATCTCATTAGTCATCAAAGTATTACCTTCTGCCGCGATCTGTGATCTATTCATGCTATTTTCACCAACGTACTGTTCGTTTCGTACGTCCGAATTTCCATTTAAATAATACTGCGATCCAATGGTAAGACGTTGACTTTGATCAGTTTCTTGAGAGTTCTGATCTCTTCCATATTCGAGCATCATTCCATTCGGTTGTAATCGCGTCAATTCGCTTTTTCCTCTCGATGGAGGCGTAGTGCCGTATTGGACGTGCACAAAGTTCTGCTGTTGCATGTTCTGATGGTGATGGTAATGCGGATGTTGGTATTGGTGTTGATGAGAGTATTGATGCGGGTGTTGATGCTGATGTTGAGGTTGAGGTTGAGGTTGAGGTTGAGGTTGAGGTTGAGACTGAGGCTGAGATTGAGGTTGAGCTTGAGATTGAGATTGATGCTGATGCTGGTGTTGATGTTGATGCGGATGCATATGCGGAGACTTGCTGTGTTGGATCATGTACGATCCATACTGCGGATCCAAGTAACCGTAACTCGAGGTACCAACTTGTTTCGCGCTATGGCTGGATACCGAAATTGGAGATGTGGGCACCGTCACCGGTGGACTCGATCCCAAATTTGGTTGAGAACCAAGAGATTTCGTCGGACGAACGGAGGAACTTGTCGATGCAATCGTATTTGCTTTTACATTGTACGCGGTATTTGGTCGATATTGATTCGATGGAACTGGCACGCCACCCCGCAATTCTCGTCTTCTCACTTCTTCCTGCATTTCCTGAAGTTTTGCTTCCTGTCGTATCATGTCTCGCGAGGACTGAGATCTCGGAGGTGGCGGTGCGCATCCTTGTTGCGAATACAATTGCGATTGCGATTGCGACTGCGACTGCGACTGCGACTGCGATTGCCCGCCTAAATAAGACTGTTGTTGGTTTTGAGGTACGTAAGCGGATATTGGACGGTCTCTGATTTGGCTAGTTTCAAACGTTCCCGGTCGATTCAAAGAATTTTGCGAACCTCTCGAGTTCTTCTGCGGCTGCAGAAGATTTCTGTAAAAAACAAAGAATAGAGCGGAGGAGTGAAAATAATAAGAGCAGAGAAAAATTATGTAGAATTAAAAAGTTCACCTCTCCTCCAAATGTTGAGATGGACTATATCGTTGTTTCGCCGTGCCGTCTTGATTCCTGTAGATACTCAAATTCTGATAAAACCTTTCAGCTTCGTTACCTTGAAGCACGTTCAAGGCCGCGTTAACGTTACTCGAAGCATTGTTATTCGTTGTTGCTTGACCAGGATTCAAATTCGGAGAGGATTGTTGTCTACCGACCAGAAGACCGCTCGGCGGTAACGTACCGATTCTCGTCGGGTCGTGTAAATTATGACTGGAACTATTTTTTCGAAACATATTACGAGATAAATAGAAATGATTTGATGTTTGCCAATTAGAAAGAGAAAGGGTAAATTACCGAGAACGTAACGACGTTGAGCCATTAATGGCGTTCATTGGCAACGGCTGGGTGACTGGCGGAGTAACGCTATTACTGGAAGATGCTCTGCTATAACCAGGGTTGAATACCTCGTGCTGTTGCTTACCATCGGTACCTACGTCTATAACGTTCAAAATTATTCGTTACTTTTTAAAACAAATAAAGATATTTCTTCAAATTTATTTACATTTTCGTTTAAGTGGATTGCGTGTGCGAGTAAGAAAGCATGCGAGTTTTACATTGAAAGCAAATGCTTATAATTTCGCGGTTCACGAAACAGTGTGTATGGTGATAATGAGTGTGAATGTGACGAACAGTAGGAACAATTGCTCCTTCGATTACTTACTGTGCAACGCTGGCACGGACTTGCTGGTATGCATTTGTTGCTGAGGAGCGGTTACGTCGCGTCCAAGTCGCGATGGTAAATCTCGTTCGCTCATGCGGCGAGGTCCTGTGATAAGCACATGATGCAGAAACATATTTGTATAGCTTTTTCGAGTTACATGTATAAGAAGGAAAGAAAAGGAAAAAGAAAGTAATGCGTCGAAGTCGAAAGAATGTTATAAACTAGATCAATGGCATGCAACGTAGAGACGTGCGCGTACGAGATGCAAACGGAATCGAACGGAAACGAACAAAAGCGAACGAAAGCAAAAATAAGCAAAAGCAAATTAAATTCGAATTGTGCGTACGAGTAATAAAATATTTTTGCAAGTGAACAATGACGACGGTTCGGTTTTTCTGCGTTTACAATCCTAAACGCAAATTTACTTCCTAATACATCATAAGCCAACTGTGTAACTCTGAGTGCGTGTACAAATTGTAATTAAAATCAGAACGATTTGTATCGTGGGGGAAGGGGTTTAACGAAAATTGTTTAACCAAAAATAACGTCGGCATGCGCGGTGAGGACATCGTATGTCCGCTAATTCGTACAACGATCATTTTCAACACTGATAGGCAGGCGCATTCAAGAATCGATTCGAGTTGCTTACGTAAAAAGGAATTGAAGTTTAGAGACATTCGAGCTAATCTCGTGTAAGCGATTGATTTTTGTCGATTCTCATCGTCGTCAATCACTGGCGGCTCATTTTCTTCCTGTAACTTGTTGCTATCGTTATGTTCATTATTTTGAATTTCCTTTTGATGCAAACAGCATTTATCCTGGCAACATTTCGATTTCAATTCGTCATTTGAGTACCTTCGATCGAAACAAGGGCCTCGTAAATTATCCCTCGATAGTCTTACGCTCTCGAAATTGGGACAGGAACTGGAAAATTGCATTATCGATTCATCGTCATGTGTTCGCGTCAAAATTTTGTGGCGCGGTTCAATGTGTTGAAACAACGGCAAAGTAGTCAGAGACGCGCTCGAAATGAGAGTGATCGGTAGGGTATTGTCAAGATTAGACATTTCTTCAAGCTGCTCGATCACGCATTGTTGCTCAGCCAACGATAACTTTCTCGCTTTATCATTCTTTAAGGTTTTCATCTGTTTCTTATCATTTGTGGTATCCATAGTTGACTTTTCGAGTGGTAGCTTCTCCCTTGACCAACAAATTTCTTCGACGCATTGTTCGTCGTTTCTCAAATCCAATTCAGATCGGCAGTGTTTTTCAACGAGTTGACAGCTATCAGAATTATTTCCGTCTAATTGTAAGTCGGTTAAAGTAAAATTGGGCTCTGATGCGAATCTTCGATAACTCTGCAGTTTCATCGATCTCAACTTTGATTTATTCTGAATCATAGTTTCGGTTTCGTCGAGTTTTGAAAAGTATCTAGCTAGAGCCGCTACTCGACCACAACCGAGTCGTACCTCTTCCGGAGATCTCCAACACTTTTGAGATACCTGGAAGCTTGATAGATCGCTTGATATATCACTGGAGAGATTGGTCGAGGTATCGTTGTCCAAACCGGACAGGTCAAGATTTAATTCAAACATCGTGGCGTCCGTCTTTAAATCCGCAAATGTATTTTCTACTATTTTCTCTTCCGAGACTGGACAAATGGACAGTGCTTCCATTACTTCCTTCCTTTCATTTCCTTCGAAACCACATTCCTGCGCGTTTACACCTGCAAATTTCTCCCTATCGCCGTTCGGTATTTCTTGCCCGTTGTTCATAGTCAGTGAAATACCAGTTACGACGTTAAATGTCCCATCACCTTCCTCCAATCGACACTCGTAAGATTGGTCGCTCGATGGATACGTTTCATCCATCTGGTCGATGTACGGTATAGAATCAAGATTGTTAAAACCGTCGTCGTGTTCATATGAGCTGCTCGACAAGTGAAAATTCGAGGACACCTTGAACGAGTCATCTTCGACGTTGGAAACTAAATGGAAAGAATCGTCGCGGTTGTTCGCGAGGAAGGACGCGACTTTTGCTTCCTCTTCTTTTTCTTCTTTATATTCCATCGTCGCGTCCGTTACACGTACCGAAGAAGATTCGGTTGGTAAACGCGCGCACGAATCGTTTAAATTGTAGCGAGTAAATTGATCAAAGTTCGAAACGGGACAAAGACTCGCACCTGACACTGGATCGACCGAACGGTCTGGCAAAGTAATTGCCGTCAGCCTTGGCGCATCCAATAAATTACCCATCGAACGCGAGCTGGACGGATGCTCGTCGCTTGCTTCTTGTACCTTTGGAGTTTCCAAGTGCTCGGACTTGGGTCGAACCTTGTGCGCTGCTTGGAAACAATCAGTTAGTAAAGCGTTAGTGAAGCTAATTACTTCTCTGTAGCATGTGTTACGCAAGCGAACACGAACGGGAAAGCGTCGCGAGAATAGATCAGCCACGAGAAATAGGGGTCTAGCCCCCTTCCGTTTTCCTTTCAAAGCTTCTCATTCTTCCTCTCTGTCTTTTGGCTTTGAAGCATCCAGGGGAGGAGGACAGAGAGGAAAAAGAACAAGTCTTGCTACCACACCGTGTAAAGATTGAAAACTATTGAAAAACGAGTACCTCTGCTCATAACCGGTGACGGTTGCGACAATAAAGTAGCCAAACCATGATATATGGCACCCTGCTTGGCAACTTCGAGGGTCACTATCGGTCCCGTGCGCACCAGATACTCGGCGGCTCTGGAAATATTTTCATTCTTTGTAATCGATACGAGATACACGTTTCTGCAACCACTTTCTCCACTCCACCAGGGGTTTACTTACTTTTCTTGAGTAATTCCAACTAAACTTTGTCCGTCAACCTTGAGCAGTTGATCGCCAGCCGTCAATCTACCATCCTGCTCAAACGTTACAATATCACGTACTCGGTTCGACATTAATCTACATAATAATGATAATAATAATAGTAGACGTATTCGTATACTCACAGCATCGGCGGCACCACCTGCAACCACGCTTTTTATATATATTCCCAGCCTATCTTGACCGGCGCCCTAAAAACGTGACGAACAGACTTGGAGAATTGTCCGCTGATTCCACGCTCCCTTAATGATTAAAACATCAAACTGCGTCTGACAATGAGTCAGAAAACGTACCTTTGCCGCGACAATGCTCAAACCCATCCCGTTGGTAGATTTGTGTAATTTGATCACGTGTATCTCTGGCTGAGAGGAATTTGGTCCTCCTGCGTTACAGGAATAGCCGCTACCGGATCTGTTACTCATCGCGCTGGGACTGCGAAACTAAGAGCGATAAACACTCGAATAATTAACTTTCGTCAAAGCAGCGTTCTTATTTAAAAGAAGAAGAAGAAAAAGAAGAGGAAGAAGAAACAAATGACTCACATTGTTGTGATGATCGATCATGTATATGGTCCAGTATCCGCTGCTCGTAGGCTGCGGAGCCATTCGACATAGACCGTCTCGTTGCAACGGTGCTAAGAATTCTGCTAATCCTGGTGGAACTCCGCGTATCACCTCGCAACTGTACCCATCCTCGGGCAGAAGAAGCGCCAACGCGAGCGTTGGTTCTTCCTCGAGTCGAATCTCTCTGCCGTCAGCACGCGCTAGCGTGTCGGCCACACTCTCCGCTACTCGTACCACGTTCTCGATCAGTTCCGCTGGAAGTCTCGGTTCGTCAGCGGCTGGTTGATACTTTTGTAACAACGCCCTGACCTGAAGAGAATTCAATTTGAAACACGTGGAGCTTAAGGTTGCAAGCTCCTCCGCGTTGTATTTCGGCGCCTGTAGCAAGTGCGTCGCTTGCATGATCGTCGCCAAATGGCACTGGCTCGCCAATTCGAGACCCTGCCTCTCGGCCCAGGTCTCGAGCGCGTTCAATCTTGCTTTCAATCGACGACCGAACCATCGGACGCACAAATTCGTATTCGAGACCAACGAGTTGAAAGCTGTCGCGTTGATCGCGTGAAACAAGTGGCTGAACAATTGAATAGTGAGAGCGGCATTTACTCTGCACCGCCTTAGCAGAGCCATCGTGTTGGAAAATATTTGTAAAACCCCGGCCTCTTTCGCAGGCTCGTCGGCGTCAGCCATGAACTGAGACATTGCAGGAGCTAGCTCCAAAGATATACATCGCACTAAAGATGCGAATGCAGCGTGAACAGCTTCCGTCAGAATGTCTTGCGCTCTTGTCGAGAACGCACCCACGTGTCGATCGTTCTTCAGCATGTGCAATAATTCTGACCCGTTTGCCAACCACAGCGCCAGAGAAGACGCGTCCATGTATCGTTCCTGTTCACATCATACGGAATAACAAATTTTTCAATGTACGTTTATAAACTGATACACCCGCGTATTGGAATTCTTTCATTACCTGTATCACGCGTTGTATCATGGTGGCAACATTCGCCAGCATCACGGTCAACCTGTGCGCCCTTTCCGTCGGTTGTAGCTCTGGCCTGTAATGCGTACTTGCCCGATACCTCGCTGCCAGATAAAGCGTATACGTTGGTGCAAGTTTGAATTGAGGCGCGGACGGTTCCACGTCCGTGATCACCGCGTGGAAAAACGTTTCCTCCGTTTCCTCCAGGAACTCCAGCACGGCTGGCAAAATTGGATCCGTGCCACGTACTTGCCGATCATTTTGCAACGTCCTGTAGTTCGAACGAACGATTAAGAATCATTAGTTCCTTTACGTTTCACGAGCTTTTACGATTTCGCTTCTGCTTTTCTATTTCTTTTTCTTTATTTTATCCCAACCCATCCCGTCCCATTTGTAAACCCGCTTCCTCTTCTTCTGTCCGTTAAATCCTCTGATACTTAAACTCGCCACGATCGCGAAGAGATTACCTGTTACCGTCTCTGCTGCTGGTTAAACTGGCAGTCTCAACGTTTCCATCGAGATCAAACGTAGTCTCGTAATTATGGGTGGACTCTGACGCGTGCGTCGGACTTTGAGGATGACCAACAGCGGAATTAGTCGTCGATTTGCTCGGACTAGATGGATGAGAAGCTTGTTCTTGATTCGCCTGGCCCTGATTCTGCGACCCTTGATTCTGTCCGCTGTTCGGAGTGCCGGATGTCGAGCCGTATCGCTCCACGTTTGTCTCCTGACCAGTCAAGTCTGGCGAGCGTCTACGGTACAGAAGCAAGCTGCGTGCAGGAAAGAAACAAGCAAAACCAAAGAAGGAAAGAAAGAAAGAAAGAAAAAAAAAAAAAAATGAAATATCAAGCGCAAACTAGAGCTTCTCTTTCGTTGTTTCACGACGAACGGGGGTGGTGGTGGCATAAAGTTGGTCAAGAGAAAGAAAAGCGTGCTCAAATTCCGAGTAGGTAAAACACGCGCGAACCTTTTTTCCTCGTACCAGTCAAGCGTCGAATTTTTCACTTGGCTCGTTCTCACCTGACTACTTTCACGAACACGGTTTAGTTCCTGTCTTTCTATTACCCTTTATACAAAATCTGCCCCATTTAACTCTGCTTTTTATTTTCCTATCGTTCATTTGCAATTCATTCCATTCGCCTCTACACCTATTCTCTATTCTACATCTACACGGTAACGATTTTTGTATCGTGTGTCACATTCGTGTGCCGTATCGTGCCTCTTGAATCACGTATAATCAACTCACCGATCGTAACCGTATTCGATTTGCCTCGTAGACTCGTGTCGTTGTCTGATGCGTTCTTCGGGTGCCGGATCGATGAACCGAAAGGTATGCAGTCTGCCGAATTTCACGATCGCTCCGTTCTACGGAAGAGCGAACAACGAGGCGAGGCGAGGCGAGGCGAGGCGAGGCGAGAAAACAAATAAAAATAAAAATATAAAAATAAATAACGAAATAACGCGTTCGATAACGGCATACCTGGAGTATCGTCGTTTGATGTATCCGTTGGTTGTTCACGTATGTGTGAGCATCCCTGGAGCAAGGGGTGAGAGTAACGATATTTTCCGTAAAAGCGATCACACAGTGTCTCGGCATAACAGTCGGTCCAGTCAACGTGAGAGTTTGAGCTTGAACAGCTTGAGGGCCTATCGGTCTTTCCGAACCCACCTCCGTCACGTTAGGTTGTAACCGATGTCTTGCACCAGCTCCATTTGGAACGTCGCTCCCGTCAGGATTCAATTCCAGTAAAAAGGGCAATCTTTCATCTTCGTATCTAATTGTAAAAAGAGCGAAATAGAAATGTTTAGATATTATTTAGCGAGATATTAATTGTCTCCTTCACGAACCTGTGATCGAGTTCGTTCCACTTGCCACTAGGCTTTTTCTTCCGTTTCCGAGGCACGTAATCGGCAGGCCTTCTTCGGACATGAAACATGATGGAACCTGAAAACAATAAGAAATATCAATTGTTTCATTTTCTTCGAGTGGAATAATTATCTTGCAGATATTGAAGACGTTAAATCCTTTTAAATTATCCTTTACGCGTTCAAGTGACCTACATAATACACGCGTGTCGATACAACCGCACCGTTTCGCCTTGCTTCTACTTACGATCGATACATATACTCGTTCGAATCGATCGAGTCGTGCAAAACCCGTGGAAATACACAGGAGACGAGTTATTTGTATTTCGGCTGACTAATTGCCTCGTGTTTTTTTTTTGTTTTTTTATTTTTTTTTTTTTTTTCAAGTTAAACTATAATCTCGATGGCGTACAACTTTAAGCGAAGGATTCTTACGTCTGATTCCCCAATCCATCATGTTGCATGAAACGTGTTAGTTCGTTGATTTTGTTATGGTCCCTAAACGCGTACACGTGAAGGCGCGTTTTTTCCTCCTCTCTCTTTTTTGTAACTATATACGTGGTCCCTTTCCTTAGGATCGGTCGTATTAATTTTGGTCCTTTGTGTTTCAATTTGTACCGAATAAACGCAAATGTAAATGTACCAAGAATACACTCTATTACGTACTTGTCAGTACTACTACTATTTTATTATATATCTGTCGGTAATCGCGATAGCTTGTCGCAGAATATCGGAAACGGAAAAAGTGGATTGGTCGACTTTCGTGTTCCGTCAATGCAACCATCTTCCATGCAAAATCTATCGTTTCACTGTTCGAAACATGCTATCATTTTCCTCTAACTCTCAACCTCCTCCTCGTCATACCAAACTTGTTACATCTCATCCTCAGTGCTTTTCTTATTTTTTAATTTTTCAAACTTTGAAAACTTTTCTTTTCCTTTCTTCTAATATCTCGTGTTCTTAGCTGGTAGGATACAAGGTCGCGAGTGGAGGACCAAAGTTTTCACACCCTCGCAGTTGAACTTTCCACAAATCACCCCATTTCGATACCTGTCTTTTGAAAAGTCGATCACCTCGATGATCGACGCCCTAGCGTCTCTGTTTTGATTCGTCGCAGTCTAGTTTTTCTCGTTCTTCTGTCTTGTTCAATGTCCTACCATATCTTTTACAGGACAGCTGATTTTGCCTAGTCATGACTGCCGTTTAGTAAAGTTTTCCCACACGAAAAACAACAGGCTTCTTTTCCTTTCTCGCGTGACGACGAGTGTTGCGGACGAAATTCTGATCGTTCAAGTTTGAATGGCAGTTGACAGAAGTGATAACAATATTGACAATTACGTCACAATACTTCGCGCGACTGAACTTGAGCATTGCAGAGAGAAACAGTGATCGGTGGGCGGTTCTTCGAAACGTGGCGCGCGCGCACGCCTACACATCTATCGACGTATACTCGCGTAATGTCGTTTCGTCTAGCGTCGACCAATTGCCAATGTGTACCTACCAGCGCAGCTATACTATTACATGTATTCTACGTAGGAATACTATCTAAACATATCGACGACGTCGCGTCGGACAAACGAACGCTGTTTTCCGCGCCAAACGTTCGAAACAGATTTTTCTTTTGAAAATGAATGCGCGGCAATCAATGTTCAGTATAATATATTTCTAATTTTTCAATATCTTCGCTTCAGTTTGCAAATACTTACCTCGTGCAGAAGGATGGTTCATGAGAATAGCTAGAGGGCATTCGTCGTCGTCCAATATGTATTCCTGTTGAGATCCTCCGTTAACGTGTTCGCTATTTACCTGCGCAACGTTCCAAACAATGTTATTTACATTGTTTTAAACTATAAAACGAACACAATTAAAAGCGAATAACTGACCTGCACGAGACAATACTGCTGCGGATCAACCTTCTCTAAACCGTATTTGGAGAGCATCTCTCGCACAACGTGAACCGCTGAATCTCGTACGCTCAGAAGTAGCGTTTTATACGGTACATCCTTGCAAAGCGCTTCGCCGTAAATCTTCAATGTCCCACCGGTGTCCGGGCCACCATCCTTGCTGCGAAACTGCTGCAGTTTTCTTTCCAACTTTTGCTGACGTCGCCTCCTCATCACGGCTTCCGGATTCGAAATGCTTCTGGTAAAGCTAGTTTCCGGCAATTCTAAAACCAACAAACATTGTTGCTTAAGCGACACGCTGAACGTTTCATACAACGTTATGCCTACCCGTGTACAATTTTTCAGCCACGCCATTCTGATCGAGGGGCACTGTGTTTTCCTCTTGTTCCAAACTCTTTAGGCGACTCAGTTTTTCTTGTTTCTTCATCTGTTTCTTTTCCCGTTTGCTCAGCTTTCTACGAAAGCTGGACCCCTCCGAAGAAGAGAAGCCTACGCCTTGCGCGTTCGTCTTATCATCGATCCTCCTCAACAGAAAACGTCCTTCTCGATCATCGATGTGCCAATTTAGCTGCACCAGCAGTGGTTTCTCATCCAGACCGAGTTTACGTTCGTCTGCCCAAAAATAATCGCAAATAAATAATTAACAAAACATCGAAAAATTGAATTAACGTCGATTCAAAGTTTTATTTGAATCAACCGGTTGCCTCTACTCTGCTTACCGCCGTTTTCGTGTATTTCGTAAAGCGCATACTCCGGAACCGAGAGCATTCGCATATCTGGACGGAATTTTTCAATTAAAGTTTCGATCACCGCTTGACTCGTCGCATCTGATGCTACCCTAATACATTTTGTCGCCACTTTCTGACCGCTGTCTTGAAAATAAAATCTCATTACACCGTGAAACTCCAAATCCTAAAATCAAAATCAGATGGATAAAGCTAAAGCGTACAAGTTGCGACGGAAAATGTTTGAAACTGCTAAATCGTAAAAAAAAAAAAAGCTTTACCTCGTTCGGTTCCGAAAGTTCAAACAGATCCAATCTATTGGCGTTCCATTGTTGAATTACGCCACGCAGAGCTTCGCGCTCAGCTTTCTTATTTGCCAGCTCCGTGGCCATTCTGCAAATATACAAAAAGAAAAAACAAATTTACAGTATTTGGAAACACCAGGGCCCCAATATGACGATTTTGGGTCTAAGAATGCGAGAAGAGTAATGTTTACTTGAATATAAATTTTATTTGAGGTACTTTTTTATATGCCATATATGTGAAGGGACCCTTTTTCGGAGCTCGCCTCGAACCCCCGAAATCTCAGAGCCGGGTCTGGGAAACACTATACTGACATTATTTTCCATTGATCCTCTGTATCTTTTCTTTTGTTCTGTTGTTTTCTTTTCTCAGCTGATAAATACGCGGTATCTTTCGATCGATTCATCCTACCATCTTGTTCGTTTAAATATTTTCTTCTTTCGTACATCATTTATACACGAATACCTTTAACGAAAGAAATCCAACGAAAATCCATTACAGATGTTGCAGAAAAATGTCGCACGCATACTTTCAAAGTTGACGCTTGATCGCAAAACGTTCGAAAACGATAAAATGGCCACTTTCACTAACGTTGGTCTTTATCATTTGTCTGAAATTCAATTGTTTCGAATCGAAGGATGAAAAACACGATAGCGGGTGTTAGTGTTTTTAAATTTTCTTATCAGATTACACGCGCATGATATGAGTATTCATATGCAACAGATTACGCAGCGTCTAGACTCCGAAGCTTCTTGCTCGAAGAAAACAGCTTACCGATATTTTCTGTTTACTCTTAACGCGTTGGGATTGCGTACCTAACGAGTAGAACGAGATAAATATAATATGTTGGTCGGAACATAAATGGCCTTTAAGAATGCGATAAATCAAGGTTAAAAGAAGAGTTTCAGAGAAATTTCAGTCAAGTTATAAAGCGAAGAAACTTTTGTCAGAGTGGTCGGAAAAGGGATCGGTTTGAATCGGTTCCGATCGGCTCCGCTCGGTTCCCCTCGGCAATGGTCGAATAAAATCGGGATAATTCGGAGTGGAACACGTTCAACGAGCAAGTCGCATACCATACATTCCTACCTTCTTCGACAGAGTTCGGTCTTAAAACCTTAAAAGCGCGCTCGAGTAATTCGAACACGCTCGAGTACCCTCCGCACGATACTACATCCTTACAACTTGCCGTGATTGTCCGATCTTCTCGTACCAGATGCTTGCCCGACAGTCAATCGTTCTTGGCGCGAAACGTTTTACCTGTCGAGAACACGCCTATAGTATGATTTCATCATGTTCTCTCTCTCTCTCTCTTTCTCTCTCTCTCTCCCTCTCTCTGCTCACACCCGTGTGTGAGTAAGCAACGTAAAAGATATAAAGATAAATGTACCTTACAAACGTAGTATACTTAAAGTATGTACAAAAAGATGGAACGTGACCTTTTTATTTTGAAAGGGAATACTTAAAGCGTGTTGCGTTTTTGCTTAAAAATTATTACTGTCCCATCAATCGTATTTCCACTATTCATAATTAAATGCAAGTAGTAAAGTAGCGTTACCGAGGGTTATTCTTAAAGAAATAATTTAGATAAATATAAACAGGAAAACCGGAGTATAAACTATCGAATATGAAATGTAGAAAAAAATCAAATGAAAGTAAAAATAATTAATTACAAAGTGTAAAGAAAAGACAAGGAAAACTTTGATGCGTCATCGTACTTACTCTTCCGAGACTGTCATTCTTCCAACGCAGACGAACGAAATGCAAAAGAACGGAGTAGCGAAGGACGATCTAAATGAAACTGTACACTTTACCGAACGGAAAATAAAAAAACTTCTCGGTTCGTAAAATATTTGACGAACAAATAATACATCGAATAAGTTAATAAACAATACGATCTTTTTTGCACTTGAACATGTATCGATGAATTTTCAGAACCACGCACTAACAGTTCTGTAAGCATAAGATGTACGTAAACTTTTAAACGTATCAACTCGATGCCGTAAAAGTGTATGATAATTGAGAATCTGTCGAAAATTAATCATTTTTCTATGATTACAGACAGAAATGTTATAGGTATTCGATTTTAGCGTTACGGGCCCCGTTAGCGCGGATACTTTCGAGACGTTCACAAGCTTGCTTCAACCTGCGACTGCGTGTAGGAATCCAACATTTTTCTTCTTCTGTATTTCGACACTAATCCTCATAAGGATAAACCATCGATAATCGTGCACTAAACATTTTAAAAACAAACGCCACACCCAACGTTTATTCACACAATCAACTACTATGTATATCCTAACGTATCTCCAGCCGCGTAATTACTAACGAACTGACCGATGCAAACGGACTCGGAAAGCTTGGGCCTCAAGAGTGGGAGAAACATTATCTCTTACTATAGCGTTTTCTTTACCGACCCCACATCTCTTTCTCTTTCTCTCCCTCTTTTTCCAACCCATTTCTACCCCTACTTTCCTTTCTTGCTATTCACTACCATACCCCACGATACAGCTTGCTCCGATCTGATCCGATTCATTTCGTTCTACTCCGTTCCGTTCCGTTCCGTTCCGTTCCGTTTCGTTTCATTTCGTTTCGTTCCGTCTCGTTCAATTCCATTTCATTCCCCATTTTCCGTATGATATTTGAATACGATAAATAAGCACTTATATCTCTAAAAAGATTTTCTTTTTCTATACAAATGAGATCAGTCATAATTATATTACTTTACTACAATTTCGTTGGGGCCGTTACATAGAAAACTATACTTTGACACGTAAATGAAATAGCATTAAATAAATCGAAACTCTGGCTAGAAATACTTGTTAATATAGTGTACAAAATAAATTCACGGTTTTTATTTGCTCTCTTTTAGCTTATGAAACACAGCGTTTATCGTTATAGCTGTGTATATAAACTCGTTGTAGAAAGGAATCTAATTTTCGTTGTACGGCTTCGCTGGTAACTTCATTATGCGTTACATCGTTAGGTCAAACAAGTGGAATACGTTTTCGTTTTCTATACTGTAACACGGAAACAAGAGAAAAACAAATTCGATCGAAATACATTTGCCTTCTTTGAATATTATTCCAACGCAAGGTTTTAATTAAATGATATTTATATCAAACTTTCGCGTAAATCATGATGCGTGACGCCCAACACACGATAACCATACTCTAAAAATGCTGTTCGCGCGACATATATTTAACCATCTAACACAATACTACACCGCCGAGTTATCAAGCAGCTTCATCGACTTTATTACCCTTAACTAACCGTTTCCTGCTTATTTCGTTCACATGAATATATCGAATAAATGTGTACGCGCAACTAGATTTTTACACCCAACCCTTCTTTCAAAAGTTTCAAGTTTTCTCCACTTGGTTCTATAGGGTATCGATAACTCTTCTTAAAGATTTATAAATATAGATAGAAGACAATACCCATCAGGTATCATTTAAAGAGAGACAATTGCTTTCACACGCATATTGTATGTACGTGTATACTATACACGATACACGATACACAGTGAACATCGTAACGATTGCAGCTTTAACCGTTTTATTATTGAAGCAACGTTTAGGAACGTTCAAAGAAAACTCTTTTCAGGGCTACGTTTACAGAAAAAGGCAAGCCTGGGAGAAATTCATAAAAGCTATACAGAAAGCACCTTACCCCTATAGCTATCGTAACACGCAAACATCCCTTGTCTTCCCTTTCCTCCTATTCTCCGCTTTTCCATTAACACTTGCAATTTTTTATTCGCGCTTTGGTATTTTTATTTCGCGCCCATGTACCAAAATGCGCAAAGAAACACACAAATTTAAAGACACACGCAATAATAATAAAAACACAAAAGAAAAGAAATAGAAAACTTTTATACGAGTCAAATCGAATGTAAAATGTTCAACAGTCTAATTACAACTACCAATTCCAACAGGTGTCGCTTCATCTTTGCTCATCCGAAAGACAATAAATCCTGAACCAGTAACATTTCACCGTAACTCGTAAAAAAACAAGACACATTGTAGAGAGCACTAAAAAACACAAAGAATACAGAACAAATACCAATTTTCAAGGGCATTTAAAATACAATTTATCAATTTTATAACCTTGCTATAATGATCAAATAAAATAAGAAGCATCGAAATGAAAATAAATTGTAACGACGTACAAATGCAACAAATAAAATATCCTTATTAACCATTCGTCAAATTTATTTGATTGATAAAATATACCTCAATAAAATTACCGACGACAGGAAATTGTAAACTTTTTACATTCTACGGTAGCAGTTACTTTCAGCCATGTTTTATATATCGATGATGTTTCTCTATATATATGAGAACAAGTTTTAATTATGTAGGTCGATATCAGTTGATATTAAGCAATTGTTTGTTGCAATGTGTTCGAATAAGATTTAATACATACCAAAATATAACACGAAATACGATGATTTGATTACAGAATGCAATATCAGTAGAGAGATTTAATTAAAGTTCTCTGCGGTGGGCAGTAAGGTCGTTGGAAGTATACTCATGTTAGCAAAAAGAGAATGTTCCGTCTAAACTTGTATCGTGGGATATAAAAAGGATGGAGGATGATATCGACATTTACGAAGATTTGCCAAGTTTTGAAACGAAACCTAATGAAAATGTACGTATTTATTATGAGATACAAGTATGTTTTATTATATGCAACCAGGTTATGTTTCCCTTTGCAACATCGAACAAGTTTCGCGCTTCAAGTTTAATTCGTTATACTGCTTCAGTCCGTAGGAAATAACGAGAAAGATATTCCACCCGAACAGATTGAATTAAAGAAACAGATCGCAGAGCTCACAATAAAGTTGGAAAATTTTCAGAAACTTAATGAAAATTTGGAACTCAATTTACTTTCCTTATTGAAAACTGCGAAAGGAGAAATTGCACGAAAAGACATGGTGATAAATGATCTAAGAAAAAAGTAAGTATGCGTGAAGATTGGAGATTTTTTTTCCGATTACTCAGTAAATGTTGGTATAATTATACAGGTTGGACGATGTAACATTTAAGAGAGGGGTACATTCCAGAGTTAACGAAAGTGTCGTTCGTAATTCTACTGTACGAAATTACAAACCAACTGGTTTTTGCCTTCCTCCCCAGGAAACCAAGTTTGAAACATTGGTCACAGATTTACAATGCAACCAGATCAAAGAACAGCAAAAGAAGTCTACTTTGACTCCTATTACAGTATTTGGCGAACGATTGCGAAAAAGGATTATAGACGAGCAAAATCTGGAAAAGAAAGAAAAACTGAATAGTAATACTAATAGTAATAATAATGATAGCAGCAGTGTTGAAGCAAGGACAGAAAAATATATAGGTGAAAGCGATAAAGAAAATGGTTCCTTTACTAGTACTAATCTCTCCAAAATCCAAAATGTTCAGCCTTCTACGGTCGTACAATTGACAGAACAAGAATGTACAAAGAGCCCTTTAACAACACCAAAAATTACAGCAACAGATTCTGAACTGGACGATAAAAATAAGATAGATATTAAGATAGAACAAATGCCAGTAACAAGTGCAAAATTTACAAGAAAAAGAACAGTTGAAGAAACGAACGAACACCTTCCCGTGAAACGAATAAAACTTGAGGAGAAAAAGTGTTTGACGGAATCAACAAAAAAAGAAAACGTATCGAAATGTACGACAATCGAGTTGTTCAGTAATATTAATGAAAAACGAAACGAAAGCCCAAAGAGTTCGGATACAGGATACACTTTTGATCCGACTACAAAAGTTAAAAAATGTGAACCTTTTGTCACGGACGACTCGAATAAAAAGGAGAGCAGGAAGGTATCAAGAAAGAACAACGACGCGTCATGTAACGATAGAATTATGGACAAACGCTTTTCGAAACGTCAAATGCAGTCCACTGAAAATTACACGTTTCGACCGGACGAGAGAAACACGGATGATCGGTGTCTGGAGACTTTTAAGAGGGACACTCATCGAAATGTCGTAGAACATCGCCGTACCAGACAAAGAGAAGATCGTTACGCGACTACCATTATTGATCACCGATCATTTTATGTCAAAGAAGCGACACCGTACGCCAAAAGTCCAGAAGGAAGGTACGGCCGTGGTCAGCGTGTCAAGCACTCCAATTATGGAGACAGATTTGAAAAACATTACGATTACCGAGGTCCCGGTGCAGAAAAATTGAAATCTGTTAACAAGGAATTGTGCGGTACACGGGATATTAAGAAACGTACGAATGTCGAACGAAACTCGATTGACCGAAAAACAAACAACTTGAAAAAGAATAATCATTACGAAGAATACGGCGGTCGAAGATTGAGAAGCACCGATAGAATAGCTAAATTGGAACGAGAAAAGCAAAACGTGTACAACGAGTTACAGAGGATCAATATAGAAAGACCTAGAGAACGTACAAAAGAAATTTTGAAACGGAACAGCAAAAAGGACAATTATTCCGTAATTGTGCAAATTGAACGAATTGACGAGGAAAACAAGGAGCTTAAATACTCCAAAGAATCGGAGAAGCGCGCGAAGGAATCAAAGAAGTCGGTAACTTGTCTGGAAGAGGGTGAGTTAGCGGATAGTCCGGAGAAAAGGGATAAACGAAAGAAATTGAAAGACGAAGGAAACGAGGAAGATAATAGAAAATTATCCGATGTTTCTTCTTCGATTAATAAAGACGTAAAGAACGAATTGGTTGAGGAACCGAAAATTTCTATTGATAATGTTTTAGAATGTCCTTTGATGAAACAAGAGCACACGGTATCAAATCTAGAAGTTAACGAAGGCGTGGAAAATGTTGAAAACATTGAGAAGTTTATTCGTGAACTCGCTTCCAATGATCCAGATTCTAAGAAAACGTGTGAAACTATGTTGGAAACAGTATGTTCAACCCTAGACGAGAAAATGTTGATATCAGAAAGAGATATCGAAGAAAAGTCTATAATGAACGAAAAGAAACAACTGTCCAAATCGGAGAATACATGTTCCAGTATTTCTGAAGGCGAGGAGTTTTTCGCAAACGTTGATGATGCGAAGGCGCAAGCAAGAGAGTCGAAAGACGAGGTTCCTGTAAATTCCGGGCTGACTGTAAATTCCATGGACACCTGTTTATTTAACAAAACGACGGAAGTATCGGGAGATCAATCTAAAGTAAATTGTCAGATTGAGACTGTCGCAAAGGAGGATCTTCTTTCTGTTCTTGGCAGCAAGTCGCCGTGCACTCCTTCCACCAGTTCATTAGAATCGTCCAAGAAAACTGTCGTTAACGATGATAAAATTACTATCATGCCTGATGACAATAAAGACGATATTCGAAACAGTCACCTCCCCGATCATCGCAATAATGACAATAATGAACAGAAAATTAATCAAAACCAACTGGCGACTGTTGAAAATAAAGAAAAGGAACATTCTTTAAATGCAACCGTTGCAACAAAAGTGGAGCAAACGAAGAAAGAACGCGGAGCAGAAGGAAAGAAGAATGAATCGAACGAATTGTCGAAAAAGTCGTCGATTCGAAAAAGAGACGATGCGAAAGCGAAACGTGCTTCGTTGAACGTTCAAGGAAGAATAGTTGTATTCGTTCGTCGCAAGAAACCTGTGTGTTTAGCGGATAACAATGCCAATATGACTATTCTCATAAACGATAAGAAACAGGATACTAACGAGACTAATTCATCCAACCGTATTACTGCAGGCAGCACGACGCTACAATGTAATTCGCCTTTGAAAAAGCCGCGAATAAGCGAGCGTGAGGCGAGAAAAATTAGTTGATTCTTTCATTAATTCGCTGTACATATATGGGAGTAATCTATTCTAAAATCTTGGGAGAACCTAGAGAAATCCTAAGAAGAGCTTACTATAACCAACTGTACTGTACATAAACAAGAATTGTGCATTTGGATCTCTTTCCTTCCTTTTATAAATAAACAATCGCACAAATTAAATGGCAAACAAGAACAGCATTTAATTTGATATCGTTTCATTTGACATCGTTGTCACGTTGTTGCTGCTGCTGCTGCTGCTTTTTGTAGAAAATTATACAAAAAGCAAGATTCCTATGAATTTATGTAAATAGCGTGTGTATGTGTATATAGATAAATATATAATAATGAGAGTACAGTACGTGTACATAAAATGTATCTTTGTCAAATTAACATATCATTAAGTTGTTGTTATCTTTTCAATCTTACGGCGTCGAAAATTGTTAATTATTCCCGAGTGTTAATTTTCAGAAAGAATGAAATTTTTTGATCCGAATACTTGAATTTTTTCATCTCTGTTCCATTTAATAGATTTTACATGAACTAGCATGCCTTTAGAATACCTATCAATTAGAAGAGAAAGACAGAAGGACACGTTTTCAGCGCGTCGCGACGCGTCGCGACGCTCTGCGCGCTGTCGCAGTCGGAGCCAGCCGAGAAAAACCGAGAGAGAGAGAAGAAGAAAGGTAGGGAGAGATGGATGAGAAAAGAGAGAGAAAGAAGATGAACATCGATGTCGGGGTATACACAGAGCCGTCGCTATAAGATTAAAATAATTGTTAAGAGTGCTCGCGAGAATAAATTTCTGAAATCTGCAAATATGTATAGTTAAAAGGAAGTACAGCTTACCAAGAGCGTGTTACGAGTCGCGCAACGAAATTCGCTGCTATCCTCGCAACGTTCGTTTCGGTCTAGAGGCCGAATCGAATCGATTCTTCTGTACAAGCAACGCGTTCGGTTCGTTGTCGTCAACTGTGTCTCGCACTGTTGTCGAATTATGGGTTCGATCGTCCTAAAATCTCTCTCGGTTCTTCTCGGTATATTCTTTGTTTTCGTCGGTACGATGAAGTTAACTTCGCACATTAGCAAGGATCTACACAAAGATTTGGTGAGTCAGACCGGAATGCAATCTTTCTACAATTATGTAACATATGTATAGATTTTCACCCTGTCTTCTTCCGTACATATTTCATTCCATAATTAGCACTGTGGGTGCTGTTCAATTTTTTTTTCTTACCCTCGTCCTTGACCAATTTTCATCTCGAATCTCGTCCCTTGTTTCGTTTCGTTTCGTTCCGTTTCGTTATTCATGCGACCTCCCGCGAAAAATACGCGTTTCCTTTATGCTTGATCGCGCTACTAGCCATGCTTCATCCGTTGCCTGACAATCTGTCAACTTTTCATCGTTCTTCCTTTGTCGCTGCGTATGTACACTGATTTCCATTTTCTCCTGTCAAAACATCTTTCGTCTTTCTCCGATACGAAACGGTCATACTACCCTATCGACAATCGTTTTCTATTCAAACGAGAAACGCACGTACGCGTCGATGCGTAAGACACGTGCTCCTACGCGTACGTACGCACACGCGTTTATCCTCCCACCTTTTTCGCTATTTTTTTTATTTCACTTTTCTTTTTCTTCGTTCTTGTAAACTCAATAACGATATGGATAAATACAAATATGATAAAAGATTTCTTTACCTCGATCGATCGATCGATCGAAACAAAGTTCTCTTCTTACGATTAGAATAATTTGATGGCGCGCTATTACGAACTTTTTGGCCAACGATCAAATCGTTCTTTTCCCTTAAAACGTATGCGTCTGACATGCTTGAAACATTAATTTCCTCAAAGCTCAAAGTATCTCAGATTCCTTCTGAGTACGATGTAAATTGAATTTAATTCGCTCGCTTCGACGCGCCTTGTGAATAGATTATTTTTGTCTCTCGTTATTACCCAATGTTCCAAGTTATAGTAAAACAGCATCGGCATAGCAGTCTTGGTGACGGGCCAAATATCGCTCCGAGTGCCAGCCTGCGATGTTTACCAGCCCAAGAAATCGCAAGAATCTTCTTTCTTTCTTTCTTTCTTTCTTTCTTTCTTTCTTTCTTTCTTTTAACGCGTCCAAAGCATCTAACACGTTTCTAACTCCTTTTGTTTACGCATACACGTCACAGTTAGTCTTGTATGTATCGGTATGTTTACAGAGAAAGGAGTACGTGAAATACGCAAAGGTATTCCCACTTTCCGGCACGCTGGATTTTAAGGTACCCAGTAAATGGTACAGAAGAGTTGTCGGATCGCTCGAGATCATTTGTGGACTTGCAATGGCGATAGTTCCGAGTCGTAAGGAAGTTGTACCAATATCTAGTTTCCGCTAATCTTCCACTTGTCTCACCGTCGTTTTCTTTTTTCTTCTTCATATCTTTTTCCAGATAAAATAAAAAATGCATCAAACACGGTTCTGCTCTTATTGATGTTGATGGCCGTGTATTCTCATTACATGGTAAACGACAAATTTGAAAGGATTGCTCCAGCATTGGTAAGAGCGAAGTGAAGGGATTTAATAACATTACGAGACAAATGACGACGGTTCATTCTTTTAGGTATTCTTCTTCATGCTGACAGGACGATTGGTGATCGATTGGCAACTTAGGCGAGATGAGGTGCAACCAGTCACGGCAAACGGGGTCGATGATAAATCTAAAAAACAGGACTGAATTTTTTAATTCGTTTAACAAGTAATCATCGAGCAGAGTAAACAAATTAAAATCCTCTTCGTTTTAAACGATTCCTGTATATTTCGAGAATTCGTTCCAGTCGAACTTCCGGGTTTTTGCATGTTTTATTTGCACGTTCAGTTTTCACGGCTCGCGTATCACCCTTCCTACGTATCTCCTTTGTTTAGAAGCACCTGTGTTAGCCTGTTTTATGCAAGAAATTCTTTTTTCAATCGGTAAAGAATTAATATCGCTCCGATCGAGCGAACAAGCAACCGAGGGTCGTGCAAAACACATTATTAGCTCAAGCACAAGGTAATTATTAACTGCCACTCGAATTAATGTGTTCTTCTTGATATCGTGTTAAGATGTAACATTATGTCCTTAGATAATAATTAACGGTATCAACATTATAACGCACACGCGTACGCTCTTGTTTTCCCGTTGCTATCTTCTATTTATGTACGTATTATCCGCGCGTTTCCTCCAAATTTATCCAATCGCATTTATCTTTAACGTTCAGTTTATGAATCGACATAAATCAGACGTAAATCAGACGTAAATCAGACGTAATTAGAAAGCAACGGGAAAATAAGGATATCGAACGAAATTACACGTAAGAACGTGAAATAAAAATTGACAAATTGAAAATACGCTCACGTTTAAAACATAAGAACAATACCATATATATACGTATGTGCGTTATGAATGTTGTTACCTGTAGTCCATCCAACGAGACCTCGTTGAATGATCTACAAGTCTCACCTACCAACGGTGTATGCCTTAAACGTACACGCACGTGAAAATATGGAACTGAATATTGAAACGCGTATACATTGTAAATCTAGATACAACAGAACCTCCCCTCCCTCCAATGTGATTATCGGTTTTTACTTTGACCAAAATCCATTGTAGATTTCTCGATACCATTCTTTATAAGTATAAGCGAAAGAAGATATTACAGTTTTACCACGAATCTGTAAACGTGCACTCACATTGTGCTACTCAGTTTCGACGATACATTTCAGTAATAACAAGTTTAAATACGAACGCCGATTTTACATAAAACAAAATAACATGATATTTAAAAAATACCTTTAATATGTTCGGCGTGGCTGCAATGATGTAAACAATTCAATAAATAACTTATTATTTTTACTTTCGCATCAGTTAAATATTTTCGCATATTTTCATATTCTCATATTTATGTTACTGTCTTCACGCGATACTAGTCGATGCTGTTTCGTGAACTTGGAGTTAGAATAATTTGCTGCTAAAGTTATAAAGCGTCGAAAGAGATACAATATATTCAATCATGTTTTCCATCATGCCTCTTCTTGGCCAGTCCTTAAAAGACATAGAGCCTTCTGAAGATTTAGTATAGCTGTAGGCACATCGTCGTAATTCAAAGCACTTCCGGCCCACTTGATTAATTTTTGTGCTTTACTTATATCTTCTACGGACAAATCAACTCCTCCTAACGAACATACCAGTTTAACGATACAAATAATAGTAGGTCGAATCAACCGAATTACATTTCATCGATTTACCTTCTGTTTTCATCGCCACATTATAATCTTTATCTTCAGAGGACCACTGTCCAACGTTTCCTTTGTTACTCCTATCGGGTACCTCGCTAGACGAATCATTATCATGAATATCGATCAATTCGTTCGAACGTGATGGTGTTTCGTCTCCTTTTGGTTTCGTTGTTGTTTCACCACTATCTGAATTTGTTGCAAAAAAAAGTAATAAAAAAATAAAATAAATTAAGAGTGTCTATACACGATCCTTCTTACCTGGACTTGCATTACTATCAAAATCAACATTTTCAGCGTCATCTGGCATCGGTCCTGGTACAGGTGTTTCATTGTTTTTCAAACAATTGTGAATGTACGCCGCTTTCCATTTCGCGTATTTTCTATTTTGCGCAGCTTCCTCGGTCAATTCACCGAAAGTAGTTAATACGTCGTACAGTAATCCAGCGGTGAAAAAGCTTTGTATTATATTCTTGCCAAAATTGCCCTCTCTATCATTTTTATCCGCGTAAAGGAAAAGCTTCAATGCCCAATTTTCGAGATGTGCCTGTGCGGCAACATCGTTCGTGATAGCTTCGTTGTCCCGCAACTCTTTTTTAGTCGTTTCTAACCAATCCATTAATTTCATTAGAAAGTTTGTCTCTTTTGGGCTCTTTGTTGAAAGTTTCAAACCCGTTTGGAGCGCGTATAAACGACCTAGGACAAGCAACTAAATTGACTAATGTTTCTTCTACTATAGAATAAATGAAAAATAAATACGTACACCAATAACTAACTACAGGATCGCGTTGATCATGGGTTGCTGCTATTTTCAAGTACTGTTGTATAGTTTTCAAAGATGCTGGAATTTCTGGTAAATCAGGTCCAACCATGATGACAGATTGATATTACCTAAATAAATTCTCTTTTCTCTTCTTTCTTCCACTCTTTACTTTAATAATTACTATATTATGATTGCATTCTGTCTAAATGCAAATGTAATATTATTTATCCTGTAAATAATTGCCATCAAATTAATAAAGACTGATTAATCAAGATAAAAGAAAAAACTTGTATTACATCGCGACAGATAATTCAATAATAATGATAATAATAATAAGAGGAATATGTAAGTGTTTCTTTGAATTCGTTTACGCAGAAATTGACAAACTATTAGATCGATGAGAACTAACCTCTTCTTGTAGCGATTAAATATGATTATCTTGTATTTATGTAGAATATTATTGCTCTTCTATAAATATCTGTCAACTTTTCTGTATATTATAGATTACCTATATATATATTACGCTTTAGCGAAATCGTATCACTTGCGCTTGCGAGTGTTAACTTGTGACAAAATTGACAATATTATGACAGAGCGCATACTGTATAGTATGTGTATTTTCAGTTTCTTCTTCTTGATATATTAACTTCAATATTAAAATATCGCTCGTGTTAATATATTTATGCGAAATAAATTTTTTTTAACTTTTCTGATCTTCCGGAAACTCAAGAAAAATCTGTATAAATCATGAAAACGCGACAAGAATTTTACCAGCTAATCGGTTTTGCGGTCTCAAAATCAGTAAATGCTGGCGAGGTTTTTTGAAAATTACGCGCATATTATGAATGCTGTTTAACACTATTTTTTATATTAAATTACATTTAGTTTAAAAGCGAATTAAGTTTTCGCTTTTTCATTGAAACACGGGAACAACGATACAGTTCAATTTTATCAATGAACTTTGTTACAATGATCGCTACGATCAGAAGAACCCATCGAGCTATGGACTCTATGGAAGAATTTACAACAAAATCTTGAGTTGTTATTATCGAACTAATAGAATCAGTAGCTGTATGTATACCGCAGTTCACCAGAGTCCATAACTGCGAAAAGACCAGTTTTCGTTCTTTGCGCATCTCCAGTACGCATCTTCGCCCTGATTGGCGATACTCCCAAACGAAGTGGAAAGCGATTAGCAGAAAGCTCGCTGCGTTCCCCCACCATCTTCCAACCTGCGCGTCGCAGTTATGGACTCTGGTGAACTGCGGTATATGTATATATGTATATTATAAACATCAAAGAACACGGTTCTCTCCTATTTAAACGTGAATACTTTAATTTCTATCATCATATGAGAACCGATACTTTGTACATATTTAAATGGTAAAATAATTGAGTGTACGATAATGTTCAGGAAACTTGTAACATTGCATACATTAAATAGCTCATCGTTACTAACGACAGGTAAATTGTAAATTTCCTATTTTATTTGTATGTACTGATCTTGATTTTATATAAACTAATTGAACATTGTTATTCCTTAGTTGTAAAGTACGAATAATCACCTAAAAACTTTCATACAGGAATTCCATCCGCGTCAAAGGTTATATCTCGAGCATTTTCGGAACAGGACGTTATTATCACAGACAACAAATGGGATTTAATAAGTGCCGTTTGTTTAGAACGTCATCCGGTAATAACAAAACCGATGAAAGATATAGAAATACGGTATCAAAAGGTGTTACGACAGATGGAATTTGAAAATAGCCTGTTGTCAAATTTTGAGTTACAAAAAGAGAAGGAAAAAAAGCTAAAAGAAAAACAAGTTGATTGGGAGAAAGAAGTGCTTGTTATTCAAACAGCAGAAGACTTTGAAGATCTTTGGGAAGAGGAATTAAAGAACTTTGAATTTGCACCCAGGGAAAATGGTATAAATATTTGATTTTATCTGTTAAAATGACTGATCTTAAAATGAGTCCTAAAATTGTGATGTATTATAGAAGCTGAAGATAAGGTGATTGTATCATTGAGACGTAAGCTAGATAAAAATCTGTTATTACTAGTAGAACAGAAAGTTGGTGACAACAACTTTTGGATTCCTCCTCAAAGTATAAGGCAAGATAGAGAAACTATGATACAGGTAATCTTTATCATAAGTTTCTCATCTTTCTGATTACCATTATCAATACAACATTAATGGTCTCTTATTGTTTCAGACTGCTCATAGAAGTTTGCAAGAACTTTGTGGAGATAATGTAAAAGTACAGTTTTATGGTAATGCTCCAATAGGATTTTATAAATATAAATACCCTAAAAGTATACGAACAGAAGGAAAACATGGAGCAAAAGTTTTCTATTTTCTGGCAAAGTATATAAACGGTGATATTTCTAGTAATGTAAAGCACTGTTGGTTAGATCGAGAAGAATTAGAGAAAACAGTACATCCTGGTGTTCACAGAAGTTTGTCCCAATTCTTGATTCCTGATTAAGTTATAATGCAATCTATTGTAATTTATACGCGTGTATGTTTAGAAAAATTTAAAGATGTATAAGAATAAATCGACGTTAAAATTTACATCTTCTTCTTCTTCCGGTATATTTTGTATCGTCCGATACTTTCTTTCCTTGCTTTCGTCTCCTTTCCTTTTTCTCAAGAATCCAGTCTCTGCTCTTCTTCAGAGGTTTGCCTCTGATTTTTCTTAACTGATCTCTAAAAATAGGGAAGGAAACGTTACACAATTACAAGTCCAAAATTTCGATCGAATTTAAAAAGCAGACCTTCTAGATGCATATGGGATGGCTGTTTCGACGTCGTTAACGTCTAAAGCTCGTGGAAGAACAGCAGGTCCACCGGTCATTAAGACTAAAAAATACTTTTTTGCTTTGGTACTGTTTGGAAAATCTACAACTACACCACCATAAAATCCTGCTCTTGTGGCCTGTGTTGTAACTAGTTGGATTTGTTCACTGTTTTCAGGATAAAACTGAAACACTGCTCTAGCAGATCTTGACAAACAGGAGAACAAGGTGGAAAAGAATTTATACAGGCGTTTTGATGGATCATGAGAACTTTTATCAGCATTGCATAACCACTGTAGTGCAGAAATACTAATTGCTCCATCAAAGGTACCTGCTTTAAATGGTATTCCTTGACCCATATCTCCTAAAATTAAGTCTCCATCTACTTCTCTTTCCAAAGCTACTCCTGTAAACATAATGATAGCAATTGAAAATGATTAGAAACAAATAACAAGTGAATTTGATGCAACATCCTTGCCTAGCATTGCAGGAGATATATCAATTCCAATCCACACATGTCCGTGTTCTTCGATTACACTGCCGCTTAAGCCAGAACCACAGCCAATGTCTAAGAGTAAAAATGTTTGGTCCTCTGGTAGCAGAAGAAGTTCTAAGGCACGTGTACACATTTGTTCTTGTATGTCTATCATTCTAGAACTGTGGAATTGGAATTCCAAGATTTGAAGATCAATAAAAAGTGCAAATATCAAGCATGTGTAAGATTTTTTTTAATAAAAACTTACTTTTGTGTGTACTTTCGAGCTTCGGATTCATCGTAAAACTATAAAAAAAAAAGGAGAATACATAAGAATCGTAACATGGTTGATTAAATGAATTAATGCTTACCACTTCGGGTGGGGCTAAATGTTCTGGTCTTCTCGACATTTTGTATCTTTTTGTTGTTTTTTATCAAAATTGCCTTTGCAAAATTAGAGAATAAAACCTTCCTAGATAACGAGTTTATACATGTCGCTCTATTCGTGTTAAAACGTGCTATAAACATCTATCTAACCTCGTTTCAGGTTTCTTTCCTTTCGCTCCTATCCATTCCCCTCCTTACCTTCAATCGTCGGTAAGTATGATACCTCAAAATTAAAATCATGAAAAACAAAAAATTTAATTACAAAATTGTTTTTCGAAACTGTTGGATCGAAGGTTTTATTTCTTATTAAAAAGGAGAAAAGGAGGATAATTAAATTTCCGTTCGAAGCAATGAATTAACGGATAAACGATAAACGACGTAACGTACTTTCTATTTCTTTACAGCTTCAAATTCAGAGTTTGTAAGCAGCGCTATTGCTTTTATTCCGACTCGTAATTGAAGATTAATGAAAGAGACGCGAAATCTAACGCGACAATGTGTCCAAAAGAATACAGTATCATACAAAAATACAGTAATGATAATCATGACGGTCGTAATAACGACAGTGACAATGAAAATTATGATACACTATGCCTACAGATACAGCAATATCTTGTTACTAGATACGATATTTAATCCATAGTCTTTATAAATTCAATAGCAGAACAAAATTGCGTCCACCAATATTGTTCTTCTCCTTCCAATCGGTTTCCATAAAAACTATCCACATACTGTATAGTTGAAAGTAAGGACGGCGGATTAGTCTAAAAAAACGTAATTAAAAAGAAGATGTTCACTTTCGATCAGAGATAATACCTATATGCGTAGAAGAGAGAAAAAAGGCTTGCCTTTATAATCACGTAAACCAGGACAGGAATCAAATCATCGGCCGCGGGTATTCCCCTTTCCGTTGCCATTGAAAGTAGATTCATAATGGTTGTAGCACAACGAAAAACACATTGCAACTTATCTCTAGGAGTTTTATACGCTGATATCACAGCCAGTTCCGCTTGAGCCCATGGCCAGGGACATTCGTAATGATATATCTTGGGAATCCTCAAATCTTTATGATTTGGTGTAACAACTTTGGCCAATTTTCTAATATGATCGTGAAGCAATTGGTCCCTGTACAGGTCCCCGTCTCCGTTTGGATAAAGCGCGTTATGATATACACGGGCCATTACGGTCCTTTCCACCACAACTCTTGCCAATGTCAATTGATTTTCACTCGCGCCTGGAAAAGAAATTATTATTATTATAGAAGTTAAAATTTGAGAAACTAGCATTCCTTATATTGTTCCTTACATTGCCAAATTGGATCGTTGTCCATTTTCGCATGCACTTTGCTCAAGAAATTATCGACCAAGTCTTGCTTTTCATCGGCTAACGTTAGCTTCTTGAATTCGTCGCAAAAACGTAGAAGAAGCGATTCCCTTTTCTCTAGAAATACTCTTACACAAACGGACACGAGGTGATTGTTGACGGCGTCACGGTCGCATTTCACTCTAACGCACAATCTTGATAAAAATGATATAAAATGAACGGTAAAATGACCTTTGATAGAATAGAAAATCCTATTTAAGTTGACAGGAAATATCGTACCTATCCAAATGAGCCAACGTAGAAAGTAACCCCTGTCGACATCGAATTAAATACGCGATGTAAGGTGATCGTTTCTGATAATCTTCGCGCAACGACTTGAACAATTTCCTACATCCATCATCGTTGAATAATCGAACGCATCGCAGCGTTTCGTGTAAGTGAGCTATCAACGATCTGTCTTGTAAATTGATAGCTTCTGCCAATTGTAATTGTAAGAAGGCAACCAATTCGTTCTCCTTTTGCGGCCAAAAATTTCGCTGTAACCAAACGTAAATGGCCACGACGACTGAATAGATCAAACTCATCGGGTGATAAAAGAGGTGTTCGGCTTAAACGCGTCTCTTACCTCGGACGTAGCACTCCAAGGGGTATGCTGAAGATCAGCGGTACTCAGTACCATTCGCAATTTTCTTTTCGCATCAGCAAACGCGTACGACAGTTCGATATTATTCGGATCTATAAGAAGTCTCTCGTCTTCCGTCGATTCCTTTGTACGAGATTGATTGCTCTCTATGGATGCTGTATCGCTAGCCGCGCTCGGTTTTCTCCTATATTTAGCCAGGATGTCGTCCGTACTGTCTATGAAGTTTTGCAACCGTTAAATTATTCTTTTCGTCTCTCTTTCTCTGTCTCTATTGATCATAAAAAAAAAGAAAAGAAAAAAAAAACGAGGTGCGGGAGAGTGGAGTTGAGAGAAATGAAAGAGGAAGGGCAGGAGAAGCAGGCGTAAAGAAAAAAAGGATAAATACTTACCAGCTACATTACTCGTCGACGTTACATCTTCCGACATAATTCTACGTAATCTGTGCCGCCCTACATCGACGTTATCTCCGGTGCTTTCCCGATCGTAACATCTGCCAATATCCTCCGTACCGCGAATTGTCTTTCCTCGCCGATTTCTCAGAGACATCTTCAATTTACCGAAGAAACTTCGCTTATTCTTCTGGTCATCGTCCAACAACTCTTTGTCTCCACGTTCCGCAGTCATATCGAAACTAATACTTTTCGGTATCGCACCGCTAGACGCGGTCGGCTTCGGTGGATCGTTTCCGTCACCGTCGATCACGTCGCAGCAGTTTTCACCTACCAACGTGCTGGCCGATAACGGTAATTCTGAATTCACATTTTTCGCTCGGGATTCCGAACCAGAACTACTGCTGGAAGTTAAGCTGCCGGTACTGAATCCAACAACGCCATCCACGCAGCTTTCGTTAATGGTTTCTCCCATCGAGCCAACACTGCTCCCTTCTAGTTTCTACGAATACGGAGAAACGATACTCGAGCTTTAGAAGTGAAAACAAATTTACCTTAGAGATTCTGGAAGAAAACAAACCTCTTGCTTTGAGTTGATGTTTGACAATTTTTTGCTATTCGATAAAATAGGCGGTGAAATATGATTAGCCAAGAGCAATGCCGGTGCAACAGCCGCGGCTCCGATGCGATTATGAGTCGAGGCTTGCCGTTCCATCTGTCCCTTTCCATTCTCTATATGAAGCTTGTCTATTAGACGAACCAATCCATCCTCCCGTAACTGTTTGTTATAATCTGCAGCGATGCCGATGTTGTTTGCGTTCTTATCTACATATTCTGTCGCGATACCATGACAATTGGACTTGTTGCTCTGTGCAGTTATAACCGAGAAGGACACCGAGGAAGACAAAGGAGTCGGCGACAAAGAAACGTTTGCAGGAAATTGTATTGCGACCTCTTGCTGAGACAACGCCGATTGATAGCTTGCCGACGTGCAATCGGTCGATGTTGTGCTTTCTAAAATGAAACGAAACGAAACGAAAAGAAAGACAAATATATAGCGTGAAGACAAAAATCGTACTTAAGATCGTGGAAAACTGTTCTTACGAGGAATGTTTTGCGTCAATGTTTCGTCGGTTGCCTCCGCTTCGCTGCGTGCTTCAACTTCGATCTCGGACCTCGCTGTATCGTCGGATCTGGAAACAGAATGGATGCGATAATGGAGAGACACCACGTGTCTTCTTCTATTATATTATAATACCTCGCGACACTGGCAGTGTCGTCAGTATCCACTTCCGTTAATCTTTCGGAATCACTGGCCAACACGTCGGTACTCCATGCTTCGGATGCGGTTTCGCTAACGTCTAAAACAGCTTGCGGCATCGATTCTGAGGTTGTTGAGAGAACCGGAGCCGCTTGCTCGGCTGGAGTAGAATAAACTATCTTTTCCTGTTGCTCGACTATTTCGCTATCCGAGGCTAACACATCCGTGGACCACGTATCAGACACCATCGATACAGTTTCATCTCCTGAAAGTAGAAAGGAAACAAGACTGAATCAGACAAAATCACACCATCCGATTTGCTTTTCGCTCTGTTTTTGAAATATACCTTCTATCAGCTTTTTGATTTCAAATTTGCAAAATTTGTCATCTATCTCAGAACGACTTTGCTTTGTCGGCATATTCGACGGAGGTAGATCCAATTGTCGTGCTTCACCGGCTGCTCGTCCTTCGTCTCCTTCTGTAATCTGAGACGATGGTGTGTCACGACCTATGACATACGAGAAATTTTTCGTTATTTTTTCTTCTCTTCTTAATCCCCCCTCCCCCCAAATCAACCTGATATATTGGGTGTTCCTCGTCCCGAAACGCTGGCGGACACCATATCCGATAGATTGTCGTTTTGATCTTCCGTTTCTAATTCAAGAGACGAAGCGACACTATGATTCGAAGCAGCTTCTGAAACGGCTTCCAAATTATCTGAAGTGTTTCCAATGAAACCTTCAAACAGAACTAAAAAAGAAAATATATTAAACAACGATCGCCCTATTGTGAATAAATTGACTAAGGATACCTTCATCGTGGGACAACGAAAATCGAGTCTTCTTTTCCTGAGTTTCTATGCGTTCGCCACCGCCACCACCTCCACCTCCACCGCTACCGCTACCACGACCACTGCCACCGCCACTTCCGTTACAACTTTCTCGTCTAACGTGTACATTGGACATGTCGTTCGAAAGATTTATGTCAACAGACCCATTCTCCATACTGACTTGAAGTTCGGTACATAACACCTAACGTATTGGAAACAAATATTGTTCAGCTAGTACTAGCGAACTAAAAGTTTGCAATAAACACATATGTGTAAATATATGTAAAAAAAAAAAAAAAAAAGAAGAAAAAAAAATACGCACTTTTTGTTCGCTAAGAAGCCCTACAAATTCACCGGTATTTGGTCCAAACGGAATGACGAGAACATCCTGAGGATTTTTATCGACAGATGATTCTTCTTCAGGGGTAGACGTACCGTTCATTTCATCTCCTCCATCATTGGTGGCATTCGATGAATAGGAGGATGACGATGACGATACTCGTACTCCTCGATTTTTTCCTACAGAAAAAAAATTAATTTCAACGCCCTCCCACCTTTATGGAAATAGTTTCTTCAAGTCTTCATAGAAAAAAATCTTGAAAATGTCTGTTACATTAAAGGTATAACAAAAGTAAAGTAAAAAACTAACGTCGATAATGCGTATTCACTGCCGACACACGATTGCTTCTTAAGGATAAAATTCAAGTTTAAACAAGCAACACGCGCTCTTCTTATCGTTAGTTTCA